TTATAATACAATCTGAAAATTGCAATAATACGGGCTCTTTAAAGGATTTGTTCATTATTAATTAAGTCTTTATTTGTGCTTTATGACCACATTTGAAACCTGAAGTGTATATGTATTAACACTGAAAATACTACAAAGATACTAAAAGAAACAATTTGTAAATTCTCATTCACAACTACATGAAACTAAGCATTAGAATTATGATTTTCATGTAGTTTTCATGCGAGTAACTATACACTAAACAACATGCTGACCCATATACAGAGAGGACACAGCCTCTTCAGATGAGGCCAAACACTCTCGTTATATGGACCTATGACCTCTGACCTGGCCCACATAGTTCAAAGCTGATGAGAAAGATGGCCTTGGAGTACTTCTTAATGGTCATGTTTGTTTTTTTTTCTGACTCACGTGAAAGACTGTAGATAAGAACTCTTGCAAACAACACCGGCTGCAATGATAAATGAGAGCATAAGCAAAAAAGCATGAATAAATTATGATCTGCAAACAGGTTGGATGTGGAGTGGTGCTTGTTGTTGTATTTTACAGAAATACATTTGGATTTAATGCATACACTACAATCAATTGCTTTATTATAATCAATAATAGTAAGATGGAAAAACTGGTGAAACATAATTAAAGAAAACTATTCACTATTATCATAGTTCTTTTGTTGTCATTGTGATAAAAAAAATCTTTTAAAACATCACTATTTTTTTGCACTTCCAGACAATAAAACGGTCTCTCTGCAACAAAACAAATTTGAACAAAAGCAGAAAAAGAAATATATTTTCCACAATACAAGTTTGGATGGGTGTGAGGGGTATTTAAGATGGAGTGCACACAGACTATACAAACAAAAAGCATTGAAACAAGGTAGACCTGCACCAAGGCACTGACATGATCTTGCAATGGGAAAAACATAAGCCACGTATGAAATAAGTAATCATGTTTCAGCGGTTTAAATGCTCCATTTCTTCTCAAAATAAGGAACCTAATCACCCCTTGTGTCAGAGGTTTGCCCGATTTTGCATTAAAAAATAGTGCCCATTTTTGTATTTAGTAATCGCCAAATTTCGGTGTGGTAAATTACAATGGCAGTGTAATCAAAACATTTGTTATCTGTGTTCATAATAATCTAAAGAATGGTAACAAACCAGTGATGACAAAAAGTCCAAATGTAGTCTTTACAAAGCTAAAAGAATTAAGTGTGTGTATGGCACGAGTTGGAGGAATAGGGAATTGAAAATGGTTGCTTCGTCTAATTTGTCATGCAGTGCGAACTGTCTGAAGATACAGCTCAAATGTGATAATTAGCACAACGCTGACACACTTACAAGTCATCTCACAAGGTGTCAAGTCTATGAAAAGTATCTTATAAAAGGTAGTCTGCACAACTGTAGTCTAACCTTTGAATATATGGTGTTAAAAAGATTCTATTTTTCTCTCAAGATTTTTAAAATATGTATTGTTCTTTAAGTGGTGAATTAATCTCTACGCATTTGTCTCGATATAGATATATTTAAAGCTGCACTATGTAACTTTTACTGAAAGTGAAAGTGTGTTTGATTTTATTTTTCCAATCCAATCCAATCCAACTTTATTTGTATAGCACAAATGATAAACAAGACAGTTTCCAAAGTGCTTTACATAGCAATGTAAAACATTTTACTAAAAAAAAACAAAAAACAAAACAAAAAACACAGCAGAATTATGTTCCAACTGTGAGGAAACTAATAGAATCATTAAATAAAATAATAATTAAAAAAATGAACAAAAATAATAAAATCAATACATAAAAGCAGTATTTAAAAAAAAATATATAAATAATAAATAAATAAAAGACACAAAGGACCACACAACTAACGCGGTATTAAAAGCCAGAGAGTAAAAGTGTGTCTTAAAATTCTCTGGAAGACTTAAAACTCTCCACTGTGGGGGCTGTTCGGACGTGGAGGGGCAGAGTGTTCCAGAGTTTGGGGCCAGGCACAGAGAAGGCCCTGTCCCCCTGGTTTTAAGTCTCGTTTTAGGCACCACGAGGTGGAACTCGTTCCAGGGTGTAAATCATGTACGGGGGAGTAAGCATGCATTTTTGAAAGATTGTTCCCTCCCTCCCCTTTGTGCAGGCTTGTGGTTTCTTTTTTTTTTTTTTGACAAACAGCAATAACGTTGATACTATCTAGTGGTGTTATGTGAGAATACAACAGGGTCGGGTCAGCCCATCTTGCATAAATGCAAGAAGATAAGTTTAATACCATACTGTATGTGCAATATTTCAGGCAGAGTAATAACATCTCCATGGACAGAAGCAGGTGGTGCACCCGTCTCCAGAAAAAGTGGCACAATACCTATTTAAACGAGGGCAATATGGGGGCACAGCATTTGCAGATGAATCCTTTCCGTTATTTTTCAGAATGTGACTGGCTTTCACAAATCACCTTGTAAGACCTGTCAGTGAATTTGAATGACTGCTGACCCTTAGAGTAGTTCTAGTTTTGTGTTTGAAAGCTCAGTCCAAACCATTTCTATGTCCACACTCCTGATGGCAAATTTGAATGTATATTGAGTTTGCTTTGCTCAGAACTAACATCAACACAGAAAGAGAGTGGGATAAGGGGAACCATTCAAGTACCTCTCATATTTTTCTTCCTTTAAGTGCTCAAGAGTCACTTCCATTGAAAGAGCTGTCACCTTTACCACCTGTCCATCATGAGGCCCGCGCTGGTGTTCAGCTCCAGAGATATCACTCAAAAGCTGTTGAAAGTTGCTGCGGGTGACAAAGACCCGTGGCAATGCTAGATTAGAGAGTCTTACACAAAGGAATGGAGGGAGAGGGGAAATTGTGTGGAAGAAATTAAGTAGCGAACAAAAAGTCACAAAATGGCTTCAGACAGGAGCTGCTTGGAGCTGTCATAACAGGATCCCTGACTCCTTTCACGCGTTTGAGCTCTTGAAAGAAGGAATTAATTTAAGAGCAAATGAAAAGTGTCAAATCATACCTGAACAAATCACTTGGATCTGTACATGAGAAATTACATCGTCTTTAATGTTAAGGGAAAATGAACTAAGAGTGGTGTGAAGGGAGGCGCACCACGAATAAGTGTTAAATAAAATATGGCCACACTGACATACATTGATCACGGATACGCAGCCTGTGGGAGCAGAAGTAGGTGATTCTTCAAGAGGGAAAGACCCCCACAGGGCACTTGAGTACTTAATATCACATCATCATTGGTTCTTGTCGCACAAACTCAGTTACCTGCTCTGCCTTTGGTTAGAGTGTGATGCTGTTACCATGCACATAATAGTCATGGGGTATTTTGGATGCATCATTTCCCTCCTAACAAAACCAGGCCATGTTGTTGTTATTACATGCTGGGCTAACCTTATTACTGCAGTGATATGTGTGCTTTGAGGTCAGTAAGTCTGAGTGGACCATTAGTGTTTAAAGCCCTCTCTGTGTTATTAACCCATTACATCATCATCAACAGTGGCTGGAGACCTTGTACTGTCAACGCACCGTAACACATAGGCTTCCATATAAAACAAGCCACAAGTGTTATTACAGCAAACAGCCACGTGACAACATGCAGCCAGGCACAGACAGAGAGAGAGAGAGGAGCAGGCAATCCCCAGGTCTGCATCTCCAGCCAGTGCCATCCGTCATAAAGTTGTCAAGTCTGAAGAGCATCAATTATGAATGGCTGGGTAATGCCCTGAATGTGTGTTTAGTGGGGCTGTAAAATTGGAGCCCAGATGGAAGGAGGAGCGGGTCAGGCGGGTCACACGTGAGCGTCGCACCACTCTCTCTCTCGTCCCCTCATACCAATTTAGGTCAAACTCTGAAGAAATAATGAGACGAGTGGGAAGAAAGGAATGGGAGCAGTAGGGTTGAGACAATATCAAAGATGTTGAATAAAACATAGGCTAGGTGATGGATGAAGAACTTGGGACTCATGCAGACGTATTCCAGTTTTGCCCATTTGAAAGCATTGTCCAGTTTTATCCAGGAAGTCAACATACACAGGCTACACATTCATGTTCAGTCATGTCTGATCTACTGTCTCCTATGACAGTCACTGGGGAAATTACTGCAATCTTCATCTGTTTAAATCTGTGGATGTGTGAAGGTTGATGGGCAAGGGCACGCTCCTCTTCCTCACCCACAGTTCAGGTCAGTCTCTCTGGATCAGGCTGGTCAGCTCATGCCCCTGCCCAGCACTGGGGACCATCTGGTCCAAACAGGCCCCTTGTAATTCTTCAGTTATTAGACTTGGGAAATGAAAGCATTTAACATGGCTGCAGCTGAGACTAGCCCCACAGCTCTGTCTGTAAATTGCATTGCTCTCAAACACTGCCATTGGAATAATCCACTGGGGATATGGACTTTAATATGGTCCATTCAAATGAACTAAGTAATGAAATATCACCATTAATAATATATTCTCTCTCCAACAAGACGTAATTTATTAGCAGCTTGTGCCTATTTAAGTCTAGTTAACGTCATCTTCTCTTCATAACCCACGTCCAGTTTTGAAGTCACCTGTGCTCCAGACCGATGACAGTCCATTTGCAGTGTATTGATTTGTGAAGCTCATAACATATTTATTCTGATCACATCATCGCTCTGTAATGGTGCTGGTTTCACCATCACTTGCACTGGTATGGTGTTTGCCTTAAGACAGGAAGGCTGTGCTCCATAAAGTCCTCGATTGATCTAGTAGGCCTAATTTCAGTGCTATTTATTCAAGATCCCCACTTCCAGAGGTTGTTTATTTTAGACCTGGTTTAGCCCCAGTTTAACAGTCCGGTGATGGACCTGGTTTCGATCTACTGGTACTCGAAAGACCAAATATTTTCCGAGGTAATAGCCTACTTGAGAAAAGTTTGAGAACCCCACACACGCCGTCTCCCCCGTGTTCTCGCCATGGGGGCTCGTCTTGTCATGAAGCGCCCTCTATCGGTAGATCTACGATGTTACATTTCAATTCCCAAAACAACCCACTCGGCCATCACCCATCACCCATCACCCATCCGTGTGCATGTTTACCACCTCATCTGGAGGCCAGCGCTTGGGGAAAGACGGGCCTCTGTTTTTAGGGGGCATAGTTCAGGTTGAGTTGGATCAGGGTTTGACAGTTTTTTCCGGCTTGTGCGCAGAGGTACGTCGCTCCTGTCGCTAATGTTTATTATAAGGCTACACCGTTACTCAGCTGACTGTAACACGGCCTGGACAGTCTGATCATCCTGTGCAAACCAACTGTTTTGCAACTTAAAAAACAGCTAAAAGGCAAATAGACAAATAACCCGGGCCGGTAAATGTCATTTCCAGACGAGTGGGACACATCCTTTGTTTTGTGCCCACGGAAATGCTAATGCTACAAGGATGGAGGGTGGGATGGAGGGTTCATAGCTACGCAGTTTAGACTCGCGTTTTATTCTCTACAGATTACCCAAATAAATTGTTTCTTTATGAAATTATTAACAGCATAACAAATGTGTTCCTCATGCTTAGTAACAGAAATAAACACGGTCACTGTAACATTAGTGATGACTCGCCCAAACGTGATTGTATTACAGTAGTGATCTGCATATGCCCTGATGGAGGCTTTAGTGTAACTTTAATGATAAATTTGGATAACAAGATTTTCAGTATTCAAAAACTGGGACACCTCTGGTTTGTGGTGGTTGGTAATAAGAAAACCGTGAAACGCTATAGAAAAATGTGACCATTTACCATAATTAATGAAAATTATAATAATGAATAATGAAAAAGTCAGTATAGTCACATTTTCTTTGTTTAGGTCATTTTTAAGCAGCTTTTCTGTATTTTACCAAAACAAATGCCTCTCTTTACTGTTGGCAGGGATCAAATTGGTCAAAAATAGGGACATCTTGGACATGTCACTGGTTTTGGATAAATCTACTGGGACAGAGGACACAGGGCTCAGAACTGGGAATGTCCCAGGTGAATGGAGACATCTGGACACTCTATGACAGGGGTCTCCAACCTGTAGCTTTCAAACCCCTTCCAAGTAGCTTCTGAATTTTATGTACTGCGATGAATAAGTAAAATGTAATTAATTACCATTGTAAATGTATAAGTTTGATGCCTAAGTTTATGCACTAATTAACTGATAATTGTTTATGTTTTATAGAGATCTAACCTGTTACCCTTCTAAGGCTTATCATGACTTGTATAAATGCTCAATTTCTTGCAACCACTAAAATTTGTAGCTCTCTAGAATTAGTTTTGTAAAGGTAACGCCCTGAAGGAAAACGGGTGGAGACCCCTGCTCTATAAGTGTCAGCCAGCTCAGATTACAATTACTTTATGGCATTTGCATATAGCGTTATGGGATTACTCCTACCTTTGTCTTCATCTTTAGTTTATGTTAAACATGCATAGTACCCTAATTGTGCATTTTCTCCTGTTAAAAGTCATTGCATTACATTTACAGTACATGTTGTGATCCTTGTAGTTACAGGTTCCCAACCATCTCTGCTGCTTAACCTAGATGCAGGTCACCATGAGCCCCTCGACTGTCACCACCTCCCTCCTGTTCCTGCTGGTGGGGGCCTGGGCTGGTGACCAGACCCCCCGGAAAGGTGAGAAGAGCCTTTTCAACAAGAACTCAAAGTCTGATCTCTTTAGATTTTTTGATAAGAGCATAACCCACTCTGTAACTATAAAGCATTACTAGTAATTTTGCCAATTAATTAGTCTACCAAAAACACATTTGAACATAATCTGTCCTAAGACTACATCTGCACATGAGTAGGCCTGTCACGATAAATACTATATCGACTTATTGTTCAATACATTTTAGATGGCACAGTACTTTTTGTGGAAAAACTGGTTATTTTTCTGTACTACGATGAGATTTGAGCTGTACAAAGCTGAATTATGAACTTCTATGTCTCATAAGTACAAACTAACTACTTAAGTGTTGCACTCTGATATTTATTTGTTATATCTCAGATTTTTAACAATAATTTTCATTTAGAATACTGTTTTGGGGGTAATTCTGCTTTAAAGTTTGATTACAATTTTAATGTCTATATATTTACCTGCGCAAAATATCCAAATTAAAAATATGTAAGTGTGACAGGAGTTCATGCAAAAACAATTATATACAGAAAAGTACTAGGCTTTTAAATACTAGTACTAGTATTTATGTGTGAAAAGGCATGACTCCCAAATCTTCAGCTAACCCACTCCATACTTTTGACAGTTGTCCAGTGTAAATAGTTTTGGTCAACTAAGACACCACTGACCAGTGAGCTGACTAAACAACTGAAGGACTACTACAGCCCTACACATCAGAAGGAGAAGAACAACATAAAGCCATGTTGAAAATGGCAAGACAAGTACAATCAGGTTTAAATCTAGATGAAAAATAATAAGTTGTAGTGCTGCTATTATTGTGAGGAGAAATAGGAGACAACTTATTACCGTAATAATTACCGTCACCAAACAACACTGCCATCCTTAACTCTCTTTCATTCCCACTCTCTAATACTTAACCATTAGGGGTGGGACAAGACAGAATTTTCATGAGATGAGATGAGAACGAGACGAGATTTTTAATTTACAGTAATCAGATCAACTCAATTTTGGTCTCATGATTTTTTACTGGTTTAATTTCTTTGTATATTGTGTTGTCAGTGGGTGTTATTTGTTGATATAGTTATAAAAATGACAAAATTAAGTCATTTTCATCATATGCTTTTAATGCATTAAACTACTTTTATGCTTGAAACACCAATTCCCCTCATGCATCACTACTGATTATTACCATATACTCAGTATAGGTCTACAATAAGTTATTAAACTTCTCTTCTTCTTAAACTGCTTCTCTGTTCTCTCTTGCACTGATATTGGTCCTATCACTATGAAATAAATACTGGAACAGAGTTTAAAGTGTCAGAATAGCTACACCTCCCTATATAGAGGAGTCTATTAGCTACAGCTGCTAAAAGATACGCAACTTTTCACAGCTTGAGCGAGCCCATGCCAAATGTGAAGATGGCAAAACCTCCCGAGATAGATTTTGTTGCAATTTGATCTCATCCCTATCAACCGTCTAATATGTAACTAGACCAAACCAAACTTCTGTATAAGTATAAGTAAGTATAATCTGTATAAGTCAAAATGAATGTGACATAAATAGTAAAAGAAGAAAGCATTTTAGATTTGGGTTTACTATTTGTAGCATTGATTTCATTGATACAACTTAACGCATATGCTGCTACTCTTTCAGTGTTCTTGGATAAGGAAGAAGCGAGTGCCGTGATTACCCGTCAGAAGAGAAACCAGCCCTCCAATCTAGAGAAGGAGTGCATGGAAAAGTTATGTACTTACGACGAGGCCTATCGGTTCTTCCAAGATACATATCGCACAGTACGTTTTTAATTATTGATTACGCTCAAACATTAAACAATAAAAGTAACACATGTATATTTCTCTGTTATCTTGTAGGATATTTTTTGGTCTGTCTATGTTGGTAAGTTAAAGGTGCAGTATGTAACATTCTCTCTGTTGCCTTGTCTCCACGGTGATGTTATTGCTTTGCCTAGAATGTTCCACAGCATGGCATTAAACTTATCTAACTACATGGAGATGAGCAAGATAGTTTTAATGCCATACTGTGGAACATTCCAGGCAAAGTAATGACATCTCCATGGAGACAAGCAGGTGGTGGACCCCCCCCACACAATTATTTGAGATACTGCTGAGCTCATAATGCTATATATGTTTCTTTTGTTTAGATGGAGACCAGTGTATCAGCAACCCCTGTCAAAATGGAGCTCTGTGTTCAGACAGTGCAGGAGGCTATGACTGTGTGTGCAAGTCTGGCTTCTCAGGGGCACACTGTGAAAAAGGTCTGTGCATGTGGTGAACAGTATGTTTTAAAAAGTAGTACTGGCTAATTGTGATTACTTAACTATAAAAAATAATCATTGATGTATTTTAAATAAATAATCATTGACGTATCGTAATTGTTATCTGGATGGTAAAGACTCTATATGAAAAGACCTTTTTATCATAAAGACAGTGGAATAATTAAATCAAAATGTCAAAATGAATAAAATATTTCTTATAAATACACTTTATTTTTAAATTTTCTCTCTCCAGGAGTCTTCAGTCACGATAATTCAACCTTTATTTGGTTGATAATGCATGTAAGAAGTCTGAGTGTACAATGTAAATAATTGTCTGACAAGTTGACTTATCGAACAATGAATCGCTACTAAAATAATTGATAGTTGCCCTATTGTATTTGCACATCTCAAATGTTGTTTATTATCCCGTGTTTCCTTTTAGATGAGACTATCTGCCCCACCGAGAAGGACCAGGGCTGCTCTCAGTTCTGTAAACCTGGGTATAGCTCTTATGAATGCTCCTGTGCTGAGGGCTGGAAAATCAGCCGAACTGACAAAAACAAATGCGAACCTGCAGGTTGGTTTTATTCATGTTTACCATTTTAAGATGAAGGATTTGTATTAGAATGTTTTCTAGTTTCAAATCATGGCCTTAAATATTTCTGTCAAGTATATAAAATAGTATACTGTGTTCCATCTTATTTGCATTTAATGTAAATGCTAATTACCAGAAACACACCGATGCACTCAACAATATACTATAAAATGTATTTATTTTTTACTGCAACACAGGTTGACCAAAATGCTGCAGAACATAAATAAATAAAAACAACCATGTTTTTTTTTGTTTTTTTTTACTATAATATGAATAGTTTTGTCTTTTCCTCAACAAAACCTGCAGCTACACTAGTTAAGCATAAATAGCTCTTAACCCAACCCTTAACCCTTACCTTTTCCCCTTTTAGTGTCAAATGCCTGTGGCAAAGTGAGCAACTTTCAGTGGGAAAGCAGACAGAAAAGAAACAAGGACAACAACTTCCAGGGCCTGGATTGTCTTAATTCCGAATGCCCTTGGCAGGTAAATACAAAAGTTTAGTTAAGTGAAATTGTATCTAAGCACATGGTCATTGTAGATGACTGTAATGTAAATGTCTGGGTTACAGGCTCTGCTGAAGAGTGGAGAGTCTGATGGTTACTGCAGTGGTGTCATTCTCAAATCAAACATGGTCCTGACTTCTGCTCAATGTGCCAATAAATACAGCAATTTTCAGGTAGTGGTCGGTGAGTACACAATATTTTAATGATCCAATTCAGGTCTTTTTTCTAGATAATCACATTACTAATTGTATTTATTTATTTAAGAGTTTGTATTGTCTAAATTGTGTTTTCATCATTCATGTGTACTTCAGATGCTGAGCATTTATTTATGAACTATTCTAGACTAGTAAAAGATGCATTTACTGCACAATGAGTCTATGAGTTAAAAAATAGTTTTATTTGATTCTCTAACTAATGAGAAAACTTAAAGAGATTTTCTGAAAAAATCCTACTAATCATACAGGCTTTATTCAAGGTGTCAGCCAAATAGATGTTGAATATTGTACAAGAACATGAATACAAAAGGTGACACTGCCCTGTTTCCCTGTTTTTTTGACAGGTACACGCAAGACCACTCCTGAAGATGGTGAGCAGGTACGGCCTGTACACTTCAGTTCACGTCCATCCTCGCTACATCACAGGACGCCCTGAAAACGATCTGGCGGTGATCGAGCTCCGTGACACCATACGATTTAAGACAGACGTGGTGGCCGCGTGTCTGCCCGAGCGTGACTTTGCCGACCATATCCTGGCATCTGGACAATACCCTGCTGTGGTGACCGGGTGGAAGGAAACCCCAGAACAAAGCACCTTCCAGGGCCCTCTCACTCTTAACCAACTGGCTTATGAGCCTCTCTCAAAATGCATGGAGACCTACCCCATGATAATGACAAATAAAATGGGCTGTACGTCGCCGCGGGTCAATGCAGACTGTAGTATGAGTTTGGGAAGCCCCCTGCTAACGTTGTACAGAGACGTCTTCTTCCTCACTGGGATCATCACTAAGCCTGCAGATGCGGACTGCACCAAAGGCTACATTTTCCAGAAAGTGTCTCGCCATCTTGACTGGCTGCAACCCTTAATGGGCTCACGTTATACGCATTAGGAAATTATGTATGTGTGTGCATTTTATCCTGACCATCTCATGCAGCAGTTAGCGTTAATTTGAAATCCATTTAGTCATCCCTTGTAATTGCTTGTCATTTCCTCTGGACTTTCTAACATAGACCACATGAGGGCACTATCATGATATGTTACAGGTAATATAAAGTAGTTGGGAGCAGCATCAATATTATTTTAGTATGTGTTTTTTAATATGGACGTCCTTTAAAAATCTTTAAGTGGCATTAGCCAGTCAATATGCACCTTGTAATTCAAACACTGGTAATCACTGTCTTTGAATGTATTAAATCCTTGTTACCCCTGAAGTGTTGATCATTTCTGCATTCTACACTAGCCTAATATCTTCAAAGATAGCAAAAGAACATATGTAATTGATTAATTAAGTTATGGATGATGTTGAGGTTTAATATTGAAAGCACACCAAAGGCCAAAACCAGACAGGATAAATCTAAAAAGGGTATTGATCAAGATAAATGATAGCCTAATAGAATTGGGGTATCTGTGGTGAATGATTTGCTAAGATAATTACTGGAGTACTCAAAGTTTAGTCCAGATTTAGTCCTGTCTGAGCCATCAAATCATCAAAATATCAATTAACCTAATATCCAGACCGAAGATTCACATTATTAGTATTTGGAAACTTTGTTGTTTGCTTTAATGATTAAATTTACCCTTGTTTTGTTGTTTGTTTTGTTACTTTTTAAACTTAATATTACTTACTGCAATGTCAGAAAAATATTTTACTATAGTATGGTTACAGCCATATCAAACACTGTTATCAGATATGTCTTCTCATTGCACACCTCCCTTAAAGTCAGAATTATTTAATTATTATTATTTGCCTTAAATTTTGTAAACTATTTTTTCCAGATCTGATGCCATTTTGTATGTTTTTACTACAGCCCATTGGACCCATACAGTGAATCTCTGACGTCCAGCCTTATGTGTTTCTGTTCTCAGACATTACCTCCTCTGTTGTCTGGCACCGGTTTCCCACAGTCACCGGCCCACCGCGCTCTTCTCACAACCCCTCGGTGCACAAGGCCAGCTCCGTGTCAGCGCGGGACACAGGACTTGTAAGAATAAAGAATGGGCCACAACAAAAACCTGGCCTGCCACTTTTGATCGGGCTCCTGAAAGGCATGGTTCTAAGTGCAGGGGCCCGTGGTTGCGGTTTCCATGGCACTCACCAAGGAGACAGCTCCTTGTTCCCAAAAATGGCTGTGCTCCTTCAGTGGGACATCCAGGGCAGATTTATTTGAGTGCAGCTCCTTCCTTCCCCAGCCTTCTATTGGACTCTGGGCCTTCTTGGTCCATTTCTTTGCTCTGACAACTCACAAGGACGAGCACTAGACTTAATGTATGTCATCATTTAAAAGTTATGTTAGAATAAAGTAGTAGACACATTTATACATCTTAATAGTTTTAGTTTATGGATAAAGAGAGATACATATGAACCCCATATAAAAATGAACTACTGTATAATAAATGTCCAGTGTTAATCAATAAATTATTGAAAAGTAGTGTAATCATAAAATATGTATACATTCCAAATGATTGCTCTCCAAACTGTTTGAAATGTTATTTTAGAGAACTACTAAAATATTAAATGATACTGAAGTGCTGTTAAACAATACAAGAGTGCCGCAAGCAACACATTTAATACGGGGACTTCAGCCAACACTTATCTTATCTACAGTGAGATTTCTTTTTGAAATATAAGACACTCATGCAGTTCTCAATTTTGAAGTCTGAGAACAATTTACACCACTGTAAAGGGAGGAGGCGATGATGGATTCTGAAGAGACCTGGGATTTGCAGTTATGTTACTTGCAGAGTAATTTTACTGAACACATTAAGAGAACATGACAGAGAGGCATGAGGTAAAAGAAAGTAAAACACTTAACAAATATTGTGTAAAAGTGTTTCTTAATGTCCTATTGTGTGCATCTGGCCAGTGTCCCATTAAATTAATAATCCTCCCGCCCCAAAACCTTAAAATGGCCTCATGCTGTTATCTGAAATCCCCTCCGTGTGGGCTCCTGATGGTTGATTTGACACATAATAATGCAAGTCTCGTGGGTATAAGGGATAGACCCAAAATGGCCGTCTTTGGGCCAGGATTATCTGTCTGTCTAGACTCTGGAGCCACACAGGGGGTGAGAAGCAGTGTTGATATTAAGTATAAATGGTTTCTCAATCATCGTATTATTTCTAACATGGGTTTTGAATTCTGGGTATTTTATGAAACTATTGTGTTATATGGACAATGGGCTGCTAGTTACACTTGGTGAGGTAATTGTGCACAAGGCCAGCAGTAACACAAGGCCCCAAGAGGTATAGTCAAGGTTTGTTTAAGAAGTGGAAGGCATAATGGAAAAGACATTGGAGCAGTATTGGTCAAAAAATAATTGACGAGTAACTAATATTAAATAACTTCTACTAATAATAAATGAAACTTATGTTACCATATCTTTAAATTTAAAATGAGGAATAGGGTTTTTATTAGATGCCAGAAAACATACATTAGTTTACAACCATTGCTTTATTCATTGCTCTTTCTCTCAAATGAACTTGTGTGCATATAGTATTTCAATCTAATAAAGTCAAGTAACTGCATCAAAACTATGAAAAAAAATTGTGCAGTATGCTGTTTACTCTTCGTGTCGCTGCATGCCTTTTGTAAACTTAAAACCAGTGTATCAGAAAGGTAAATGAGTTTGTCCTTTTTCCCCTGACATGAACTTTGATGGTCAGCTGAAACCTGAGCAGCTCCAAAGAGGTCTTCAGACTCTGTGAATGAAAACAAGTGTACAGCGGCAAGAGGACCTCTGAGTGGTCATGGACAGAACAACAACCGTCACAATTTATTGCCCAAATACAAGATGGACTCAATTCCCAACAAGGTGAAATGTATTAAATTAACTGGAAAAACACTATGTCATAATGAACTAGTGAACAAAAATGTACCTTTTAAGGGCCCATATGTTATAATGTTGTTTCCTCATCAAAAGCATACCTGGAGTTGTGTTTTGCTTCATTCACAGATGTTTAACACACAAATCCTGCATATTTAGGCAGAGTTCTTCTCTCAAACGGATAACACTCTGTCCCACCTTGCGATGTCACGAGGTAATACAGGAAGAGCTCAGGTATGTTTTTAAACTCCATACACCTTCACTAGAATCATTTGGATGATTTTAGCACTGAAATTTCCAGTCTCAGTTAAATAAAAGGTAAAGGGTAGCTGCTAAACTACCACTTCATAACATCACAAGGTGAAACAGACCATAGTGATCTTTGGAGATGAAGATAAACAAATAATAAAGTATTATTCAAACATGTATGAATGAAACACAACTCCATGCATGTTTTTGAGGTGGTAACAACATTATGACATGGCTAAAAGCTCATAGTTTTGTGTAATATTTAAACATTTTTAAATATATTTTTTATATTTAACCTTTTGTTTCAATGTCACCGGACACCAAAAATTTTTCAGCTAGTGTGTACAATAATTCTTGGCTTAGTCCCAGGGAAAGCACCTACAATCCACGCAGCTTAATGATACCCACACAAATCTTGGGATAGATAAATGCATTCAATAAGCTAAATGTGGACTGGTAGTGGCAGTTGATGAGTCAATAACCCATTAAATCTAACATCCTTCTAAATGAGATGTGCTCTTCAGAATGAGCCTCTCTTCCTGGTCATGTTGCACACCTGTATCCTGCCATAGCTTGTGCATCCTGTCAGTTCAAAGGTCTCAGTTGTGATGTGGAAACAGATGGGGCTGAGGTGGGCTGCCCGCCTGTCCCTGCTGCAGAATCGGCGGGACTACAGGTAATACTGAAAGAAAGAACGGAAGGAAGGCCAAGAATACATTTATGACAAACAGTTCATGTGATGTTGTTACAGACATATGACACTGAGCATGTATTCCCGTCACAACAGTTGAGAAATTCATCAGAGGGACGAAGTTAGCCTGCATCTGTCTGTGAATCTATATTAGTCATGTTCTTCTGAGCCCTACACAGCACATGGATCCAAAGATACTTTGTTTATAAATACCAGTGCCAGGCAGCCAGTGTCTTGAGTAGACCCCTTTTAACAGTTTTACATTTTTATATGCATGGATAGTGTCTTATAGATAGATTAGCTTTTTCCATGCAAAAGTAAAGGTAAGCCAAGGTGGTTTTATCTATGCACATCCAGAGCCTTAAAATGAGCTGTTACCCTAAATCATGTGCGAGTAAAGGACACGGACTAAAAATAGTTGCCCGTACACAGCCATAGAAAATATGTGTAGCTTGAGTGTCAACATTCTCACATCAGATATGCATTGTGTATTAAAGAACGTTTTCTCAGTGTATCTGTCAAGCTGACTTTTAACTACGCTGAACTAATCATATCAGACATTTGGACAAAAATACAAGCAAGTTACGCCACTGCAGAGTCAAGCTCAAAATGCATAATTTATTTTCACGACGCACTCTTTGTAGACAGTAAAAATCAGTGAGGGGCATAATGGCAGCTTGGTGAAGAAAAAGGGTTGTAGCCCGGGAATGTGGTGATGGGGCTCGTAGAAAGCTCAAGAGCAGCAGCATTAAACTCTCCGTGCCCCTCCCCCTTTCTTTTCCCATGCTGTCACTCGCATGCACCTGTCAGATTAGTCTCAGGTCCTCAGCTGCCACTCCTCATGATACGGTTCCCTCTGAACAGGTTCCGTCACTGGTCTGGGGGTCTGCGCCCTGGACTTTTAGCGTGCGACGTATACGGGAAATACTCCAAGCAATTTCACCGATTACCGTTGTATTACTGGGTCGTGTTGAATTGCAGGATACACCAAAACGCCTTTATGCAAAGAATAGGCCCATGTGGGTGGTTCAGCATGCGCATTGCCATTGTCTTCTATTTATCTCTTACTACACGTCACGTTGGGAAACATGGGTGTCATGGCTGCTGTGCGTAAAAGAGTAATGGTTTTGGAATTTGCGCAAACAATAATACATGTAGATAGAGGTTTAGGCTAGGCTCTTGGAAAAAGTAAACATGATGGGGTGATATAGGAGCAGAGGAAACGTGGGGGTGGGGAGAGTGGAGGTAGAGGGGGTCCACGCTGAAAGAATCCCGCTGCTGGCTGGACGGACTAAAGCAGCTGAGGCGACAGGCATGTGACCGAATATAAGCACAACAGCGAGCGGCCTGGAAGAGCGTCAACAACAGCATCTTAACAGAGCAATACCGCTGTGCCTTTCACAATAATAATAATAACTACAACAAAAGAAAAAAAATTAGCCTCATGTTAGTTTTGTGCTGAAGAGATTTAAAACTAATAAAAGCTTTAGACTAAAACGTAAAACTGATAGTACTTTTTTCATTGAGCTCTATTGTATACTTAATATATCTATCCCAACTATTTTGCCACATTATTATAAAAATTGACTTAATAGTCTTGGCTTCTGTGTAGAATTTTTCTATTCCGCAAGCAGTCCCGTTTCCCTAAAAATTCATGTTTGTAACGCATTTACATTTGAGGTAGTGTTAAAATCAATGTGCTTTTATTTTGACTGACTTAACCGGAAGCAAACTTTATATGTGCCTCTACTTGACGCTGTATTCGCATGTTCGGTATGATTTAGTGCAGTAAAAGAGGGAAAACTGGAGCTGGGAATAATCAGCTGCGACAAATGCAGTGTCCATGACACTGACTTTACGACACTCTGTTTGGAACTTACTGCGTTCTGGGAGGAGTAATTAACGCAGTAGTTTCAATAGGGGAGATTTTAAGGAGACCCCCTGTCAAGCGATAACCTTTTTCATTTAGCGGTCAGTTGAAGTGTTAGTAATAGGCGGAGAGGTCTGTGATGGTTGTGGCTGCTCGGGGAGCAGACACTTCTGTCTGTATTTCTGCGCGATTGTGATGTTTTGACCGCGCGGAGGGGATTATTTTTACGCACGTCACACAGAGCGCAGTTTTGGGTGATGCGTCTTGTGAGGACCACTGAAGCACGGTGCGGACGCTCAGCTGGATAAACCCTACATTTCGGGGAGTAACGGTTATTTGCGCATCTTGTTTTAGTTACGTTGTATTAGTGCACAGAGGAATACTGACTGCTCCAGAGAAAGGTCTGCGACAAAACTGGGAAGACCCTGAATCCAGGGTGTACTTGTCATGTCCATTTTGCCTCAGAGGACAACAGACACGGGCTGAGTGAAGAACTATTTTGATTTTGTGAATGAGGAGACATTGCGCGAGGAGCCGAGCCACGTTCGAAATGTGAAGTCCAAAATCTGCAACGTCTCTAAGCCACGTCCATTCTACATTTGATTTGTTTACATCGATTAAGGTACGTGCATGTCATCGTGTTTATCAAAGAAAGACTGACGTTTATGACCGCATGTGTGTGCACAAACGACTCTAATAAACGTTGTTCAGACAGAAAGATGCTTTAAAGACGGATGCACCAATTTGATAGGTGTTGCCTGCATGTGTAGTATCGGGCACACTGGGTACCCACAGGATGTTGGAGCCACACACTGGACTTGACCTCAGGTTTGCTTCAGTATTAAACGCGCGTAAATCCACTCATGGCTTTAAGATAATTCGGTGTGTATTTTCTCACGAGGATCTTATGGGCTAAGGGGTGAGTTTCCATGTCACAATACACTGGACATCATTTTAGGACTGTCAATCACAGCGTGCACCCCACCCCCTTCGATTCCACGGCCCTCCCCCAGTCTTTTACTTTGGAGGTTAAATGTCATTCTTTATATTTGGGTCCCACGCGCTTACGCACCACCACCAACAATGGGCCGTGTCACAAACAAACACGGACTTCTGGAAGCCCCTGAGACCCTCCCATGTGACCAGTATTGTTAGGGTCTTTGCTAAAAGGGTGAAGCATTCTCCAAATGTTTATGCATTAAGCTCCTTAGGTCAGCTAAAACCATGGGTGTCTGTCGACTTCTCTCCCACGCAGGTCCTGTATGAGACCCTTTTAATTTGAGAGAGAATCACTTAAATGGTCACTTGAGTCCTATTACATAAAAGTAAGAGACGACCATCAATGTCTGTGATATATGATCTCCCGCAGCCATTGCCTGTGTAGTTTATTCATAGTGTCTTGGCGCTTCACGGTCTATTTTAGAGTGTTCTGTTTTCCATCATTAATCAATATTCATGCTGTTTATTGTCAGTCGGTGCTTTCATGAGTATGTTAGCTCTCTCCCGGGAATAGAGGATGCTACTGTATCTCCTCTAGGCTGATGCCATATGTACCTTATTTGGAGCACTATATGTGTGTGTGTGTGTGTGTGTGTGTGTGTGGCCTCGCAAACACAACAGTATAACTCTTACGCTTTTACGCACACACCCCTCTCCTCCCATCCCACTCTTTCAAACACAGAGAGATGCTCCAGGCGCGCTGCTCGCTCCAGTTCTTCTCCCAAACGCATCCGGCTGCTGCTTCTTTACACAAGGCCGTCTGATCACTATCACAAGCTCTGAACAAATTTGATGTTTTGTGAACTCCCCTTCATGACGGCGTGTATCCCGGTAGTTCATCCGTAATAATAGAGGATGATAATGGATGTCGGGCCATACGGATGAGTAAAGAGGACCTAAAACATTTTCTATATTTAGGCCTCACGGGATGCCTTCACAGTAATGGTGGCGAGGTGGAGGGGGTTGAATTTGGGATTAAACATGCGCTCGGTTGATTGCCAAGTTAATTAGCATATGGTCGCACTGTGAGTCGGGTCATATGATAATGAGGTCTAATTAAGTTGGCCAGGGAAGTCTAAAACGTCTAAAGGAAGAAAATGCTTCCCTGTCAGCTATATAGACACCCCAAGAAAGGCCTACACAGTACTGATTGAAATGTATTTATTTAAAATACCATATTTTTTCAATTACATCTCACCAGTGTCTTTTAATAATTCAGTCATTAATAGCACAAACCTTCATGTCAGACCCAGTTTGCTCTTTCCCCATTTTCTGTCTAATTTTTCAGTTTTGCTTGAAGAAACAAAAAGGAACAATTCCTTCATTGCTTTATTGTTGCATAAAATATAGTTGCCATTATTCATATGCCTACCCATGTTTCATGAATATGAAATGCTACTGAAGCCAAACAAAATGGCTATCAATAAATATACAGTTTCCAATGCTGAGAAATTCTTGACAGAAAAGTAGAAAGCTGTTGTGTCCATGCATAACATGTAATTATGTAAACTGTCTCCAGTTCTGGGCCAAAATTCCATTTAACTTCTACTGAGCACTCAAAATACAATTCTGTACAATCAGCACAAAATAAATGTATAGCTTTAGAGATACTGCAACTGTGTTCTCCAAAACAGCTACAAAAATTTAGAATGTTAAAATCATAACTTACTACAACTAACAGTGCAATTGATTCACTCCAATAAATATGCCTGTCGTTCACTTCTATTTACAAAAAAATTGAACTTTTCACATCTATAGAATCACCATATTGGTGTCTGGTGTTCTGTTAAAAGTCGTATCATGTGCCAGCTGATCCATTGCTCAACTGGACAGTGAAGTTCAGGAAATCAATACACAGGTTACACTGGTTAATGTAGCAGACTCTTCAAGTCATGACCTTAATTTCAAAGCTGAGTCAGAAAACATATAATTAGTTCAGGCAGTTTTCAAGATGTCATCAGTAAACAGATGTCAAGGCTACATACTGTGTGCATCCCCCTTCCACAGCTGGATCAATATGTTGTTACACAGGGACTGCAAGTATGTGCACACATTTTATTTATGGTCCCAGGAGGCTGCAAGAACTAATGTGAACTAAAGCAAGGATTCAAAAAGCAATAATCCTCCAATTATAGCTGTAGTTAGACAGCATCTGGTTGTCTGATATAGATGGTTAAAACTTGATGGCTTGCTACACATTTTTATTTAGGCATTTATGTCAGATTTATAGAGGTCTGTCTGTGCTGCGATTAGCACAGTTTGCACATCAAGTAAAGAAATAACAAAATCTCTTGTTTCAGTTTTTGTATAATTAATTTTCACTGAAATGTGGCCAATCCCTTGGAACAATTTGTTTGACTTATGACAGGCACATTTATGAACTGAAGAGAGACTTTTGGTGTATTGTGAGTAAACTGACATGTGTTTCACGTGAGATGCCCTACCTCATAATGCTACTTGAAAGGGCTTAAGACTGGCATATAATTGTAACTGAACCACTTCACTGAATCCAAACCTACAGCACAGAAACCATGATTTATTAGTTTATGATTTATTGCTTTGTTCTAGAGTAGATGACAACTATGGACAAAAGTTTTCTTTGAGTGCCCTTCAAGACTAAGCTGTAGCATTTCCCCAGGCTTAAACTTGTCCACAAGGGACACAGTAGCTCACACATCACAATATATGAATATAAGATAATAACAAAGAGCAAAAATATAAATAGTAATAATAAATAAAAAAATAAGTTGCAAAAGTAGCAAGAAACTAGTGTCAAAGAAGGCATAATTTTACAAATGTATATGTACAAGTAAAATTGAAATATAGATACATAGACACATACAATTTAGTAATACAAAATATATCTGGGCGATATACAAATAATTAGTAATAACTTCTTTTATGGTATGGCAAAGCAGTGGCAGAATGAATGTGAATTGAAAAGCACGCATCAAAATGCAATAATGTCTTCAATTATGCACACGTTAATTAGTTATCAACATGTATGCTATGTGTGATATTTATAGTCTGTGCTGGTACATGGTGGCTCGCTACATCACTGCATGGAAATCTGGAGTGGGGCTGCACCTGTAGTATCCTTGTTGCAGGTTAACAGTAGTGACATAAGAAATGCATGGTGCCTATTTGCCGGGTTTGTGTAAGAATGTTGCTCTTTAATAATAGATGTCCCAGAACAGTATGTAATATTCACATGCAAATTAGCAGGCAGAGCACAGTGGAGTAGACTAGTGCTATGGATGTGCAGTATATGTATGTATAACACTGATACATGCACAAAGCCAAGATGGAGCTTTTGGCAGCGGAGGAAGATGAGTCCCACAAAACAGCAGCCACGCAGAACTGGCACAGTCTGGATCCTTTAGTTACATAAGATACACAGCAAGAATAAAGTCTAGGGGGAGGCGGGGGGAGGGAGGGGGCACAGGCAACAAAAAAGGGGACCAGAGAGCAGCCAAAATGGAAGCTGAAATAGAATGAGAATGGAGTGTGGTGAGGAGTGGAGGGAGAGGGAGGCTTCACAGCACGGCTTTAAATGTAGCGAAGACACGAGACCCTTCTACTCACTATACAGCGCGGAGAACGAGAGGGTCTGAAAAGAAAGAGCTTTTAAAGTCAGTGAGACAAAAATGGCAACATGGAGTGGTGAGGCGAAGAGATAAGGCAAAGAGGTGTGGAGATGGCATTTTCTGTGACTGTGTGTGGTGAAGTGACACACTGTAGGTGTGTGCTATGTTACGTGGCTCTGCATTGGAAACAAAGTGAAAATATTCAGACTGTCGTAGAATAAACTGTAGTAGCCTGAGAGCTGAAGTGAAAAGGTCTGACGTTGGAGAAGTTTATTTACCAGCAGTACAGAACTCAGCACCCGGTGACATGAATCCTCAATAGACTGCGATAGTGTTGTCCATTCCAGTCTAGTGCAAACTAGTCTTTTTGTGCTTCTGGTTTGGGGAGTATTATACCACTGATGACGAAGGCTAAGATAATAAGGTTTGAGCTAATAGTGTCCTATAGACTATATTAATGTATTATCATACATATTTTTGCTTGTGGTACAGATGTGTAATAATAAATGACATGTTATACTGCTTTTTCAGCTAAATACGATGTCCAAATTCGTTCCCTGGCCCTCAATCATCCAAAAAGTGACTTGTGATGGCTGTGAAAACAAACATTCCTAAATTGTCATCGTATCATATGCTTGACCCAAAGCGAGATTTTCCAAGTTGTCATCTGACTGTGTTTCCTGGCGGCTCTCTAGTCCCATTCAGTAGCAGCCAGAGCATCCATCTGTGCAGGAGAGGGTGAGAGGGGAACATGCTAAAGTGCTCACTGGTGTCATTTGAGTCTTTTCTGTTTGGAGCATCTCCGCAGACAGTCATTAGGAAGTGACAAAGGTAGAGGAGGACCAGTTTGGGAATGAGCAGGCACAGTGTATTGTTTTGTCCCAGCTGTTGCCATGGTTATGACTAGAAAGCCAATACAATGTGAGGAGATAAAATTAGTGTAAGGTGTTTGGATGCAACAGCACTGTGTTTAGCCATGTGTTTATCAGTGACTCATGCATCAGTTACACTGTAAAACATGACAAACTCATTAAATACCTGGGGAATTTAATGCATTTAATATAATGGGCATTAATACATCTCCTAGTGTGGTGAGGAATTGTTAACAAAAAATAAGTTGGCAGTTTAAAAGTTATTATTAGTGCATTTATGTAATGTTTCATGGCACCTATACATATTTGGATAGATCAGATGATGCATGAAAACATACATAACATAAAGAAATGTCTGATATTTTACATAAATTACACAATATTAAATGCCCTTCAGGTCTCACTCCCATTAGCCTAGAAAAGTGACTAAAAACACTTAAGATGCAAGATTATTATTATTACAGTTTTACAGTGTACAAGCAAATGCCGACCAATAACAGCCTGCGGCAATGAGGAGATGACACAACATGACAAGAAGAAGTCAGGATATGAGGATGGCAGAGTTCGAATAATGAGGGAGGAATAAAGGGCTGCTAGCTCCCTTAAGGCTACATCAAAGAGTCAAACAGATAAATATGCACAAATTAATGTACTCGCACAAACCTTTACTGTTAATTAATATTTCACATGTAAACAACAACTATGGCTGTAAAAAACAAGATCAAGGGCTGCATGATAGATTGTCCTAGAAAGTAAGTTCTTAGAAAACTGTAAAATTTTAAAGCATGTTAAAATATACGTAAAAAGAGCAATAAATAAAACATACTTGGCATTAAAGTCATAATCATATTATTAATATTTTCAATCTAATTATCATGGACAATTTGTGTGCAATTTTGAGCAAAAAGATTATTCATCATGGTTTTGTTTTGCTATTAGCACAAACCTGACTGCATAAATAACAATAAAATAAAATGCGTTATACTTCGTACTTTTGTATTATTCATTACAATATTTGGCCCCTCTCTCAATCATCTTGAAACACAATAAAGCAAGAGGATGAAACGACCAGGCTTGTTGCTATTCTCTAGTCTGCCCTAGTTACACTGCAGCTGGAGGCACTGTGTGTGACCCAGCAGCCTACCCAGTGTGTATTTAAACCAGGCTCTCTCATACTTACTTTCCCTGCCATTTAGACGACGATGAAACACTAGCCTTTATATGGTATGTAAATACTGTGGCTATTTTTATGTCAAAGCATATAAAGAAGTCTTGGGATAAACAAAAGACTTGGAGAGTTTGAAGTGGGGAATTTTTAAAAGTGCACCCAGCAGCTTGGAAAGAATTTCTGAAACTGACACTGCACTTTTTTACTGTCTGTATTTTGTCTTTAACTACTCTTACATCCATAATTAACTACAGGATACCAGAATGCACTTTAAAAACATAAAATGTATATTTTTTTATAAGTAGATTAGAGCAGTGGTTGAGTAACTTGAGTTATTTAGTGGACTAGACAAAGTGCAGTGGTGACTCAGTTGCAGGTTTGTTGGTGTAATGACACTGACCTTTACTGCTTGTCACTGCTGTTACTGTGGGCTTTACTCTGTTGGGGGTATTTATGAGCTTTGCAATAGCAATGGAACAAAGGAAATGTTTCTCAGGTTGAAAAGAGCAGTTTCTATTGTTTGTATGCATGTAGAACTGTATGAACTACTGTTCTTTGTTTCTGCTTAAAAAACACAGCAGTGGGCACAACAGCATTGTCCCTACAGAGAATAACTTCAGAGGAGATGTTTTCTACATGTATGGCTTTAATCATTGACTTTCTTTTGTTTATCCTCTTTCAGAAATGGCGATCCTGCCCGTCCTCCTCCTGCTGACACTCTCCATTGCACAGCCTGGCTCCAGTCAAGAGTTGATGGGCCCAGAGCAGGGGGCTGTCCCCAGAGGATGTGGGTGGGGCATTGTGCGCCCATACACACTACTCTGTGACCTGGACTCTGTTTGGGGCGTGGCCGTGGAATCGGTAGCCGCTGGAGGAGTTCTGGCCTCCATCTTTCTCGCCCTGGTTCTCCTTTGTCGCCTCCGTCACATCAGTGAGGGGGAGAAGCGAAGTGGCGTGGGCCCCATACTTCTGCTCCTTCTTGGCATCATAGGTCTGTTTGGCCTAAGTTTTGCATACCTTATTGAGCAGGACGAGTCGCTCTGTCTCCTGCGGAGGGCGCTATGGGGTGTGTTGTTCGCCCTGTGTTTCTCTTGTCTGCTGGTGCAGGGTGTGCGTCTGCGCAGGCTGGGGCGTGAACGGCGTAGCCCAGGTGGGTGTGCCCTCACCGGGCTGGCCCTGGGGCTGAGTGCAGTGCAGGGGATCATCGCAGCTGAGTGGCTGCTGCTGACCGTGCTCAGAGAGGGCCGGGCCGCCTGCCAGTACCTGCCTCTGGACTTCTCTCTGGCCTGTAGCTACGTCCTGGCCCTACTGTTAGCCGCACTGACCGCTGCCTCTCTGGCGCTCTGTGGGAAAACTCGACAGTGGCGCTGTAACGCCATCTGGCTGCTGGTGACCTGTGTGCTGTCACTGCTGCTGTGGGTGGCCTGGGTGGGCTTCTATCTGTATGGGAACGACTGGCTGGGACGCTCTCCCGAGTGGAACGACCCCACACTGGCCATCGCTCTAGTGGCTCAAGGCTGGTTCTTGCTTATCTTCCATGCCATCCCTGAGTCCCACCTGTGCTTGAGACCCCCACCACAGCCCACCGCTCCCGACTACTTCGACACGTCTCAGAACTCCACCAGGATGAGGGAGACCAGCTTTGATGATGAGATCCCACTTTCCCACAGGCAGTTTGTGGAGAACCAGGGCTATGGATACACTGATGAGAATGCAGCAGGTATGGTGCAATGCTATTTAATATGGAATGCATTATTTCCAGACTATAACAAAGGCAATAAATATTGACTAAGGAGAAAGCTTTTTCATATATCAAAAATAACCACATTATGTCCAAAAGTGAATGATGCAAAACAATATTTTGCTTCTATACAAGTTGAACAGTGGGTAGAATGCTACCTTAATATTCAGATGTTTCAGTAGCCTATTATAAGCAGCATCATAACTGAATTCATCCTATACCTATATTTGACCTGTCTCTTACACCTTTCCTGTCTTGTGTCCAGGCTTGAGGAGTGGCAGCAGTGCCGGGCAGCACAACAGCAGCGGGGGAGCCCGGCCCAGCGCTCCGTTCCGCAGTAACGTGTACCAGCCCACAGAGATGACCATGATCCTAAACGGGGGCGCGGTGAGTACAGCCTCCCAGTCACAGGTACACCAATCTAACTCCATGTAAATCTGACATCCCAGCCTTCACACTGGACTGCATGTGCAACCAGAGTTCAACAACTCATTTGGGAATGTGGGGGAGGTGTGAGTGAGTGATGCACGATCATGTAACTTTTGTGTATCTGTGGGGACATGCATGAATGGTTTTGACATAAGGCATATATATATATATATATATATATATATATATATATATATATATATATATATATATATATATATATATATATGTACATACATACATACATACACACACACACATACAGTATATAGTATATATATATATATATATATATATATATTTCCTGAACAAAAACAGGAGACAGATTTTTAAATGGCACCATTCAACACAAAGAATAGTTGAATTTATTTCTCCTAAGTCCAAACTCCAAACCAAAAGCTTTTACTAACAGGGGATTGACAATGATGTCGATTCAAAAGAATAAAAAGTTGATCATAGACAATTGAAAATGACTGGATCTCTATTCTGTAAAAAAAAATCTATTAATTACTTACCATATTACATACAGAGAATGTCAATAAAAAATAGACCAGCATCACCACTAGTTGCCTGCGTACCATAGTTTGAGAACCACTGCCACAGGTTATACTCAAAGCAACTGTCCGTGTGTGTGTGTGCGTGCGTGCGTGTGCCTGTGTGGGTGTGCGCTTGTATGTGTTTTGTGTATGGCTTCTCTTTATGCACTGTGAATGGACACAGTAGCACGGTGCACTCGCAGTCATTATGAATTCGGCCTGTCAGGCAATGACACAACACACCTCGTAACACTGCAGCCCAAATGCTGAATCAACACTTTGCTACACGCTAATGTATAGTCCCCATTTGTAGCTATCTTGGCCTATATTCTCATTCACATTGCAGCTCATATAGTTTTATGGTAACATTTACAACCTCCAATTACACTTTGCACTATTACTATAATCAAGTATTTAAAAGGTTATTAACTGAATGAGAAGCACATTTTGCTATAAAAAAAGATCTTTGAAACAAGCGATTTAAATAGAAATTAAATTGGATGTTACTGTGCTATGTAGTGCTATGGTGAAGACTAATACAGAATTGTGTTCTTTCATCCATTTGTCTCATTTTACTGTACATCTTATCTGATGTCTTCAGTGAAAATCCAATTCTGAGTTCTGGTAAATTCACTAGCTGTAAAATGTTGTCTGCTGGTACGGACTGATTGGCCTGTTTATATCCAGCAAATATATGGGGTTACAAGACTGCAAGGCTGCCTTTATACTTACACACACCACACCAAAATTGGAGCTAAAGCTGGACTAGACCAAAAGTAAACCTGAACAGAACCAAACCAAGTCTCAAACCAGGATCAAACCTGGATAAGTGATGCAGCCTAAGACACAGAGAAATATATTATCTTCCCAATTACCTCTGCCACATATCTTCTCAGTGGGCCTAGATGTTCAAATACTTTCTTGCCTTGACTTAATATCTAAATTTTTCAGTTCTCTCTAAACCAAATTATGTAGAAAAATGTTATGAAATACATCCCTGAACATGAACATTTACATGAGCAATAAGCAACTTTTCCTAAAAAATAATTTCTGTTTTTATCTTCTGCAGGTGCCCTCAGCCCCTCCCACCTACACCGGCCGACAGCTGTGGTAAAGGATCATATTTTGAGAAGATGATATGTTGAGGAGGATGAAAACAGTGAGGAGTGTTGAGAGATGTGTTGGACTTAAAAAAACAAACAAAAAACGTTGTCACCAAGTGGGCAAATTCACTTTGTACAGACTTAATAACTGTCTGTGTGCCAATCAACTTGTATTGTTTAAGTGTGTATGGGACTCAGAGACAGTGGGCAATGGAGGGCTGAGCTACAACGTTTTAGAGGAAAGTTAAAACTAAAGTTATGAACAAAAATGCAAAAAACTAATAATCTGATTCATATTAAAGCTGTCAAGGTGTTGTAGCATTATTCTCCAAAGAGCAGCACTAAAACAACAGAAAAATCGTTCCAGTTTTCCGGCCAGTCAGACTGTCTCTTTGCTAAGATGGAAAACCTTTGGCTCTGTCCTCCATCTATCCACACAGAAGAGCACATGGGCATCTGTACAGCATAAGTACCGCCCTATATTAAAATAGAGTGTATACAACATCATCTCAACTCCAGTCTGCCCTATCCCTCCGAACACTCGCATTTCTCACTCTTATTTACCCGCATGGAACTCAAAACTGTGAAGTCCACCTGACCACAGCACGGAGCCAGTGCATAAGGACGTTGACGCTGCTAACAGACTTGTTAAATACAGGAAGATTCTGAAGGACTGTGATTGGGCAGTTGGGACGTCAGTTATCGGCGAATCTAGGTCACACTGCTGTGCTCTCCGGTGGGCAAATGTCACTTTAAATCAGCAGGAAAAGAAGAGAGGAAATGCAACGGCTTCCTTCGTCTGTTTTGTATGTTCGGACATTTAAAAGACATTCAGATAACAGGGTTGCTAACTGGTGCTAAATACCCCATAGCATATTACAGCTCTGCACAACTTCCCAGTGAAAAAAATTACATTATTGTGTGCAAGACATATAAGCTTGTGCGATGATAGACTCAAAGATGGTCTATAGGGGACACTCCAATCCTACAGTAACAAGATGGCGCCCGGTTCGTCTGTTTTGGGGGCGGCGGCCATGCTGTCGTGTCTATCTGGTAGAGCGTCCAGGAAGTCAGTGTGCCAAGAAAGGACTCACGTTTCTCAGAGTCTACATTTCACACTTCTGTCACCACAGGCTCTGTACATAGTATGGTGTAAGCTTGTTTACTTTGATTTAGTTTAGTCCTACTGAAGAACTGACGACTTTTTTTTAAGTTGATTTGCCTTGTGTTCCAACATTTGATTTTTGTTCAATTAAGCTTTTTTCAGATTTATTTTTTATGATTAGCTATTTCTTAATGTTTTGCCAATACTAGACATGCTTTGATTTTTGTTTTTTTTGTTTATTGCATGTATAAGTTGTAAATTACAGTCAGTGTGCTGCTGCAACTTGTAGTATTTCTGTCAATATGTCTGCTTCCTCTTATTTGGTATATTGATGCAGTGTTCACAGGTACATTGTGGAATATTTGAAAGGGGGTGAAAACAGTACTTCCAGTCAGTGGTACTGTTCTTAAAGCAGTTCTAAACTAAGTAACAACTAAAGAGACTGGGGGGTCAGACCTTGACCACTGCTGTATGTATTCCACTGGTGATTCTAAAATAGCACTGGTACCAACATGCCACTTCTCAGCCAATCAAAACCAGCCTCCAAATGGGCTGGTCCTGGATCAGTAATAGAGAGGGAGAGGCATTCAAGTACTGTGTGTGTTTTCACTTACTGTGGAGTACAAAAAAGTAACACGTGAATTTGTAGATTTTGCACTTGTCAACTACCTATCTGTGCATGCTTCTCACCATTTCAACATGTAAGACCTTCTTGAAACGTACTTTTGAATACTAACTATAAAGGTCATGTGACAGCAATCATCTTTCAGTGTATATCCAATTCTTCACTCTCTGTGTCTGTGCTTTCTCAAACGTATAATGGAGTGCTGGGGCAAGACAAAAGGTCAGAGGAAATGGACTAGAACACAATGGGATCATAAAATAAACTTATGTTTAGAATCTTCTGACTGATATTATCTGTGACTGTGATGAAATTTGCACAAATCTTCTCCACGTGGTTCAGTTTGTCATCCCTGGACCAAAAAAGCCCCCTCCCCTCTGGCTTGTTGTTGGCTGTCCTCGTAATATGTCTTGCCTTCAGACTGTTCCATGGGGCAGCTGACAGGGTTGATATTCACAGCTGTGACGGTGCAGTGACGCAGCATGCCTATGTATAGAACCTGATTCTTCTGATTAGAAAATTGAAAAAAAAGTTCATTCATCTTCAATAAAAGTGTCATGTTTGTAGCTAATTTCTAACTGGGCGTGGCGTTTTCTTCATGCACAAGTCTAGTTAATTGCAATAATTCATTCAGACTCAAATTAGACATTTCTAAGTTCAGCGCTTAATGAAAGATTTTTAAATTGCTAAGCCAGGGAATGTTACATTTTAAGTTTAATTGCTCATGACTGGCTTTGATAAATAATGCTTTAAAAAGTCAACAAAAGATATGCCCTGCTGACTGATTAGTCGACTAAAAAGGGGCGAGGCAAAAGCTCAAATTTCACTCACAAAAGTACAGTTGCAAAGGAGTTAATGCATAAACATATAAAGAATAAGAGCAAGAAACAAAGACAGATTAAATTTGTGAGTTTATTTTAATTTATAAAAAGGCAGATTGTAAAAAAATACCAAATCTTCAGCTCATTCAGTCACTCACTTACTTTCCTTTTTTGGTGTTGCCCCATATACATCCTTATAATCTAAATAACTAATATGACTAATTTCACTACAAATTTGTGTCCATTAAGACTTTGTTGCCTAATAAATCGACTAAATGATTTCAGCCCTACTGGCCTCAAGAACTTAATACACACTTCGGTGGCAATATTACAAAAACATTCTGATGTTTAACAAACACACACACACACAATACTTCCACTGAAATCTGAACTCGGCCTCAAACCACATGCTTTTATAGTGAAGAGCCATAAAGCACATAAAAGTCAGTGGCTCTAGCACTTCATCTTAACCCAGCCAACATTAAAAACAGTTCACTCTAGTGTATGTATAAGCAGTCATTTGTGGTGTTTCAGTTCGGACTGGTCCCAGGAGCACACTGTTATCTGACTTTGCTGTGACAGTCTGGTGCCGTGCTCTGATCCAGTTACAGAGAAGCCCAGAGCTGCCAGACTCAGTGGAGCTGGATCAGATATCCCCAGAAAGAAATGCCCTGTTTTATCATCCAAGTCAATGGCAGCTGTCCCTCAGTCATCCACAAACCTTCCATAGGATCTCATAGGACTTTAGTGTGAGGCAAAAACCATTCATCACATGACCACCAAGAAGAGGAGAACAGAGGAAATATAGCTTGAAAAGAGATAAAAGTCAGTCAAGATAGTACCTTCACTTGAAATCACTGACACAAGAGAAGACAGTGTTTTATATCGGCAAGCAACCTTAGAAGGGTGTACAACCGTATTCCTGAGTTTCAAGCATAAGGATTCTTTCCTGATTTGAAGGATATGGCATGGCAATGGTCCTCTGTTGTCACTGTAATCACACAATTCAACTCAAAACATTCTATCTTATGAATGGGGAAAGGTCATCACAAATTCCTTTAAATCAGGAGGGGATCATTTGTCTGAAACTCAGGAATAGGCTTTACAAGAAACCTATATCTTGTCTAATTAATAATGTAAAAGTAAACACAACGGTGGCATTCATCCTTACTCATGTGCAGGGCATCTGGCATAGAACAAATTCAGAAACAAAAGTCATTTAGAATTTCAGTGAAAGGTTGAATGGAAAGAAACATGGTCATAACTTATTTAATGTTAAGAGTGGAAGATTGGAGCAAAAGTAAGTAACTATAATCGCTCCTAGACAGGTTTGGCATACAACAAAGGCATAAACTGGTTAAAAACTTACACATGCAAATTATCAGAAAAACATTCCCTTTTGCATCCATTAATTCAATCTGATTTACCATTTCATCCACTAACTGGATGTTTTGGACAGTGGGAGGAAGCTATAGCTCTGACTACATAATAGCCATACATAAGTCATATAAAAACATGACATTTATCACCATTCTTCGTTAATTTTATTTCTTAACAATCTCATCTTTAACAGAAATCCACAGTTTCACACATGCTACATTGTGCCCCTTTTGGCCTCTTGTGCAAATGTACATATAGCACAGGAAAAAGGAAATGACAACTCAGAAAATATGATTTGGTGATCACGTAGTCAGCACTCAGCTAAGGGTGCTCAGGGGTGGCTTACAAGCTCGTAATATTTTCTACTTCCTACAATATAACATGGGACATCCTGCGCAGCATTAATTTACAAGGCTGGTAAAAGGAAGCCATCTATCATAAAGGCAATGAAAGCAATCATCTAATTACATGTGCATCTCTCGGTCCATAAATCTCAGCCTGAACATACCCAGTTGGTCACAGCCATGTTTAACAGCAAGTTTGACTGATCACATTGGTCAGCTTTACATCAGCTTAATAGCTATAAAATAATAAATAGTGTGTGGTACAATACAAATGAAAAGCTATAACTTCAAAAAACTACAGGCAAATATATAGGCTGGAGAGAACAAGGAGGGTCCATTGTAAATCACTGCTATGTTCTGAAATGATGTAATGATTACGTTCTCAATATTTCTGGTTATGCTGTCCCAGAAGTAGGTTAGGTTATAGCTATTGCATGAGAAGTGATTCTAAAACAAACTTTTGATTGATAATATAAAGGAGAAGTGGAAACTAATAAAACTATTCACAAAATAACATTCAAACTGCAAATGCCTGAAAGAAGAAGGTAGAATAGGACTATTTCTGTTTGACACTATAAGAACTACATCACTACGTTTTATTTTTTTGTGTGCAAGATAGTGAATAAAATTATTTGAACTATTGTAAGTTGCGAAATGCATTCAGTTATTCATATGGGTTTCATTAGGGCCGTGAGACCCCACTAAAGAAGGAGAAACTGCAGCCAATGATTTCACACTGGAATCAGGTACAGTGAACTTAGCCAGCAGACCATCAGAGCCTATGTCAGCCAGTCCGCCCAAACTGGGGGTCAGCCACTCACCGGGGGTCACCTGGATGGTGGGGGTGTGGACCACGGTGCTCTGTGGAGTCGGTGACATGACCTGAATAGAGAAGTCCGAGTTCTCCAGCTGAGGACTTTCAGGAAGATCTGTCATGGACGAACCAACTGAAAGAATAAAACAAAATGTACATGAACTCGCACAGACAACCTGTGAACAATATGAACATTCATGGTCCTATTTAGGTCATTAAAAAAGTGTGACTATCAACTAAAAAAGGGGGGTTCATTTGTGACTTTATTGTTTTTTTAGAGAGACTTGTTTACCAAAACAAATCAGCTTGCCTGTTGTATTTCCATTTAAGACAGTTCTTTCTGGTCAGATTGTATTAAAACAAAATACAATTTGAGTAACAGTTTTAGACAGAGCAATGCCTCCAGTTAGCTTTGTTCCCCCCAAGAAATGTTGATGACATCACTTAAAGGTATCAATAAAGATACTACAGTAGAGTTCATATCTCTTTGGCACCACTGAAAGTAGTAGCCTGAAGAATGTACAATTTACAGCAACATTTTCACACAATAAAAAGGCCAAGATTCTCTGTGGTAGTATTTTCAACAGCAAAGTTTTTGGTTGGACTATTTTAGATCTCTGTTGTTTTTAATATTATTAAATCAAAGGTATGACTCATGTCGTTCCCTGTATTTGGAGGCTGTTATTCTACCCCATGGTGTAATAAATATCCACACGTCAGGCCCAGTCAAGGACAGTCTTGTTGTGATGCATGATCTGTTGAATGCAGCACCTGTCCAACTGCCCATGACCTTTTGACCTCTGACATATCCTTGTGTGGTGCCACTACGGTTCACTTAGTGTTGCAGTTCTTTTTTCTCTATTTCGGGCTAATTCTGATTTCAGACTGTGAAATGGCAGAGGAGATATCACGTGTTAGTCTCCTCGGGTCAGTTGAGATGACTGCAGCTGTTGCCAGGTCAACTTAAAAAACGGGGGGAGGGGGCCCCAGACTGTTTTAAAATAAAGTGTAACATATATATATATATATATATATATATATATATATATATATATATATATATATATATATATATATATATATATATATATATATATATATATATATATATTTTTTTTTTTTTAAACTAAATTCAGTTCTTTTTCTTGTTGTTTAGTCGGGTTCTGGTCTACTTTATTCGAGATTTGGGTGCACAACATTAGAACTACGTATGCAATGACCACACACAGCAACATAATCTTCTTGCCAGTTCAAGTTAAATCACTCCAGTTCAGCAGTGTGCAAGTTTTTTAATTAATGTTTGTCCATACAAAATCTAGTGTTGTGTACACAATAGGAGCTGATTTTAAGTGCTTTAGCCTTTTCCATTAGAGCAACAGTCTGGACATGTTCTGTGTATCTTGTGCCCGGGGTAGCCTGTATACTGTGAAGTCAGCAGTAGTGGGGCATGAGCAGCTGTGGCAGAGCAGTGCAGAGGTGGCACGGCCATAGCCACAGCCATTGTTGTGAGGAATGTGTGATTATGATAGACCTATTGTTTGTATGGAGCAAAACAATAAAGTGCGGCTAATAGGACATTTTTATTTTACATATTTACATAAATAGTATTCTGTACAGTCAACAGTCCTGCAACCATAGACATTTCTTAATATTTTATTTAGTTTATTTACGCAAGAAAAGGCATGTATAATCTGACGTACAAACTTACATGAACCTATATAAATATATAGAATAATTACTGTGCCCATGCTGTTATCTACATTTGCACATTAATAGTGCAAGACAACCTAACACACATCTGTGAGGAAGTAATACTGATCCTACATAGCTCATAACTCACTGCTATGGAAATGTACTTTTAGAAAAATAAATGATCACTGTTGGGAAATTAAAAATGCCACATGCTGCCCTCTTGGCAGAAAAAAATACAAAATCAGTGCCCACAATAATGACTAAAGCTATAGCAGCTCTTCTGGTTTATGTCCCAGAACTGTCCCGTGCATCTTTCACTCCACTTTTGAACACAGTCATGCATTCTCAGCTGTCCCTTGTTCACATTTCCATCATAATCGTTTTTAAACCTTAAATCTTATACTATGAACAATGACTTAGATTATCACCCTGCCCCCTAACAGGTGCAAAAATAGAGATGATCAGCCATTTACCCTGTCCATGGCCATAACCGATTAAAGCAAATTAAATATTTGGTATCAGTCTAGTATAGTACACTGTAGTGTTTGTAAATGTAAAATGCTTGTACCTCTGCTTTCTTGTTGTGCCCAGAACTTCTCCACTGTTTTGACTATGTCTTGATTGTCTCTCAGTTCCTTCTGCCACTGTCGGAGCTCCTGCACATCTGGCCGTGCCCTCACCTGAAGAACACAAATAAAAGCAAAAACAACAACAATGGAAGAAAATGCAACAGAAATGTGTCTAATTTGATGGTGGCAAGAAAGGCGGGACATAGACAACACTGGCTGAGGGGTATGTTACAAATAAATACTAGAATAGACAAACTAGAGCTTGTTTATTGTTTAACTGTATGGTAAAAAAATCTAAATTGTTAAGACAAATGACATATACATAGATGAATATCTAATTAATTAGATCTTTTGTGTTTAGATACAATTCTTGCTTTAGAGTGTTTTAAATGCAATAAGCTTTAAATGATCATTCTCTCTGTCCTTGGTAATCCTTTAAATTGCAGAAAACCCCTGGTGCAGTGTTTGTGTATCTGTGTGGGCTGTTGGTATTCCCGTGAGATTAATAAACAAGGTCGCTGAAAAGAAAATGCCTCTAAGCTTTAATTTGCTTTACTTGTTTGGTATCCTGTAAGCCTCCTGCCTTTTTTTTTAAACAAAACTTTCTATCTCCAAATCCTTCTCATCTCTGATCCTCTACGCACAGGTTCTTGAGTGCCCGGCTATTCAGCATGTCTGAGAATAGGCCTGTTATATAATGCACAGGCTGGTAGAGAATTTGGCTACAGCGAGAGTGCTGCAATAGCTAATTCACTCATACAAATGGAAATCAGGGGTTCAGGGTCAGAGAGGTTCTGTTTTCTTCTGCCACTTTCATTCATTTGACACGTTGCCACAGTGAATCTTCTTCACACAATTTAAATGCAGGACCACTGAAACGATTTATAATACATGATATTTAGTCATGACGTGTCACACATTCGGACAAATAGTTCCTGGAAAGCTGCCATTGTAAGTGCACTGCTGACAGTTATGTGCAACGTTTGAGGGATGTCTGCGTATGTACAGCAGCAAAGCTTGTTACACAGTTGAAGTGTTGTTTATCCCCAGGGGTAAGTGGTGATATAAAAAAGAAGTTGCTACAATGTGTTTATTTGATTATATTATTAGTATTTGAGCACAAGCTTAATTTTAAGGTGTAGTATGAAACTTTCTGGAGATGGCATGTCACCTGCATGATCAATAGAGATAGATTGTTAAAACCATACTTTGGAACCTTCTTCAAGTTTATTATATTATTTCTATTTATTATTATTTATATTACATTATATTTATAGTCAAAGCAACCATATATCCATGGAGACAAGCAGGTGGAGGCCATTCCCCACGCCAAGTGAGGGTCAGGTTGGTCAAGATGCATGTTTTTCAGTGGATTAAACATATAAATATAATACAAAAACATGCATTTCTATGTCTATCTTTCTCCTAAAAGATTACATACTGTGACTATAAATATATATTTTACAATGTGTGCTGCATCCACATCATAAAACACAACTATAAAAACTACTGGGGACTAGTGGTTTAGACTGAAAAAGAATAGGGATATGTGTTCATTCCATTTCATAAGGAGTTACTAAATTTTGACAAACCAAGCAAGAAGAATCAGGAACAAAATCAGGACAGTTTGAAACAACAACAAAAGGAAGCTGCTACATAGTTGAAATTTGAACTAAACTCAATTAAAATCATTACCAAACCCCTGAACTGCAAAAGATCCACGAGGACAACCTGAAGTAGTCCACTGAGTATCAACCAACCACCAAATACAGGCTGCTGCACACTAAACTCCTGTTCTATTTTTAAGATGCTTCCATGTTTCAGCTTTTCTCCCAGACACAAATGCTGATGCACAAAGGCTTTATAATCACAGGCCCAGACCACATCACATGCTCCATGCTCTCCACAGACCTATTATTGCTCCTGTCACCAAAATCCAATGCAAAACCCTAAGCTACAGCATATCTATGTAGCTTGCCAAGTTGTTGACTAGATAGAAACAATAAAGTGACTGGATAAGTGGTCACTAAATCAGGTATAGATTGCTAATTAGCCCTAAACCTTTTGTGTAATGGTGTCACTGATTGACAATGCACCAGACCTATTTTCCATCCAGTTATTTATCTGTGGCTGTAGACCGTTCATCCGGAATCACAGACCCACTTCTGCTGTTGACTCTAAAGCTTGCAGAGTGGTGAGTGCGCAGTTCTCTTTCAACCAGCCCTATTAGTTTATGCCAAATACAATATCACTCAATACGCACCATGGCCCACTTTCCAGACAATGGAGCTATAGCTTTAAGGTTATCCTGTGCACCAGAGTAGAATTTTTGAAAGAATGGGCCTAAGACATGTTACCTCAAACAAAACAAAACTATTTTTTTGCTATATTTATTATTCATTTCAATTTTTTTTAGATTCTTTTCCTTGGCATTTAAGCATTTTGTGGTATGTCAGTATGTTGTGTTTACATAATGGCATAAGATTCCCATGCTTTAAATATGAGGAGGAGGTTATTCTAAAAGTATAAAACTGCCAATGTTTTGACTTGGTTTATGGTCTATATCGCTGTCATTACTGTCTGTCCAAACTGAACAAAAACTGGTTCTCACTGAGGAATCAAAATGTTGTAATATTCAATCAGGTGCAAATGTTGCCTTTAAGAGGACTTTAAGTTTTGTTGGTATATAATGTATGTAAATAAATGTAATATATAATGTCATGTTCGTCATAAAAATAAACAATTGCAATAGGTATAACACATATTTGATCTGACCTTTTGTGACCTCCTGCTTGAATAAGTGGAGATTGCTTTCACACATTAGCAAAGACAACCAATGTCTGCATTTATTTGTGTACTTAATAAATCTTCACATGCAGAGATAGAGGAAATGGCCTTGATAAAAGCTTCTCTCCTTGGCCACAAAGCCCTGATACTGACATCCTAATATGAAAGCCTATTTATTACCAGCACCCTCAGCAATCCATCGGAGTTGAGCAGATGTGAGGAAGCGTAAGGCATCTTAGCCTTCACACTGTTTATGTGTAAGTCATACATATGTGTACATTACGGCATCAGACATGGATGAATGGATTAGAGCTAGCCATGGAGCTCAGTGCAAAGAAGATTATGTAATGTAAGTGCTTACGTTTCAGCTATTCCCACTGCTGCAGTGTCCTATGTGATTGGATGAGACAAATGAATAATGGAAATTAATGGGGAAATGATGAAAGGAGGCAGATAGCCTCTTGTGTGTCCAGGGGCTGGGCCTGTCTGATACACAGGCGCTCTGCAGTCAGCGCTGCGTCAGGGAGCTTATATAACAGCAGCAAACGTGAAAGTGAGGGTGCAGCGCGCACATGGGGGCTGGACCAGGCACTATGCAGAGGTCCCCTTTTATTCACAAGACTAAGCCCATATGTTCTAATAGCTAACTCTTACTTATGTCTGTTGGAAAGTATGTAATTCCTCTAGAAATGAGAGAGACAAAAATAGACTGTTCAGCATCACCAGCTATAGAACGTAAACGTGATTTCACCATGAAGTGGCTGCTGGCAACTATAATTGTAAAAGCAATTGTAAAAAGCAGAATGAAGTGCCAGATACATGGACAGAACTTAGCCAATGAATAGGTGAAAACTAGTTATAATTTAATATAATATCTTTAAAGGTCAACTTGACTTTTGTCTTTTCAATAAATTATATTGAATTTGTTGCACACATTTGTGACAGCTCTGATGTAAATTATGCACATCATCATAACAATGTCCTTCACCCCAAATATCTCTGGTGCACCCTGAATAAGTTATGAAACTCAAGTCAGTCCCTATTTATCTGTGTGAGTTCACTGACCCCAGCCCAACATCGAACTAAAACGCAGATGTCTTTTTAGTCATTTCATTATATCCCTTGACATTATGCAGTATTATTGAATGCATCTGCATTTGCAGTATTTTATTTTTCAACCCTATCCTGTTTTTAGCTGTTTGTTCTTGTTCTTGTTACCCACTTAGAGGATATTGCTGATAATTCAGTTCATTACATTAGATCAGGATACATTGAAGGAAAACAGTTGCACAGGCTTGGCAGCAGGCTCAGTACTGCTTCCACACATTTTTTGTGAGCTAGTGCTGCCCTCTGGTGGATGTTAGCTAAACATAACTAAAACAGCATAACTATCAGGGCTAATTGCATTTAGCAACCGTATTGAAAATTTGAAAAGGATTTAAACAACACAACACATGTCCAGAAGCCTGTGATCAGTGCATTCATAGTCCTGTTTAGGTGTTTGATTTTCAACACAAAATGTGAGTGTGACTGAAATCTAAAAACTTGACATAATGCTAACCTAATTAACTTGTAGCTGTAATGTTAATGAGATGGGAGTCAGTCAGTTCTCTTTGGTCAGATTGTGCTAAAATAAAGCTCAGATTAAAGTCTAAGTAATAAAGTAATAGAGCCTCAGACAGAGCAGTGTCTACAGTCAGCATCACCCCCCAAGGGAAAGCTGGTGACATCAGCTGCTAAATATCAATATGAAGACATGTAAAGAAAAGGTACAATGTATGTGAATGGGGGGCTGATATCAAAATAGGGTGACCACATTTTCAAAATCAAAAACTGGGACACCCCTGGTTTGGGTGGTGGGTAATAATACAACTGTGAAACGAGTGTGGGATTAATGAAAATTGTTCTGCACATGTGAGTCAGTGTGTAATCACGTTTTCTTTGTGTTTTGGTCATTTTAAAGCAGCTTTTCTGTATTTTACCTAAACAAGTGGCAATTTATGTCTCTCTTGACTATTGGTAGGTATCAAATTGGTCAAAAATAGACACATCTGGGACATTTTTTGTATAAAACTGGGACAAATCAGTGGTTTTCGATAAATCTGCTAGGACAGGGAACACAAGCTCAAAACAGGACAGGGTAAATAGGGACGTCTGGTTACACTATATCAAAACGATTTAAAAATATAAGTGTTTGAATAAAACTGTGAAAGCATGCTTTACAAAAGGAGGACCTTAAACTATATCTCACAATCAATTAGTTTAATCAGAGACAACTAGAAAAGTATCAAAAGGTTTGCTGGTATTTCACATCTTCTGTTTACTTGTTCTTCTTTAGTGATATATTTGTGGTGTATGATGTGGTCTAGATTTTTTTTTTTTTTTACCTTGTATCCTCTCCAAAAAGACTGGATGATCAGAGAGGCCTGTGCTTCACTAAGTAGTAAAAATAAAGGCAAGGGCGGCCGAGGACTGAAAATAAAAAGAGTCAAGATAGAAAGGTTAATATCCTCATCAGTGACATGGTGCTGAAGATAGAACATTCATTTAAAAGTGTAGACTGAACATTTCACCTTCAGTAGGCATCAATGAAACATCTGTTTAAAGAAGACCCTGTGCCCTAAATCACATCCTTCTATTTGATTTTATTAATTTGATTACTCACTCACTCATACATTATATGCTGGGTTATAAATTAGTTGCAATACATTTTCAAATCAAACAAAGAAAATTTTAATGAAACGCAGGAATGCCTAGTACATGAGATTTGTACTTACTGGATGCTAAGCCAGTTCTTCACAAATGGGATGTCACTCCATTGTACTGGCTTCTGTCCTTGTCGACGTGGATTTTGGCTGTGAAAAATAGGAGACAATCAAATGACATGTTTGATTAAAAAGGTAGGGATTCAGTGTCATAGGGAGACCTCTTACTTGTAAAGCCACTCGGTCAGGAAGTCACATGGATTGAATGCAGTTACCTTTAGCTAAAACATTGCAATGTATCATTTCGAAAAAAGAAATAAATCAACAGAAAACTCATTAGGCACTGTTGAAATGTAAAGAGTAAAATGTAAATGGTTGGAAGAGATGTCAAACTACAGTATGTAGACTAATTAGATTTTATTTGATAGAAATGCACCTTTAAACATCCCTGTTTCAAAACTTCTTTCTGCAAAGCCTCAAGTCCAGGTAGTAAAACAGGGAAAACAGTCTTCTCCAGCCATTCTATGTAAGGATCTAACATATAAGTATGCAGACAGAAACAAATAATGTGCATTAGCACAGTTTCAGGTTGTGTGGGCCAATGGTTAAGACTTACGTCCAAATAGTTGTTGAGGAGGTGGGGAACTGTGAGCAGATTGGGGCTGTAGGCTCAGAACATTGGGCTTGCTCTGAACAGCAGGAGAGGGCAAACCTCTGGAACACTGAAGACTTGAGGATGTCTGAAACTGAGAAGAAATACACTTTTTAAAATCAATTTCCAGTGAGGATTATTATGATTTTCCACTGTGCACAAAATATAGTCCATGTTTCTAGCTGACCTTGACAGGCGTGTGAGTCCCGGAGCTGGGCTGGGACATGGACATTTGGATGCTGGCTTGTGTCAGCTCCGAGCACGATGCACTTGGAGGATTTTCCGATTCAAAGATTTCTAAATCTGACAATCCTTTAAACAAAGGTAGTACAAGAATATGAGGGGAAACAACTTAACCAAAACACCACTTTATAGCAGGCTTACCTTCGGACACTTTTCGAAGCCCGCCTGTTTTAGCGCTCATTTCTGAGTCCTGTTTTTTTAGTTGCCTTGGACGCGAATATCACTAAGGAAATAGACTCACCTGTACTTCCGGTGTGCTGCTAAAAGTAAATTAGAAAGGTGAAATGACGAGGATGATTTTACATAGATTTGACTGTGTATTTCTACCATCTGTTATATTATCTGCTAGCTACGCAGGTCAAAGTATAACACTAAACTGACCAACCACACCACAAGCAGTTTTCGTTTTTGTCGCTAGATGGCAGAGTTGTGACAGTGAAAAATGGATGAAAATGGTCAGCAAAGCAAATGTAAAATTTCTTTATTTAAAATCTTTATTGGAATATATTCCAAAGCAGTTAAGTCATCTCATGACTGAACAAAAATAGCATTTTATCTTAAAAAAGTCCCAAGATGTTTCCAAAATGCACAAAACAGTTTTTATAACAAAATATACATTGCAGTAACTCATAATTTGTGGTCACCAACCGACTTGTTAATAAATAATATTTGAACAAACTTTGTACATAACATTTCAGCCTTTCCCATCTTTGCAACCAAAATTAACTACACATTGGTTTCTCAAATATTGTGAAGACTGGTGCCACTTTTTTTCTTTTTACAGTGCATTTCTTTACATCATAAACACAAAGTCATGATTAACTTCAAATAAAAACTTACGGTGACAGATTTATAACAGAAATCAGAAAAACTACTGTAAGGATACTATTACTAGACATGTTTTAAACATAAGAGGGATATGGTGAAGTCTTAATTTTCAAACTAAATGAAAAGTTCCCTCCTGTGAGAAAATAAAACCAGTACAAAAAAAACAAAGCCTTCACTCCCCTCCGATCGATAAGTTCATTAGTATTTTATGATTTTGAGTTTAAAATCCAAGCAGTGGACTGTCTGATAGAGACCACTTTTTAAAATCCATGATGCAGGTTAAACCAAGCTTAGTAAGCCACATGCTAATAAATGTGGGGGATTTACACAACCCTTTTAACTGCTGCACATAATAAATTATAAAGCCATATACAAACACTAACATTAGAGTTCAGCTCAGTGTTTACATTGTGTTTCTGTGGACAGAGGAAGACTTTCAGTATGTCTCCACAAACATTCAATACCTGCCTAGTGTATTTTCTATTGCCTCTATAAACATCATATAAAGATGAAACATAATCAACAAATAACATAGCATGTCTAGTGTGTCAGGCAAAGATGTAGTGGCTTCAAAGCTAATACAAATGACAAAAATAATGTGAGAAGTGAACTTATACCCTTTTTTACGCATCCTTACTGAAAAACCAGAACACGCAAGAGGGTAGATTTTGTCCAGTTAGTGAGTCTCAAACCCTCACAATATATCAGTGCAAAAGCATTTCAAAAAGAAGAGATTGCTAGCTTCTTTTGTGGTTCATTTCCTGTTTGTGTTCTTCCATAGTCTTTATATATATATAGTTCTTCTTCCTGTACAAAACACATGCATAAAGCAATTTGGATCCTTCTTCTATGGCATGAAAAATGTCCAAATATATCAAAGTGTTCATCCATTTCTAAAAGTTGGCATCAGCTATGTACAGATGATGATATGTCTCCATAGATATGTTGAAGTTGATGCCTGGTTCATTGTGGTTGTGGTTCTCCGTGAACTCTGAAGCGGTAGAGGCAGGTGTATTCTGGATGACCCCAGTTAGAGAGAACACGGACCTCAATGATCTGGAACGCCTTTTCGTTGGGCTCCTGACAAAAGAAAATGTTGAAATTCAGGTCTACATACTAATATAATGGTGCAAAAAGTACCAGTAGTGAAAATATGAACTCAAGTAAAAGTAAAGTGAGATGATTTAAGTAGCATTTTAAGTATTTAATTTAAGTATTCAAGTATTTTTTTCTTTAGCAAACTTAAATTAATTCAACTGATTGTTTATTGCTTTTTAAAACATGATTCAATGTTTTGTTGTATTTTTTTTTTTTTTTTTAGATCTGGCCAATCAGAGCAGCTGAAGCAGTAATGTTAAGTGTGTTTTTCGATATTGCAAGGAGCAGAGAGACAGCCACAGATAAGTACTTACTGTACTCAGTCCTACTATTTTAAATGTAGGCAATTACAAATACATGGCTAACTAAATTCAGTTCCAAATGCAAAAAAACTGCTACTGTTACTGCTACTCTACTCAGTGACATCATCATTTGTATTTGTAATTATTTACTTTTTTTAATTATACATGAATGTAGGTATTTACCATGACGGGAAAGGTTTGAAGTGAGTCTCCATCTTCTTGATAAATATAGTTCCCAAGAAGTTTTCCTTCTTCTTGATACTCATCATCCAACCCCTTAAAATAATAATAAAAAAAAAACTTTAGTCCCAAGTCTGCTTTATAAGTTAGAGGTTACCCAAAGGTCACTGCACAATCTACATACAAAGACTGTGAAGTTGCGTGGAGCACTGGTGATGTTTCCAGTTGGCGATAATGTTTTGGGAATGTGCTCGAGACAGAAAGATGTAGGCACGACTCTCATAGAAAGCCGGATCACCAGGTAGCCCTGAGAACCTTTGAATGCCCAACAGTTCCCTGGGTACACGTCAGGCTGAGAAAAGGAAACAAGACCGCTGTAAAATACTAAATAAACATCATAGTTAATTTCCTGCTGTTTAATTTTAAAGTGGATCATCTTACCTGGATGACTACTCGAGGAGACTGGGAGAAGTACCAGAGGGGAAGACCAAACAGGCTCATGAGAGCAGTTTTTGTTTCATACGTCTCAGAGCAGCGGGTGCTCAAGATGCTGCCTCCTGAAATGTATACCATACAAAAAAAGTATGTAAATAAATATATAAAATAAATAATGTTATTTGTATACAAAAAAGGTTAATACATTGGTTTACCGAATAACGGTAGTTTCAGAGTAATAGAACATGATAGTATTGTTGAAATTATTACTTTTTTTTTCATTTAAACTACAATCTTATCTTCTGCTACTACTACAAAATAATTTAAAAACACCCATGTTTGTGCCAGTTTCATCCAGAATAGTCTGTGTAATTTACAGTGGCAAAACAGTGAGAAGTAAAGAAACCAAAAGCTTATTAAGTACACCATCATCTGGATCAACACTGTGCTTGTTAAAAGGATTTTAATACCCTGACGTCCTCCAGCCTGGCTAATGCTGACCTCCATGTTACATAATAGATAAAGAGGAGCAAAGGATAAGGACAAACCCTAGATACAGTATAATAGGGCTGTCTTGCATAAAATCTACTGTACTGACCTCCAGATTCTAGGGCAAAGTCCACCAGGCCGGTTCGATCTTGAGAAAAGAGCTTCAAAGCATTCTGGACGATCAGTTTAACGTGCTGCAGAACCAAAAACAATACCAAAGTTTATTCTCAATTCACCTTTTTACAATCTAATGACAAAAAGCAAGAGAGAAGAAGTGGTACCTCCTCTGTGAGCCCCTCCGCAGAGGCTGTGTGCTGTACGGTCCCTGTGACTGTCTGAACAATGCTCTGTGTGTGAGACTGGACCTCTCCCATAGTCTGGGCTTTGTTGAGCTCCAGCTGCTGTGACACATTTTGGAGGATGTTGAGCTCGAGTTCGGCCAGTGCCGCCTTCAAATCTGGGGTTCTGGTGTAGTGCTGCGACAGCCAGAGGAGCAAGGACTCTGGTACCTCCCCATCCTTACCACTGCCGTAGAACAGGGCCTGCAGTTCTTTACGCACTTGGGCAGACACCTCTGAGGAGATCTGTGAGGATATCTGGGTGGAAAGCTGAGAGCCAACAATATAAGATTTAGTCTTTTATATCAATATAGAATAAGCTTATCAACATGTAATTTTACACCCCACATTTCATTTTACTTAAATAAATTAACCACATGAAATACAGAAAACAACTTGCCAAGGCAAATCTAGCTTTCCACACCATCTAAAAATAACTAGTGAAAATTTACGCAGTTCCTTCCTTTCATTATTTTTGACATAGCAGGCCATGAACACATACAAAGGAGTCATACTGAAGATACAATTCATGTTTAATACAGTTTCAGCCAAGTGACTAAAATGACTCCCAATTCAAACTGAATCAGTTTCTGAACCATTTGGAGTACAGACAAATCAGCCAACCGATATATCAGTCTACCTCTAAGAGGAAGTTCTCTTTTATTAGATGGTGGTCAAAAATAAATAAATTATTAAAAAGTACCTAATAAAAAGTACAAAGGGCCCAAGCAGCCCTTAAGCCTTTACCTGTCAGTAGACACTAAACAAGAAACTGAACTATAGTAACACATTCCCCTATTACACAATATTTATTCATTAAACCCTTCACATATTTCCAGAAGAAGCCTGCAGTAATTTAGCAAAACCAGCAGCTGATTTGTATCCACTTACAGTATCGTGTAGAGTGTCCAGCTGCTCACACTTCCCCTTGCATCCGATCACACCCTGCAGATCGTCTCTGATTCTGCCCAGCTCTGACTCCAGTCTCTTCACTTGGGCAAGGAGAGCGGCATGGTCCTCCTGCTGTACGCCCACACTGACAGGAACAAGAGCCAGCTTTAAAACTCCGAAAACATACTCCCAACAGTAAATGTTCATATATTTCTTCCAGACATGTTACCTGACAGGCGCTGCATCTACAGCCTGTTTTTCACTTTCCTCCCTCTCAGACTCAAAGTGCTGCTGCTTTTGTTGCACCTCCTACAAACACAAGGAAAATGAATGGTGAAGGAGATGATGTAAGACCAATTTCTCTGACAATTTCACATGTTAGTTCAAAGAGAAAATACTATATGCTGTATTTTATATGCAGTTTTGAGTTTTCTATTGAAATCTACACAGAAATCCACACCAACATGATACACTGTTCTTTTTCAGCATCTACTACAGGCTGCAGATTTGACCAAACAATCCTGCCTCTCTCATCTCATGTTCCTTCACTAATACCTAACATGAACTACTTTACTAAAAACTGTTTCCTCCCAAAAGCAACAGACTTTTAAACAAGTAAATTAGAGACTGTGCAAATTATATTATGCACTAAGTCCAAGTTTTATAGTATCGCAAACTATAAGATTTATTGGCAAGGAAAGTAAACATAGTTTAAATTGTGTTTTAACTCTGTACAATACATCTAATGGTTTGTTATACAGTGGTCAGTATTTATCAACACAATATGTTTTAAACTGGTCACTTAACTATTACAATTCTGCCCAGTAAAAAACATTCAAATCTTAACTCTAATAAAAACTGCTAAAACAAAATGTTTATTTGCCTTATATGTTTCCCACAAATTAAAACGAAAACCACTATGAAGTAAAACTATTTAATTTAGCTGAAGTTGCTTTGCTACTTTGCGCATTTAAATCTATATTACCACTGCAAGAATATTCTTAAATACCTCAGTTCTGGCAGCCAAAGCTTTTAACAGCAGTTCCAACTCGGCCAGTCGTGCTCCCTGACTCTCCTGCTGTTGTTTCTGCTGTTCTGCGGTCTGCATAAAGAACATGATGCAAAATGCAGTATTAGAACTTTTATCTAAATCTTTCAAGATTTATTACTCAGACCTGTAATGTGCCTACCTGTGCCCACTGTGTCCCCTCCTTCTCCAGCTCTCCCTGCAGAGCTCCGAGCCTCTGCTCCAGGAGAGAGGACACCCACAGTCCCAATCTCTCTCTGTCCGTCTCTGTGTGGAGCTGCTCCTTCAGGCTGTTGTACAGAACCAAAATGTCCCCATGCCTCTGCTCCTGCTTCTCATCACCCTGCTTCACCCGCTCCCACAGGAGGGCCAGCTGCTTCTCCACCTGTTCCAGACGGGACAAGTCCACACCGGAGAGGACCACTGGAGGAAGGGCCGACTAAAGAAAGACAAGGAGAGGAAATATACCTTAGTGCTCAACAGGTCTCACACAATACACTGTATGTCAAGAAGACAACTGTAGTTCTCAAGACAAAAGTAAATAGTAGTCTATAAAATTAATTTCCAAAATACAGAAATTAATCAGGAACATGAATTATAGAAGGTTTTATGATGCGTGAGAAAAAAGGGTTTACTAGCCCCAACAGGCACTCAAAAGCGCTTTACAGCAAGAAACCACTCATCCATTCATACACCACTGTATACATACAAGAGGGCAAAGCGTGTGAACTGTCTTGCCCCAAAAACAATAGCAGAATTCACCTGTGGGAGGTGGGATTTGAACCACCATTCTCCAGATTAGTGGAGCTACACTACCAAATGAGCGACTGCTACGCCACATATGTTATAACATTTTCTGCATGAACATCTATAGATATTGTGTTGATGTGGTTGTACAAATTCACTTGAGTTGTGGTCACTTACTGATGCCTGTGACACTGGGGTGGTTGGGGTGTATTCCACTGAGGACTCCGGTGCAGCAATAGGAGCAGAGACAGACACTGACTTCTGGGTCGACATCAAGTTTGACAGTACAGTGATGGGAGATGCTGGACGCCATTCGGTGAGGTTTATGGCAGGGAGATAGGCGAGCAGAGCCGCAGTGGACGGACCCCACCACCAAAGGGCTACATGAAAAAAATAAAGAATCTGACTGTGTGCTGGTATTAATGATTTTAAACCCGACTTCTGCAACTTACCAAGAAGGAGTAACAAGGGTAATAGGAGCAGCAGGAGCTTCCATAGCTTGGGAAGGCTAAAAGTCAATGCAGAGATTATTGTAATCTTGTTTAATGTACATTAGTTTATGGATTATGCATTAATGTCAAGCATTTCAAAAACATTGCCTTACCTTGTGAGAAAAAACACATTCAGAACAGACATCAAAGAGACCAAATGGTACCATCCACAGGCAAGAAACCACAAGAGCCCTTTTCCGGCATTTACTGTTAAGGAAATAAAAAGAATATGACAAACCTAGAAGTAGCATTTTAAAAGAAATATTAAATCATATCCACGCACCTGGAGCAGCTAATAGGAACCAAAACAGAGAGGCAGACTTTTGTGTTACAGTTCCGACCCCTGAGGCAAAGGCTTTAGCTGCATTTACCACACAGTAGCCAGGCTGAAGGAGGCAGTAACCTAAAAGAAACAATACAGTGGAATTTAACATAACAACTATTTAGCAAAAGCCTTTGATTTATCTGTACAAAATCAAATCTTGAGAGATGTTTGACCTGTGAATGCCAGTATGCTCCATAGTGCCCCTGCCAGCCTTCTGCGCCTGGAGCAGTGTGCATGCAGGAGAGTATGTGTGTCCGAATACTGCTTTCCTTTACAGTCGTCACCTGTTTCAACCATAAGAACATGAAGACAAAACTAAGCATGTAAATATGACAAGATAACAGACAACAAAACAAATAAGTAAATGCAAGTCCAAAAATGTGCCTATGAATCATAATTAATTAAATCATCTACATTTTGTTCAGGCACATGCAGCATGAATGTGTCACAACACTGTTCGTCACACCCCTGTGCTCTCACAGCTGTCTTACTTCGACGACCACACCCTGTGGTAGTTAGTAAGAACATTCATTTCATTACTCAAATATGAGCAGAACTGGTTTGGCTGAGAAAAGAACAGTATTTAAGTGGAAAAAAGACAAACTAATAGAGTCGTAAAAAAGAAAGCTTTCCCATTAGCAAAGGCACATAGAATGCTTATTAAAAATCGGCATGCACCATTTGACCTTTGACTGTGCGGTCAATCATACAAAGAAATCTAATTGTAAAGTTCTGATGGTCATCCACTTACATAAGGAACCATTAAACTTGAAGTGCGATGCATCTTCAGTTGTCAGATCCTTCACATTCAAGCTGCCACAGAAGCTTGAGTGCGCTGCAACATACAAAAACACAACATTATCACAGTGAAAACACATTTTTGTAATTGAATGAAGACACTGAAGAGGAGTTGTTGTTTCTTTCTTTGCAGTCACATAAGAGAAGCATCCTCTGATACCTTGTTCTTCATGACCAGTTGTTCTGTAGTATCCCATAACTCTTTGGAGAGTGCTTTGTTTTAACAACTGCAGTCGAGAGACACTGGATGACAGGGCCTGCCCCACTGAACTTGAGACCGATGAAAAGACACCTGGCGACACAATGGCCCCATACACTCATTAGCAAAAGCAAATAGAGTTGAAAAAGGATGAAGAAAAACTGCATAGAAAGGATGATCTAGAAAGGAGCCAGTGATCAAGGAGTCAAGGAAATACCAAGGAATGCAAAAGGTATAAAAAGGTGTTCCATCTAAGGATCTAAGGACAGATTTATAGTGCATATGGTAGGTTATATTACCCATTTGCTAAATATCATACCCAGTTTTTTCTAGTTCACTTTTATTTCCTGATTCAACATGAGAGCTCAGATGAGAGTTGACTATGTCAGATGTCCAAATTTATGAGGCCGGGACCCCTGGACTGAGAATAACACAACTAAGAAAATAATTCATAGCATAGTGCCCCGCAACCGCCCTGTATAGTTATAATTTGACAGATAAAAATATAAGACAAGATGGTTATTTAAACTGCAAGAAAAAGTCCTTCTTTGCACATAAATTGTCCTTGCATTTTGGACGGAATTTTGTGTTGATGTCATGGATCATCGCCATTTCCTGTCATTTTAAACATTTATTTTTAACTTTTCTTCTCAACACTTGACTGATGCAAAACTACCATATTTACCAGATGTACTGCACAGTAATAATTACAAAAAACATGAAAACCTGCCTTATGCACTTTAAATCACACAGGGTAAAGCAGCGTCAAAAAAGAGAATGAAAAAAAAAAAGACTTGAGTAATTGTGTACCTTTTCCAGACAGACTCTTTGCTTGTGAACCAACCAAGAGCACTCTGTTGAAGAATAGTGTAACTAAAGACACAACAGACGCCAGTGTTTGTCTGCTGTAACTCATACACGTGTTAGATATAGACCTCAAAACACCTGGGGATACGAGCGATAATGAAATTAAACCTACATAATATCAAAAGTTCTTCAAAATAGTGATTAATTAATAAAGCCTGTTACCAGTTTTGTTTCTCCGACTTCTATCTCTGGAGTATATACTGGTGAAAGGTGAGGATGAGGAGGAAAGCACATCTGTGGAGGCTTCTTGGACACGAGAGGAAGAAGAGGAGGAGGATGAAGATGTCGTTTGTGTTGTAAGCGCACCCGTTCTTTGGGAGTGGTGTGCGCAGTCTTTACACAAGTAACCATTGGCAACCGTTGTATGAGATTTTGATGAATTGGCACTGCAGCCGCCATTGACACTGGTACTGTGGTCAGAGCCAGAGCCCTTTTCTGAAAAGCAGAATAAAGCCATTTAAAACAGTAGTCCTCAAGATGGTTTGAAGCGCTACTGCAATTATTACACTTACGCCTGTGTTCATGAACAGTAGAGGTGGTAGTGATTATTGTGGAGATGTTGCGTTGTCTGAGTTGAGACTGATCCAAAGTAGAGGAGTGCAAAGAGGCGTCAAAGGCTGTGTTGCTTTCCTGAAGTTCACTGTTGTGTTGTATAGGAGTACTAACAGCTGAAAATGACAGGGCTACCCTTGGTGTAGAAACTTGACTCAAAGATAATGAACGTGATGCAGACTGTTGCTTTTTGCTCCGAGATGTTCTAAAATAAAAAGATAAAGCTGATTTCAATAAGTGTTTCCAAACTGATTTATACTAAATGAGAAAAATCCTTGCACACTCTTACCGTGTCTCTTTCCTGGTGCTGCTGCTGTAGCTGCTGCTGCTCTGGCTGTAGTAGTCCACCACACTGTTGTTGTCCAGCTGTGCCACACTGTTCTTCAGGCGCAGGCTCCTCCTGGACATCCTGGGAGACTCGTACACAGGAGCTATCTGGTGCTCCTTCTCAAACTCGAGGGCTGTCGTCGAATAGCTGGAGCTACAACAACCGAAAATGTGAAGTCAACATTTGTGATACAGAAAGATTAAAGTCCAATAAACCAACAACAGAGCAAACGAAAGCCTGTGAAAGAACACAAATAGAAGCAGATCTTGTTTCCTCTAACTGACACTGGAACAGGACAGGAAGTGACTCACTCACAAGAGACACACTACACAAAACAGCAGACTGTTCTTCTGTGGAAAAACTATCCAGAAAAGCACTCAAATATGCAAATAGTGAAATAATTCTCCTCCATTGCCTGTTGCACGGTGACCACAAATGCAGGACACATGTTGTAAAGTAGTTTGCCATGTGCAGAGAGCTCTGATGACTCACATCGCCACACCCACCTGGCAGAGCACACAGAGGCCAGTAATCTGTTCTGACCAACAAGGAACCGGACAGTTAGGGACAGCTCAGAGTACACAGGTAGTAGGTAACAGACCGCTAGTGATGGAAATACAATTTGAACATTGTATTTAAGACACCTTCACAGTTAACATGCTACACAGGTCAAAGTAACACATGGGCTATGGGAGAGCACTGTTCTGCCATTGGACAGAGGATGAACTTCCTGTCAGACACCTGGGCATGTATAGATAATGTTTTCTTTATGAACCCACAGGCACTGAGCACCTGCACTAACGATGCACAGACTAATTGTTTCACAAATAATCACTATCCACTATTTGAATACAAACTGTACAGAGCAGTGGACTCCTCACACCAGCATTAAATCCTGAGGATTACTCTGTCTCACTCAGATCTAATTATACACTGCTCCTCCTCCTGCTTCTTAGGCACAGGCCAGGACAAACGCTCACTTATATTTGTACGTTAAACACTTGTCATGAGGTTAATGGGCCATCAAATCAATGATAGAAATATGAGCATGACAATACAGTTACTGAAATCAATGCTATAAATAACTTTAAAACTAAAATATATATAAATCATGTTTTAATTTGTAATCACTACTAATGTTGTAACACGGCTTCATCCAAAAAATTCAGAACTGTAAAATACTCAAATGTCCAACTGTAGCCTGCTCCTATAAAGATCCCTCTTGGCCCATATCAGTGGCATAAATAGAAGCGGACACAGTGGTGCACAGTGAGGTGCCACAGTTGGAGGTAGATGGGATCCACAGAAAGGAGAGAGAAGTCCTGTGTGCTGCCGATGCCACCGGGCTGACTGTTACATAAGAACTTTTGGCAGTTTGGCTCTTCCCACACTGTGCAGAGAAAGTCCAGACTACAAAGAGAACAATGTGCACCAAAAAGCCTCATGCTTGATCATTTTCGCCCTAAAAGAAACATTTTTGTTTTACAATAGTAATTCTTATGTGTATAGCATCTATAAAACAGAGGGTCACCAATGCAACTCCCTGTCTACTCCAGTCATAGTACTATGGCTTATCATGACAGCATCCACATTTAAAAACTACCTAATCTGTTTGCTTTGGCCTGTAAAGACAATAGGGAGTAGTTAGAGGAGACTCCTCTTCTTCAGTTGTAGCTCTCATGGCTTAGAATAGATCTATGAGATTTGCATAGTAGACAAAACAGTGTTTTGAAAAAGCACTTTATACTACACACAAGTATAAAGTAATACTGTGTTTTTTAGTGCTTTACCCTCACATGCATTCCTCTCTCCTAAATACAGTAGCAACATATTTTCACAGTAGAAATTTACAGGGACTCATCAAAACTCTGCCCCTCTGTCTCTCTCTGGAAAGACCAAGTGAACAATGTGTTCTTTCCCCCCCAAGACATTAACTATTTAAAGAGTCAGAAATGTAAGCCACATTTCTCTGGGCTGGCAGAACTTGTTGCAATGATTCAGAATTGTCCCTCCCACCATGTTTCCCCTCCCTCTGACACAGCAATGCCCCGCCCCTCTCCTTCCACATTACACTTATACCACACACAGCTGCTTCAGGTGGTCATTGTGGAGACTGCTCTAAACAGGCTCAGGAGACACACTTTCAAAATATATATTTTTTTGTATTTTCAAAGGAATGATACACAGGTTACAATCTTTATGCACAAGTATTGTTTGATGACATCTCCTTTCTAAAACCATTCAGAGTACAAACTACGAACACTCCTGAGTTTAGAAAACAAAAAGACCAACGGTTGTTGTCACCTGACCTGTGGTTTTCTGCAGTGCCCTAATTTTCCTACACCTGTGCCTTACTATACATGCATATTTTAACACATCCTCAGGTAGACATAAACCTGAATTTAAATACTGTAATTGTGATATGCCATCTATGGACTGACTCAGTAAAATGCAGAAGTTGTTAAATCTTCATTTGCGAATGTAAAATGTGCATTGCTGATTGAGATGAGCTGGGCATGTGTGATGCTGCTCAGTGTAATTGCTTTGTATAATGTATGAGACTGCTCATAGAAACAAGCTCAAGAGATGTCGAAAATCAGCTACTAATTTATACTAAATCTGGTTTTGAAATCACTCATTTACTCATGTATTTATACTGGGGGAAAAAAAAACAATCAAATCTGTAATTTCATAGAGTAAAATAAATTTGCCTTTTTTTGTGTTGAATACAATATTACAATATTGTCAAAAAAAAGCTCTTAAAGATATCATTTGGGTATCAAAATCAGTCAAAATCAATTATCAAAATCGAGTATTGAGTCCATTCTTTAGCGTCAGTAGAGTTTGAAATGTTAGTATTTAGTCCCTTCAAATAAAAGACTAAACAAATTTATTCAAGAGGTAAACTACTATCAGTGATTATTATGAATCATCAAGGGCCTGTGTAGTTGGACAAAGCTGTAACAACTTGAGCAGGTTTCCAACACTCGGCAAGAGGCCAAACAAGCTCAGCCATGTTCACTTTTCTAAGTAACCAAAGGGCTATATAAATCTAGTCCCTTTCACTTATCCATCAAGTCATTCACCATTCTTTTAGGTTAGCATCTACAGGTCAGATCCAGACTGCCACACCTTTGCATCAATCACAACCAGAGATACAGACAACTATCATAAAATATATTCATGACAGACTTCTGTTGGGGCCTGTTCAAAATACTTCAATTCATCTGGATGTTAAAACATAGTTTGCATTCCTCCAACGGCTATAAAACAATGCACTGGCTTGTGAAAACCTTTTAGAAACTACTTTCACTAAAAACAAGGGCGGTTTTGCATCAAGCATTTTGTTGTCTGACTGGAGGATGTGTGTCATTCCGAGGCCATAGCCTTCCTGAGAAATTCCAAAGTGACAGTGACACAAGACACCATCGTACCACGTGCACATAGGCTTCATGGTGAAAACAAATATTTCAAACAAAAGTTCATTTGTGTTCCTAGTCAAGTGTACGCATTGAACTAATTAGTTATAAAACTATTGAATAACATACATGAATCACATGCAATATGCAAGAACTACTGTGAATACTGCAAGCAATGATAACTGTCAGGTTTATTTTGATGCTACAAGAAAAAAGGCTTCATACTACTCAATACTAATTTTGGGTAGTATCATGGAAAGACAACAATGGACAATAGACAACATTTCCACTCAACATAATCGTGTTTTGAATGGTATCATGCAGTCACCACTGACTAGTCTTGATTTAGCCCAAGCTCACACAAAGGTTTCATTTGGACCCTTTGTGATTTTTTTCACTATAAATACTTGTTCAAATGAATATCTGGTTTTGATAACCATTTTAAAATTGATTTTTATCTGGGTATTGGTACTTTTGACAATCCTACCACCACATAGTAGCATACAGTTTCTGCCCAGTTGCTCCACTCATAAAAATAAACAAAAGACCATGAGGCTGACTCATACAAACCACCAACACAGAAATTGGAGGGAAAAAAAGGAATCCTCAAGTGAAAACAGCTTGGCCAGTGCAATGCTCTGAAACCTTATTACCTTATTGTATAACTGAACAGATTCAATTAACATGGTAAACTGACAAGTCCTATTACATTATCTTTAATTGACAATGCTCAGGCAGATCAACCAGAAAAGCCCCATGAAAAGTAACAGACTACAACTCCACATGATAAAAAGTGCTGAATGCAGTATTTATAGTACTCGGCTCAGTACTCACCTGAGGGCGTAGGTATAGCCGGTATTGTCCGGAGCACACAGTGGCGGAGTATATGTGTGCAGTTGGGAAAAATCCATGTTCATTCTTCGTTGTTCAGACTGAAAAAGTTGGGATTTGATGGAAAAGACTAAATAAAAATACATGCGAGTTTAACAACCTATATGTTGGCTCCTTTGCCCCTAAACACTGTCACTATGAACTCGATCTAGGACAATTTTGGTCAAACTCAGAGCTCAAGCTTTGTTTTGACTTAACATAAAGCAATACAGTAACACAGATAACCTCATTTTATTTCTCTAGTGCAACCTATTTTAATCACTTCCAACACAGCTCTGTCCTCATCTACTACACACCAAGAAGGCTCTACTAGCCTCTAACACTCAGCACTAGTGAAACAACTGCACATTCCTCTCCTGCATAAAGACAAAACTACTGCTGTAATCCTGACAGGACTTGCCGACCTCTTGCCGCATGTTGGCTCTGGCTTGTTGACGGACACACGACAGGAAAGCTGCGATGAATCAGTTGGTTGTCCCAAGTAGATGTCAACTGTCTCCAACAACTGGTACAAATGGTTCGAAGGCACAACTATTCCTTCTGTTGAATTCACAAGGCAGGCTCGGGGTTGTTGCTGCCACTGTCTGCTAGGAGAGCTCCACACACTGAGCAGAGTAGTGTAATGAAACCAACTGAAGCCAGCAAGGGGTGGGGCAGATTTGGGCAATAGGCGGGAAACCACTGGCCTGCCTCCAGTCAAACCTGCTTTTTGTAAATACACGACATGTGGACACAGCATGTAGGCTATGTAGTGTGCTGCTGCTGACAAAGCAACTTTACACCATATCTTCAACTGAGACAGATACAAGCAGACTGTTCAACTAAAAGTTTGAATACAGCTACTGGATAATTAGTACAACAACAGATGATCATTTCTCAAATCTACCACTACAATCTCAAGTATAATCCTATTTAGATCCTTGGTGAATCAGCAGAGTTGAAAAGGGATACACCTGGAAACCAATAAACTTTTAAATCAGACTGGATTATTGTGTTCTGGCTGGTGCTGGAATTCCAAATTTTAAGAACACATGGTAAAATAAAACATAGCTTGAGCTCAGCACCAGACATAAACATACTATGTACAGTGATATTGCACTACAATGACATTTTCCCACGGCACACATGCTCACCCACACGTGTTTTGCGCACATTCTTTTAACATGAGATAGTTTGTAGTTTGTAGTTCAAGGAGAAGGAAAGTGTTAGTGCTGTCTGTGTGGCCTTGAGCGCACATAGTGACCAGCCAGGACACTCTCATATTGCCTAATCCTATATTTAGATGTTATGTATTCAGGCAACGCCGCTAGTGGCCATTGACAGCTATGGGACGACGTAGGGTGGCTATTTGCACATTTAACGTTTAAATGTTAACACTTTCACAGTAAAGGCTACGCAATATATACCAAATTATAAAGTCTATTGGGTTGTAAACACAGAAGTCAAAATAAGGCCTGCGTTATAGGCTACCAAAACAGATATGAGCCAAAGGAGCCAAAGACCAGTATGTAAACAGGATGAGGTATTATCCACTAAGATACAGCTAAACTAAGATGTCAGTCAAATAGTAAAATAAGTAATGACACTTGCCCGCGTGGTTAGACTCCATGTAGGATATATGATTATTCTTTAGGACCGTAATCCAGCGGATCGTCAGCTCATCACGTCATATGCGCAAACTTCCAAGAGCAAACCGGCGCATCAAAACGCAAATGTAATATCCACTATAGTTAGAAAAAAAACACTGTAATGCGGATCCTGTAAAAGGCCACAAAGTTCGCAAGTTGTAACTGAGTGTTATGCTAGGTGCACAACACGCAAGCTATCCAAAATGGCTTCCCGAGTGTAACAAAGCCAGAAGGATCGCTGTTGAGCTGTTCCTCCCACTCCCACCGCTCCCAGGCCCTGGACTGTAGGCCAGAGCGCACGCTTCAAATCTATTGGAGGAGAACGGTTCTGCAGCAACAACATGCGCTTGGACCTCGGCTGGCCCCCAGGCACCGACAGGGATCCCACTATTGTTATGAGTGAAGCCTTGGATGGTCTCAAGGGAGAGTCAGTAGCTCTGCATCTGTCACTGAACCTCAGCATCACATTACTATCCATTGATGGATTTTTCTAACAGTGTTCTTCTTTTGAAATCTTTATCCTGCAACTTCGTATCATTATATAAAAACTATTCAAACCGGTTAACACAGTTAAGTTCTGTAGCAGAAAAGTAAAGATGTTATTAAACCTGTACAAGGAGACACACAACATATTTGCTCATGGTTAAAATACCACCGGTTGTGCACCTGGCGCTTTGTTATGGATCTTGGCCAATGATAAACTATGCCTCGTGGGTATGAACTAAGAAACACTTCCTCCTTAGAGCAGAGCTATTAGGACTTAACGTCCAACCTGTTATTGTACGAGTGACACTGTTCATTACATTATCTCCATTTCGCCACTTTATGTAAGCAGAATAAATCATGAATTAACACAACACAGACATTTTTTCCCAATACACACACACACGCACGCGGCTACAGTCAATTTGGACCAGAACCTCTCGCCACAAGAACATTTTCTCATGAACACTCTATAAGAGCACTTACTATCACTTTAGACAATTGCAGTTAACCAACTTGCACCGAGTGTCTGCACTTTTTGCCTCACTGTATTTTTATTAATAATTTGTATTTCAATACAATTTGCTTTACATTATATTAATGGATACCCTATATATATATATATATATATATATATATATATATATATATATATATATATATATAGTTTATCATAGTTTATATTATTTTTCTTTATTTAATGTTGAACCATAATGCCTATGTAGTCCTAGTTTGTGAATGTTTTTCACTGAGAAATGGCAATAAAAACTTTATTTATTTAACGATTCTGAAAATCACCAGAGCTTTCCCAGAACACCAAGAGTCTCGGGTGCCATCTAGTGGACAAATTGTTTCAGTAGAAACTTGATGAAAACTAACCGCAATTCACGCGAATTGCCCATAGGTGTGCACATGTGTAGGCATGCGTGTCAAGCTAAAAAGTATATATTTTGATTCTTTATAATGAAATCATGCAATATTAAAAAAACGAGGTGAAGACAATTGTGAACTTTTTCTAAGCTAAGTGTCGATTATATTTGTAGTAAGAACATTGCAAAGGATATGTGTGATACGTAGACAGAGCAAAAAGAGGTATTAAGAAAGTTTGTAAAAGTAGGAAAACAAAAATTAGAGGACAACTCACATGCAGGGAGAAGCTAATCTGCCTGTCTGCGTCTGCCATGCGATAAGGAGGTCAAACACGGGCGCGGAGTCCGATCCTCACTCCATCTATGTGGACAGCAGAACGACTCTGACAATGAAGGTGAAGTTTCTGGATTCACAAACTAGAGATACTTTCGACAATGTAATGTAATTTGATTCTGAAGTGATCTGACTGAAATGAAGACTCTTCACTGGCGTTTGCCTTTCCCGCACACAGTCACATTTTCCGTTGTAGCGTCTACGTCACTGACGTCAGTCCGTATATGGTCATAATGACCAAATTTGGGTTAGACTAAACCGCTGACAATGGAGCATATTGCCCCTAGTGGTGCTTGAGTATATCATGAGAGTTGGTCTTTTTTGTACTTAGTTTTTTTGTTTGTTTGTTTGTTTTTTTGTTTTTACTGGGCTTATGTTGCCTGCCTTTCTGAAACCCCTGGGTAGACTGAAAGGTCTACAAACAAAACATTAAAGAAAACAACAACAAATCAGAACCCTATAGGGAAATGATATAAAGGTCAATTAATATAGAGTCTGTAGCTTGCACATAAAGTAATCTGAGCAACAGTTCTGCCGACCCAAACCAATTTACTTTATGTTATGTCAAGCACTGGTATGAGGACAGGACAGACCGGACAGACTGGGCTTCCTTCGTCAGAGTTGGTGATGTGATCCTTTTGTCTGTGAGATCACGTGACTAAGAGTATATGAATGACGACTATCCTCATTTTACTATTTGGTCTCGGTTTTGTTGATATCTACAAACCATGAAAATACTTGTGTTTGTGGGGTTAGTGGGATTCCTCACCTCTATACGGTGTGAAGAGATGGAGCGCAGTAAGTAGGCCTGCTTACAATGCTTCTTTATTGGGAGATACATTTTATTGAACTGTATGTGATTTGGTTGTGACTATGACTTTTTATTTCACAGAATTTTTATGTGAAATTTGTCTAACAGCCGCAAAAGGTGAAAATGATGTTAGAATCATTTCATAATTACTGACATAAATGACTTAACAGTTTCTATATTCTTTCAGAAATTGAGAAAGCTGTACATGATGCCCCAGTCAGAAATAGAAAGAATGTAATTAAAAAGCTTAGGCGAGGTGCTGTGTGTTATAAACTCCCAGAAGACAAAGTATCCCCCTGTCTGCACTTGTTTGGTAAGATATTAGCCTTTGTTTTAAAGGTGCACTGTGTGTAACTTTTCTGGTGGGGTATCCGCGATCTATTGCTTTGCCTGGAATGTTTCACAGTATGAGCTTAAACTTTCTATTGGTTGTCTTTATTGCTAAAAATACATATGAAAAATGTATTACTCATAGAATGTATGTGTAGTTATACTGCAACCAAGGTTTCACAGACCTGTAACTTGGCCTGTTCTCATGGAGATAAACAAGTTTGCACATAGGAAAGCAAAAACTGAAGTTAATCAGGTGGCAAATCCTCATCCATAAAAGTCACATAGTCCGCCTTTAATGTATTTGTTTACTTTTTCATTCTCATATTAATTTAAAATATTGTATCAGCCATGCATCAAGATGAGTTCATTCAAGTCCTATCAGGCAAAATTTTCAAGCAACTGGATATACTTCTTTGTTATGAGCAGTCCACAGTGTGTGTAGGGGTAAAACTCCACACTTTTAAGGTACTGTACCCAAGTCCCATCTGTAATATTAATGTAACATGATGTATGACATGCTCTCTGAATCTGTGCAGGACCATACAAGCACAACCTTGGAAAGTGACATTGATGCTCTCCTTCATGAAAACAAAGATAAGGTACGCTTTGCCGAACCCATCCACTCAAGCTCAACTGGACACCCAAAGAAGGAGTTGTAAAAAGTTGTTATGTTTGCTTTAAATGCATTACATTTTCTTGTTGCAGTGTCTTGAAAGCTATAGACATTCGTTAATTAAGCTGTAGTGCACTGTAACAAAGCTTAATAAAGTGAACATGTGCAGCAGGTTGAATCTGTTTATTACTGATGATATTATGATGCAATGCAGAGGTCCATGTTCCTGCCAAAATAGTTTAAAAGGTAGATCCTACAAAAAGTGCAGGTGTGCATATGGTGTTATGTATTGGTGTTCCTAGTCATTTTTAAGAGTGTGTACTGTCTCCAGCTGCCTCTGCAATCTCGACTAGTTGGTGACATCACACACAACTTCTCTGATTATAGCCAGGTGTTTTGTTATTACAGACACAGGACTGCAGGAGTGGAGTTTGAGTGTGAGTGTGTTTGAGTGTGCTCCTTATATGTCCAGATCCTGCCTCACCCTCACTCTCCTCTTTAGTCCCAATATAACTAACCTCAGTACACACATATGCATTCCTGTTTATGGACAATGTTGCAGAAATATCAATATCAGCACTCACTGCACTGTAAACTAACCTATAAACATCATGCTATTCCAGATTAGGTTATAACAGACTGCAGATGCATTTTCAAGCAGATATTGGGCCTATAGTGAAATTGCTTAATTACCCATTTTGAAGGACTTTTTTCATCCAGAAGCTATAATTACTTGATTCAAATATTTAACTCTTTTTCTCACTTTATCATCCAATATTTTCTGATCCATGCACGAACATACCCATACCTCTTGAGAGGGTCCAAAAAGTTCTTCTCAGACAGAAACCACTCTGTTCCAACTTGTGATGTCATGTGGTCATCAGCGTGGTCCGCCTTGGAATTGTCACTCTTTACTAAACAAAAGGTAAAAAAGTTTCTGTCTTGAAAATTACCACTGTATGACATCATAAGGTGGAACATAGCATTTTGAGCTTTGGAGGTGTAGACAGACAAAGGATTACTCAAACACGTGTGAATGGAACAAAACACAACTCTAGGCATGTTTTTCACGAGGTAACAACATTTTAACAAGCTTAAAGGACCTTTGACAATTGATTTATGCAAGTCGGTTATGCCATTTATGCCTATACTTTTCTATGTATTTATTTTTTTCTATTTTGAATGAACAGTAAGAATGGATTGTTAGGTGTATATTTATTGAAGTAGCCTGGGGTAATAGTAATCAAACATTTACCCCTGTTGCCCCTCCACTCTTCTGGAGCGCACCCTGGGATACTGTTGCTAGGAGGCGCTGTTGTAGCCCGGAAGACTAAAAGAGGATGAACAACCCGTGCTATGAAAGGAAAATCTCGTATGCTTCTGCTGTTGCTTAGTTGCTACCTCATCCACATACCCACGAAATAACACTTTTTAATTTACATTTGGCCATGTAGGGAATGAAGAGGAGACCTTTGATCGCCACGAAAGGTAAGACAATGTTGACACGTGCCTGCCTGTTAATAGGAGAATCTATACCCCTCTAGCTATTCATAGGCTATGCACGCTTCTTTGCACATAAAATTGGGTTATTTCAACTGTTATTGTCATTGGACGTGTTGTTCTTCTGATGATGACAAAATCACCGTAGCCGAGTCTGCTGGAGCGTCCATGAAGTAGACCGCACATCATAGGGTTTGGCTCCCGAGCAGCGTGTAGGCTATTTTATCCAGAATAACAATTGACTACTTCACTTGAATGATACCTGCTGTGAAAAAAAATAAATAAATAAAAAATCAGAACGCCACCTCCCATTTTATTTCCAGGCATCAGTCTGTGGTGGACCATTTCACAATTAGAAAGAATTGCTTATTGATTAGTAACAGGATTCCATGAGACAGGGAAATGGGAGTCATTCAGCAGCAAGGTCAGCTGGAAAGGCATGGCTGGAATGTGATGAGTGTGATAAAACATCTAGGGCTGACAGACAGTTGGTTCTCTCCCTTTGCTTTGTTGAACTTTACAACTGTCAAGGGATGTTGATTGCAGATTTATCAAAAAAAATCTGTCCATTTGTCTGCGCTTTTGATTTGACAGCTGCTTCAGTGGGAGAGTGCATGTATGTTTCCAGCTCAGAACCTGGATACATTCACAGATGGAGAGCTATGAGCAGTTTTGCCTTCAAACTCTGTCACGTCTGCAGGATGAGGGGAAATTTAAAAAGTTGACACGTGAGCCACTGTGCTCCCTGAAGGCACAGTCTCTCATCCAATTCCATGGAAGACCTATTCTACCACCTCACGTAAGAAAATTATTATTCATGTTTTATTATACTGATATTTAATTTATTTGATAACCTTCATTAGATGTTGTGTGCATGTCTCACTTGCTTGTGAGAGTACTTGTCTGAGGCATGTGACCAGTCTAGTCTAAATCAGATCATGAGTTTCTCTGCAAAACATCAGGCTGGAGAATCCCCTCTTCTGTTGATTGCAGCTATAGGGTGCACAGACTTCAGTGTCACTTTGGATTATAAGTGAAACTTGATGAGCACTGAGCCTGAGTTGTGTTTCCCCCTAGCTTACAGCTGAACAACGCCATGCAATGTGTAACTACCGGCAACAGGCTGTACAGCTGGAGGTGCAAAAGCAGAGCCAGCAGAGGAACCGGCTCATAGCTCGAGTGCAAGACCTACTGGACCAGACACAGGTTGGAGTATTATGTATTTTGATACTAGTTTTCTTGAGCAGTGAGTAATGATACATGCTTTGTCTTTATTACACAGTTATAAAATAAGACTACTGTTATAAGAAATACTAATTTGGACATTACAAACCTATTTAGCAGTAAAATTAATTTAGATACTATGACTGTGTGTTCAAACTGTAAAAATATGCTCAGACAAGCTTTGAACTGCCTATAGCATTTACTATACATTTTAATAACTGTCAACAATTTGGGTAATTTTGCAAGTAATCTTTTTTCTGCATTATTCCAAAGACAAAAGACTGCGGGGTCACAAAGGTCCCAAGCGGAAACTGTCCTACAATCAGTGGATACACTTTAGTGACCGATTCACCTGGACTCACCAAAGACTATCTGGCTGCATCCTTTTCCCACACTTCTATTGTTTCTTGCAACAAAGAAAAGGAAATAGAAAAGGAAAGGACAGAGGAACAAAGTGAAGAGGAGGATGATGAGGATGAAGAGGACATTAGTTTAGACAGCCTTCTCAAAAAGTCCAGGGAGTATGTGAAACAGGAGGGGAAAGTTATGCACACGGCTCCACCTGACAATGCTCCTCTGGACACTAAAATTTCAAATTCCACCACTGTAATTGCCTTTAGTTTGCGTCATAGTCCTGTTGGCCAAATGAAAATACAGAACCAACCTCCTTATGACCCCATTCTCCCACAGCCTTGCTCAAGTTCCTCAATATCACCAGATCAGCATATCCACCTCCAAGTTAAAGACTTCTGCCCTAGTCTGTGTGCCCAAAAAAGGCGCCCACGTCCCATCTCAACAGGAAACATCCACTTTACATTTCCGATTGAGCCGTCAGATCTTATCCCACGCAGTCCTGGAAGATCAGCAGAAGGAGCAGTAGACCAGTTTTTCAGCACTACTCGGTCCACTCATCATAGAGCGTCACTGGGAGAAGACAATGTTACTAACTGTCAATCAAGCCAAGGGAGTAACCACCCTACAGTGGAACCCACCAGTCCTAATAATAATGTAATATGCAGCCCAAATGGTTACCCAGAATCTTCCCAATTTCGCAGACGATGCCACACTTTGGATAGCCAGCTCCAGAGGGGTCATTCCACAGAGTGTATTAACCGGAGCCAGGAAAGAGTGCCTAGGTTTATGGCAGGCGTAACGTGGCTTGGTCCAAATAGGCGTCTCCCTGTGACTCCTGTTAACCAGTCCTATACCACAGAGTGCCCATCAACTTCAAAGCCAAGTGTGACTCCTGACTCGCCCAGTCCTCCCAAAAAAGTACCAGAAGCACAAACTAGTAAGTACTATGAGCTCATCTCTCTCAGACAAGACAAGCCTTTTAAATTGCCTATGACAAGTTGGACTACACAATTCACTCAAATTAAGTTAACATGATTATATTTAAGGTTTTACTCATTTGAGCATTTAGGGGAAGTTAACAATTTTACGTCCTATTTGGATATGGTAGAGGGAAATCCATAACTGTTACCTAGCAGCCACACAGTAAACAAGGGCCAAAGTTCCTTTAAAGGTTGTATAGAGGATATTATAAGGGAAGTGAAATACAGCAACAGTCCTTTTTCAAATGTTGTGCATGTGTGACACCACCTTCCTCCTCCACAGCTCCCTCGGTAGAAACATCTCCTCCCGCCTCCTTACTCTAGAAATCACGCTTGTTTGCAGGCAGTGCGCGAATTACTGTTGAAGTGACCTGTCCAGAAATGTTTTAGCAATCGACGCGTCAGTTTTTAGACCCTTCATCTGCTTCAGTCGCGCAATCGCTGGAAGGAATCTCCAAGAATCACCTCAGTTTGGTTTCGCTCCTTTTCCCCTTCTCTTCTTCTTTCAGCGAACTCAAAAACGGACTTTCTTTTGTGGCGAACTGGTTGTGGATTCGCACCCTCCCTCTCAACAAACTTTGTGCGAATTGCAAGGAAGCTACAGTTTGAAAAATCCTCTAAGAACTGCTGCATAAACTATATAATCCCCTAGAAACGTACGGAGTTTGATTGACAACCTAACAGCCAATAGATAAAGAGGGAGCCTTGTAGTCTTTTGGCTGATGTTTATCTGTTCTCACTATGTCCACAGTTGATAGATTTTCATTCATTTTTTTTTTTTGGTCATCATAATTACAAGGCTGCTGCGTCTCTGTAATGGAATTTTAAACTTTCAATGACAATTTGAAACAAAAAAAAAATCCTCCATACAACCTTTAATTTACACAATAGTTATGATTGGGTGACTAAAATACATACTATTATTTTGTAAAGTATTTTTACACTTTCTGAAAATTATGGTCCTTGCTCATAAATTATCCCTGAATTTTGGATGGAATTTTGTATATTGACATTGAACTTGGCTCTACGTCCAATAATTTTCTGCACAAACTGCAACTTGACTGGTGTAAAACTATCAAAAATATATCCCACCAAATGATGTGCTGATCTGAATCTCTAGCACTTTAAATTAACTGCGTTCTATATTTGTGTTTAGGAGATGAGGCTACCCAGAGACAAGCACAGACTATAGAGGGCAGGCAAAGGCATGTGCTGGATGAGCATACCCTTCACATGTCCCAGCTGCTGGCGGAGCAAGAGAGAGAACAACAGCGCCTCCTCCTGGTAATTAGCTTATGTACAGTTAATGCTTGCGACATACTGTACTAGTATCATCCATTTGACATTATTAATCAAAAACCAGTGGTGGAAGAAGTACTCAATTTTATTACTTAAGTAAAAGTACAGATAGAGGAATTAAATATTCAAGTAAACAGTAGAAGTATTTCGTGCAGATTTTGAGAGATTTTCCTGAAGACTTGATGTTATATTTTTCTTTGCTCAAATTATAAACATATTAAAATACTTTTCAGCAGGTCTCAAACAATCATAAAAATTCTGTTATTTTTCTGTCCTGTTCCAAAATGTAGCGGAGTAGAAAGTACAGATACCTGTTCTCAGATTTAGCGAAGTTTACTTGTGTACAGATACCTAAAATTTATGCTTAAGTACTGTACAGTTCCACCACTATTGAAAACTATAAAAATATGGCTGAAGGTTGACATATTATAAACTACTGTTGAGGTAGCCTATATGAGTTTAACAAAACAATTTTACCTCCTGTTTCTAATACCTGTGTCCAGGAGCAAGAGCACGTGGAGAAGAGGCTGAAAGAGCAATTGTCTAGACGACCTCTTAGTGCAGATGCCAGTGGGTGGAGCCACACCTGTCCCATCATCAGCCCCTCCTGCCCTCACCTTAGCCCTGCCCACCACCCATCTGAGCGATCACCAGGCCACAGCTTTGGTATTATTTGCCCCCCGGGAGTCTACACCACCAAATCTACTTTGTTGTATATATACATATGGGTCTGGTCAAGCGGTAACGGGGAGATTTTTTACATTCAAATAGCTCTTATTCAGAAACTAGAGGGACTATTGAAATAAGTAAGGTATTAGAATGTAGGAAAGAGTTAGCACTCCAATAGGGTAAAGTTAACCCTGCAATATTATTTAAAGTTGTTGACAAAAATTTTTAAAACTCATGTCAGTAATGGAGGGAATGAAATATGCAGCAATTTTTGGGCAATAAATACAAACAGCGATAACTACCGGTTCTTACTTACATATCCTTAACAAACTGGTTTGAATATTTGCTTAATATAGTTTTCTAGCATATGGTACAAGATTAGGTTGAAAAACCTCTTACTTTTTGAGTAATGACATTTTTTATTAAGAAAGATCATGGTAACGGAGGGAAAAGTAACGGAGGGAAAATTGTGCAAGCAAGTAGAAGGTGCGTGATTTTGCATAATTTGTCAACTTTTTTCTTCCGAATACTTTAATATTACTTCAAAATGAAAGGTATCTATTTCTATAAAATATGTCAGTCCTTCCAAGCAAATTTTTATAATTTCAAATACTTAAAAAAAAAAAAATCATGTACCTTCATCAACAGTTCAAAGATCGAATAACACAAGATATGATGAAATACATCCATTTATTTACATGATTTGCAGGTCTTTGAAATTTGGGAAATAATTTTTGTTCCATGTTTCATACATGGTCTGTTTAAAACATATGTACCTTTAGAACCAAAAATGGTACAGAAAAAAGGTAAACAGTTTCATAAACTAGAGTACATATGCTATCTGTTGAATACATTTTTATATCAGATGCATTAACTTGAATTTTTGGCCTTGCTGTATACTTCTGCTTGACTGGGCCCATATGTTTAAAGTGATGCCATCAATATTCCATGGGGAGATGGGAAGTACTGCTATCTGGAGGCATGTTAAGCTCTGTTAGACTCTAATCATCTCCATAACTATGAAACGTAAAAAAAAAAAAAAAAGTAGTATATAGTAGTGATTGACATAATTTAATGAATTATTATGATTTAATTAAGGTTTTCCAAATCCAGCAATATCTCCATCTGTCCTGTTACCCATTACCACATGGGGACCCAACTGGACTAGTAGCAAATCTCGGACAAGACTCAGTGAAGTAGGTTTGACAAAATCACATCAGTTAAATTAGACCTTGTAGTTACTATTACGTATTATTACAATATCATCATCATTTTTTTTTCTCTAAGGTAATTACACCAGAACTACATAGAGCCTACTGCCGCATTTGTGCTATAGCACGTGGCTTTCTCACTCGACAACTCCTAAAAACGGAAAAGATCAAACAACTGCGGCAAACTGTTGTGGTAAGAATAATAAAAAATTTTTTAATTAGTAAAACTGTCATATATGAAATGCATGAAATAGTTCAGGCATATATCTTTTTTTGTTATTGCAATATTACATGTGTACAGTTGGTAAAAACTATACTAATCAATTATATATATCTCTCTCTCTATATATATATAGATATATAAATGACAAAGTTTTATTTGCTGACTCTGAGCTACCAAATATATAGTGGTAGATATAAGTTATAGTACAAAAACTGAAAACGATCAAAAGACAAATGTATTTATTATAAACTTTGATTATTTTATTTCCAAGGACACACAAGCATTTATTTGTTCTTTCCAAACTGAAGCCCCTCAAAAGAAAGTGTCCTACACGTCACAAGACCTTTCTTTGCAGGAGAGAGTCAGAGCTCAGGTATTTACAGTAACTCTATATCACCACCAGGGGGGGATCTTCTTATTTTCATTGGACGTGTTTTGTTTTCGTAGTTGCGTGTAGCCCTTTACGACATCCATGACATCTTCTTTCAAATACCTCTGTTACAAAGATTAGGCCTCCTACAGCAGGATCGAGAGCTTCGTTTGGAAAGAAAGCTGAGAGACATGGTAATGCAAATTACAATAATGCAATACGATATCTCTACTTTGTACAAAACATGTCATGAATTATTTTTTTAAACGCATGGAGAGAATTGTATTAGCACTGAATACAGTTAGTCAAAAGAGTATTAAATAATCATTTTACCATAACCTTTCAGTCTGTCTTCAGACCTCTTTTTAAAAAATTTTTATTTTTTTTTTCAAGGAAAAGACAAAGTCTTCTAAAGATAAAATTCTCTCTGCTGCTACACAGAGGTCAATAGACAGAAAGAAAAGGTAAATATACTTAAGTGTTCATAATAATGCCTTGTTCCATCTGAATGGTTGAATGTCATGTTGATTTTAGGGTGGGTGAGTCTCCAGCTCAGACCAGGAAGGTGCAACAGAAGCCAAAAAGCCCTACCACAAACCGGTTTGAGTTGTTTTGTTCAGTGTATAATGATGATGAGTAATCATTTCATTTTGCACATTACCATACCATACATGCTTTTCTAGAGTTCTGAAACCAAGCCAAGGCCAAAATTCACCTGCTATGGGGCGACTGAACCGCCAGGGGTAAATCTTCTTATCTGTTAAGCCAACTTCTAAATCACAGCTATATTCTTTGAGGTAATGTTTTTTTAACATTTATAGAAGTTGGTACAAGAAGACCCCAGAGGAGAGAGTGAGGAAAACAGACAGTTTGAAGAAGCAGCACTCTCTGGGTTGAGATGTGACTGAATGACCTTTGAACTTGAACTTATTTATTAGCTGCAGGCAAAATGATTGTTGAAATGTAACAAAACAACAAAAACATGTCTAAATAAATGAATGATTGTTTTACACCATGTACATTTTTAATGTGCCTAAAAAGATGCCTTTGTTTGCATGTAGTTTGTTGATATAATAAATCAACCTTTCACAGGCTTACTTCACATGATGCAGATGCCATAAACTCATGTATTTAAACAGTTGATTTTTGTGAGGGCTGTTAACCAAATTATCCTTTTGTTTACATAATGGTGCTGAGCAGCCTTATAAAAAATGTTGTCTTTAATATAGAAATAAAAGATTTTAACTTTAAAAGGTTTTTGTTTTAATTCACCGCATTTTCAGTAATTAATACCTATTTTTTACAGACAAAAAGCAGGATCACTATTTAGATAATGTAGATGTTTTGCATCATAATGTTTTTGTTATATAACTTTATTAATCATAAGACTTTGCATTAAATAACTTTATAAGCAAGATATTTGATTTGTTGCCAGCTTTTATTAGTGGTCTGTTTAAGTAGATCCAGGTTTTGCAGATAGGTATCGATGGAAGTGTTTATTGTTTAACGTTATAAAAAGTTGACCTTATGTTATGGAGTTAAACCAAAGTATGTGGCTGTGAAACTCAAGAATGTAATTAAGGTGCTATTAAAGAGGGTGTAAGCATATAATTAACTCATTAATATGTCAGTTTTGTTCATGAATTATTTATTTGAATTGTCCAATCCAACTTTACTTATATCATTGCATATGATTGTGACAGAAAAGGCTAAGGCAACGCCCACCTATCTTTAAACTTGGAAAAAAGAAAGAGACAAGCACTAATAATAATAATAAATAAATAATAAGAAGAAAAATAAATGAAACAGCAATCAAAATCATTTGCAGACTAAATGTGACACTTTCAACAATTTCTTGGAATAAGCCCATGATGATTCTTTTTTTTTTTTGCCTGAACCCACCCCATGGGAATGGTTAATATATTTCATGTATATTTGGAAGGGGCACAATCCAACCATTGACATTCACACATTCACATTTTATATCATGGATGTAAAAGGCCCTAAGATCTTCAGTCAGTTTTCCTTTGACAAAAACAGTCTGTGCTGATCCCATGTTTAGCTCCCTGAAAACAGGACTGGTGTCAAACATCTTGACCACAATGACACGGCACAGACAGCGGGAAGTGCACACACATGGACGTTTAACTTCAAGGAACAGGTGGATTTCTCCAAAGCACCTGTTGTTTAGTTTAACAGTGCACTTTGTTTTGTCAGCAGCTTTACTGTTGTCACAATGGTAAACTAGACGACCCTTTCTAAAGCACTCATAAGCACTTATCTGACCAGTGTCCTTGAGGAGGTCCTGTACTGCTAACTTAGTTGAATCATTGATATCAAGATGGCAACTATCTCCAAGAGGAGCATACATGACTTTGCAAACATTTTGTGGTAAGTTCAGGTTTAGCAAGTCGTTCAGTTCTAAATTGCTAAAGACAAATGATCTGAGGTGGTTAGGTATATGCTGCCAAATACTAAACTTCTTTACAATACTTTCAGAATCAGTAATTACGTCACGAAGCAGAGCCTGTAAATCTTTATTGTTACTTTCAAAGCCCAGGGCAGATGTAGCCCAAAGGGGGCCCCAGTTTTGAACACTGTCATGTAAATGGATGAGCTGGTGACAGTTGAAAGTGACATGTTCCTCACCATAAAGTCCAGCCATGTCTTTAACAAAGTGCACCAAGTTTTCACGTGCACAATTCAGATTCTCTACAGTGATGGTGTCTTGGAGGAGAATGTGCACATTACATGAAAGCCAGTAAAAATGATTCAGATATGAAGGTTTTAGGTATGGTTCGAGAACATAAGTACCATAGAATAAAAGAAATGCCTGCCAATCTAGAGCTTTCCAGGTGTCTCTGCACTTCAGTGAAATTGGAGATCTGGTTATTTTTAAGGCTGGCCTAAGACTGAGAAGACGTGCATCCAATTCATCTACTCTGTTACCTATGTACCATGGCTCTGTTGAATTCTTGTCCTCAAGCCAGAGGAAGACCAGCTGTTTGGTCACTCCAAGCAGAACTGCGTGCGAGTACTCTGGGACAAACCCCTGCACTATGTCAAAGACTGGGAGTTCCTGCAGGACACTTACTCCTTTTACTCCATTGACCTGTTTTCCTGAGGCCTCTGCTCTGCTGGCATCTGCTTGATACATTTTCTCACATCTTGCTGTCTGTTTCTGTTCATCGTAAGCATATGACCTGATTTTTCCTGAGCCCTTATCAACCACTGTGCCAGGGTGCAAACACCAGTCACAACCATATTCACCGTTGAATTGTATACTATTCTGAAGTAAGGGTCTAGCCACAGCATCAGAAGAGCAAACCAAAACAAAAACTCTTGAGGAATGAGCTTCTCCATCACCATCTATCCATTTGAGTGGAGCTTTGGTTAATTCAAGACATTCATCAATAAAAGGTCTTAAAAAGTCTGCCATATTAGGAGGTCCTGTGCCACACCAAAGTGCTGGAACCAGTATATTTTGCTTTCTGATTTGGTAAGGCAGCTCATTGATAGTGAACTGAAGAGGCCAGATGGACTTCTGCTCAACTGGGACTCCATCACAGTTCCACAACAAGGTAATATCATCATCTGACAGTGATTTGGTTTCTATCAGTTTCTGGTACATTTTTCCATCCATAATGTCATTGATTTCATCTTCACAATTGACCATTTTTGGAAGCAGTTTCAATCCGTAACTCTGAAGGGTATGTTTAAGAAGGTCTTTCAAAGAGCTAACCAGAAAAAATCCTGATTTATGTTGATGTATCTTCATCTTCTCAGTGTTAAAATTGGAATCTGCTGTAAATGTAGGGATGATATATTTAATCAAAGTCATTAGGTCTTTCTGCACAGGAGCAGTTAGGCGATGACGCAGTACAAAAAGCTGGGTAGCCAGGAAGCCTTGTTGAGTTACAAAAGATTGTGAAGGAAAAGATGTGGTACTCTGTATTGACAAAACACAGAAAAAATATTGATTTCAAGAACAAAACCACAAGCACACACAGTAGAACAAAATCTATACTTTGCCAAATCATAGTTTTTCACCAAAATATCATGCTCATGATTCAGACCCACTAATATCTCCCTTGAACAATAGATTAAAGTAGGTCAGATTTCACCTTATGTATTCAAATCATTATATCATTCCTTTACAACAATATATCAGCATTGAACATTTTCAGCATTTACATTTTTGTATCAGTAAAACATACCGTATGATGAGAGGCCACTCGGTCTATCACTAGGTTCACATTTGTTTCCACATTTGTTTCCACATTTGTTTCCATCATTTCCTCATCATATTGTCTGTTGAGAGACTTTTCGGGAACATTTATTTTGTCAATTGAAGTGAATTATGTAGTTTCAGTTATGAGCACATCGCTACCATAGTTAAGGTTACCTGTTTGTATTCCTGCAGTCTTTTTTTAAATTTAACTCTGGGTCCAATTTTGGGGATCAAGACTTCAAGGCGAGATGAAGTGTCAAGACTTAAGAAAGTTTCCCTGTTGATCTGCTCATCTAGAGAAAATAATAAATGGTTACCACAAGTCCAATTTAGAAGCAGTGCAGTTGTAGACATAACGAGAAGGTATTATCTGAGCGATCAGTCACATACCTTCAAACGCTTTAATTAACTCTCTGAGGTTCCACTCACTTAATTTGTCCTGAATGAATGTGCAAGACTCCATTGACACTGTAAAAACTAAATAACATTAAGTTTGTAAACAAAAACATAAAATAAGCTTACATTGTGTGTTAAAGAATGAATGTCCCAATTTCAACAAAGTATTACTGATAAAACAAAAAACATAAAAACATACAATATATCAAAAACTTGAAACTGAGAGTATTTTTATGTTTTTTCCACCATCAACAAAGAACAAACCCCCACTTGATACAAAATCTGTGAAGACTGAACAATGCAAATATTTGACTTAAGTTCCAGCCGATGTAAATTAACAAATAGAATTAATAATTGTTTGTTCAAATAAATACAATGTTGAATCAATAGATTTACCTGTATTACGTTTCAGATGCCCCAGAAAACAGGTCGAGCGATGTTGACTACTGCTCTGTTTTGCCTACATATACATCAGTGGCCACAGGGACTTCCCACTCTAAAGCCCAGTGCCACTCCCAATACACCTTTCACAATGCCCGAACGTGCCGTGATGTTGTGAAAAAGGTCTGACACACAACTGCAAAATACATAGCAAACCAGTTCTTCATTCATTATTTTGAAGTTCAATTCAGTTCAGTTGCTCAGTTCAATTGCTTTATTGTCATTGTCATAACATAAAATTTTGTGAGAGCATCACAAACAAACTGCTTAGTATGTTGTTGTTGTAGGAGCTCCAAGCCTATGTGCATCGCCACCTTAACAACTGTTGTTCATTGGAAATCTTCCAGCCCCTGACTCCTTCAAAGTGCTTTAAAAAATAATAAAGACATTAAAATCACTTTACAAACATATCAGAACATAAATAATCACCATAAAATTAACACTAAAAGAGAAGAGAGAATAAAAACCTTTCAGTTATATGCACACCTAAACAGAAATGTTTTGAGCTTGGATTTTAATCAAAATAGAGGCCTGTCTCACATCTTCAGGAACGTCATTTCAGGTTGTAGCTCATAAACCGGAAATACTAGATCTATTTGATTCACTGATTTAAAAGAGCCTCACTGGCAAAGAAAAACCAACAAAAAACTGATAACAATACATTTTATTTGTTTTGGTTGTTTATTTTGTTTTGATCAAGATCAAGACAAGCAATTTCCCTTGTGGGTCAATAAAGTTTAAGTCTGAGAACAAATAAGAAATATTTCACAATCAAGGCACTCTGGGAAATATTGTTCTTAGTCGGTTTCTTCGTATTATTTTTCTTCTTGGTAGTAGATTGCATTTTTGTCCCTGTGACCTTGGACCAAAAGTCCCCAAACCGGGTGTGGGGCCAACCAGTCTGGCAAAAAATTTGATAAAATGCGCATCGCAACAATGTCCAAAGTGACCTAACTCAACAGCACCACCTAAAAGTCTCTCACTATGACAAAAAACACAGTCAAGTCAAGTCCAAGTGTTTTCGTCCAAATGAGTTCAGATTTGGCATGTCACATCTAGAGACAAAGGTGAACAACGTTTTTTATACTTAGGTTTTGGTACTCTTTACAAAAAGAAAATGCCAAAGAGCTTCTAATTTTAACGTTCACAAGAAACTGAGCATAGGAAAGCCTCAGATAGTTAACAGTTAGATACCTATAAAACATACAGTAAATCATTATCCATTCATTAGTGCACAAGGTCAGGCATCAAAATGCTACATTTACAATAGTATTTCATCAAATTTGAGTCATTCAGCATAATGTGTATAATTGAGAAATCTTTTGGTGAGCTACTTGGAAGATGAAGAGCTACTGGTAGTTCCCGAGCTACAGGTTGGAGACCCCTGCTTTGCCCATAGAACACGGTGAAAAACACCTTAGTTTCCTGCTTCTTTGATGACTTCTCACAGCCACAAATAAAGATGTCATTACGAGGTGCGTACAATGACAGTTACTTATGTAACTATAGTTCTGTGAATCATGCAAAGTCAAAGTGATGGAAAATCGGCAAAGACATTATTTTGGTCACTCCTGTCAATACAGTTAGTTACACCAAAACTGTATTGCACAAAATTGTTGGTTCAATGTCCTGGACCACACAGTGTTCCTCTGGGACACTGGAAATAAGGTGAAAATCAGATAGAGGCCTGAGCGGCTGTCGGGGAGAGACGTGTGCACTGGGGCGAGTGCCATCATCGCCACAAGTGGCTTTAATTTCACATTTGTTTTTACTCAAGGCATTCTCGTAGTCTGGAAAATGTTCATTCTCATGTAACTGCTTCTTATGAAGTATGCAACATTAGGGCCATAGATTTATACAATTCAGCTACTCACTGATGTCAGACATGCATTGTCAGTTGTGAACCACTGTGAAAAGTAAAAGACTAGGCTAGCTAGGATAAATAAACAAAGAATATTTTCAATTCTTCAGGAAGAATCAGAGCATGTCCATATCTGAGTCTGACCTGAAACAAAAACATGTTGAAATTAATTATCTAGGTTCATTTGAATGCACAAAGGCAAATAAAATAAAGCAAAATCAATGTACAATTCTTACAAAAGTAGATCATCTTCTTCGTCTGTGCTCATCAGTTCATTTTGGTGTTTTGTAACTTCATCAAATTCACTGGAGATATCTGAAAAATGACAATGAAATGAACTCTTCACTCTTCATATCCACAAGAATGACATATAGGAATTTATTCATCTCACCTGGAATAGACATTTCTCTTGTCAATGACAGCTCAATGGCTTTGTGCAAGTTCTCACTCAATGTATTTAGGACATCATTCTGTGTGAGCAGAAAAACAGTACAGTACAAAAATAAAATCTCTCCTCTCACATAAAGTAGGTTTATTTACTAACAAACCATCAGGGTTTGGAGCTGGCTCAACATATTAGCTTTGGCACAGTCAAACATTGTATCCTTTACTTCTTGGATGTAGGCCTCAAGTGTATGTCTCATTCTTTCTAGACTGCCTTTGCCACTTGAGCCTGCTGCTTCTGTAGAATTAACAATATGTTACCAAAGTTAATGAAGTACATATGCACTGTATAGTGTCTTTAGTTCACATTGGCCTTACTTTTGTAGCATTCTTGCATAGTTTCTTTCACAGTCTGTGCTAGACTGTTGTAGATCATTTTCTTGCGGTTTCTGATTATTTTAATAAGTCTTGTTTTAATTTTTTCTTCCTGAATAAAACAGAAAGTTTCTTTATTTTCAAAAGCTTAATGCTAAATTACCAATGTTTTACCTGTGCTCTGATAAATAAAAGTTGTAAGTTGAGCTCTTTGTATTTTTGCATTAGTACTGCTGTGCCCAGTGAAAATTTGTGGATGGCTCCATAAAAGTTTCCTGATTTTCCATTGTTTCTTAAAATAAGAACAAAACACAAATCATGTCATATTAATTCCACAGTACTATTTTTTGTTTTGGTACAATTTTCAGACCACAGTCAACAGAAGAACTAATCACAAATGTAGTATAACACAATAGAAATGTAGTAGAAATGCTAGTATAACACTGAACTCTTCTGTAGCAACTCGGTCTTGCAGCACATAGTTGTTTTAATTACAAATATAGTGGGCCTACTGACAACGATGATTCGGTAATGAAGACAAGACAACCACAAACAACATGACAATCTAAAGCTCTAGTAATCAAGGCCTGGAGACAAAAAGAGCTGCAGTTAAACTTGATGGATTGTCTTGATTATTGCCTTATGTGAAAAAAATATAGATTATAAACTTACGGGAAAGCCTTTCGGAAATCCTCTTGAATGCTTTTGGTCAGAAATGCAGACAATGCTGAGTTGAGATTGATCACTTCCCCCCGGTTTGATCTGTGGACCCCGTTATTTTCAACAGCACACTTTAATGTTGAGTGGAAAGCACTGCCTGGTACCTGAAAAGGTTAAATAAGTTTAAATGCTTACATAAAAGAATTATTTCTGTTACCTACATTGTGTATTTTTTCCCATAGAGTTTTTTGGCAAAAACATCTGGAGTTCTCTGCACCTTTAGACAAACATTTGTCAAAAGTCATATATGCATCATGCATGGATGTTTGGACTTTTAAAAGATTGTCTTTTATGATTTTGTTTAGTTCTGCAACCAGCTGTGTTCGCTGCTGTGCCTGCAACACACAATAAGAAACATGCAGTTTAGATTTTTCATGTGCAGACTCTAGAGCAGAGCAGCTCCTGAGCACCACCACTAAATCATCCGAGCATAATAACAACCTCTAGTTTAAAAGAATAGTCTTACTCTATATGTAAACATAGACATAGTAGATACAAATTAATTTTAAGATAATCTTTTTTCTGCGGCTCAGAACCATATGGTTATGGTTGTGGAGCCCTGCTCTAGAATAGGCTTTAGGTCTACTTACCATATTAGTGGTTGCTTCTTTCATGAGAAAAATAATTCGATGGACACCATTAACATAGTTCAGTGTTTTTCCATGAAGCTCATTTAGACAATGAAGGAACTCTCTGAGTTTGGGTATTTCTGTAAGTGCACACAGTTTGAATTTACTTCAACACTGAAAAAAAAAACAATTTGCATTAACATGTTCTACATACCTGTTTCTTTTGGTTGTAAGTATTTTGGCTTTATAAATTCCTTTGAACTCACTGTGAATACTTCAAGGCAGTCCCCTTTCAAATGTTTCTGAAAATCATAATTGTAGATGTTTTTTTTTTGTTTTTGTTTTTTTGTTTAATTAATCAAATTTACCTAATATGACCTAATGCAAAGAATGCTAGTGGATAGGTAGGTTTTAATGTTGGAAACTACCTAGATAAAAATATAATTTGAATATAAATGTCCTGTTGTTGTAACAAACCTTCATAGTTGTAAATTTCTTAATTTCTTCCTTTACTAGGAGTTTAGCGGACATATTTTTGTCAAATATGTAACGCTGAACATCAGGCCTGGCAAAAGAAACAGGTTACTGTTAAATTGATTTTATTATTATTGTCAAGATTGCTATAATATTTGAAAGTGTCATTCTGACAGACACTTTTGTCTCTAATCAACCTAATTACTAAGTGTAGTTATGCACATTTGGGAATGTGGAAAACAGAACTGTTTAAATGTTAAGGAATTGGTTTATATAAGTGCAATTTAGTGGTGAGAGGTGGATAGATTATAAAATTATTGATAATATTATGAATGTTGTTTTGAAGATATGCAATGATAACAATACAAAAAGAGCAAATTATTTTTGATTTGATTGTCCTTTGTTACAAACTGGTGAAAGAAGAAATGAAATTTTCCTGTGTGTTTTTCCAGTCTAATTTTAGCATTCAGAAAAGCCTCTCAGCTTTGAAACTTTATACCTACACTTCATCGACATCTACTTTGTCAGTTTTGGTGCAGATGAAGTGAATATTCTGACAAATGCCACCATTTTCAGTGAGGCCACATGCACTTGTCAGGATTTCCCAAGCATCTCTGTCAGCTGCTGCACGATTCATATTAGTCACAATCCACACAGTTGAGCAACTATCTATAATCTTAAAACAAGTGTTAAATTAGAATAATACAATAAAACATGTGAAAACACTCATTGGATTACCTCTCTCCACATCTGATCTCTGCTCTTATTCCGGTCCCCATTTCCAGGAAGATCCACTAAAGTGACATGTTTAAGAAGGACATTGTTTGGTACTCTCACAGTCACACACTTCACCAGGGGCCAGAACAACCTCTTATTTAAGTCAATAACGTCACTTCTAGTATATGGAGCTATTTTCTCTTTCAGTTCTTTGGCCTGCGATGACAAATAATTGTTACATTGAACATAAAAGTTGTAATGTGGTAGGAGCTCATACTCACTGTTTCACAAGTTAATGTCTTCTTCACAGAGCGGAGAAATTCTGGTATTTCTCTGAAATATTTTGGGGCCATCAAGTGTTCAACTGATTTGTTTTTCCAAATATCTCCATAAAATGCTTCTAACTTCTCTGTAAGGTCAATATATTCACCATCATCCTCATCATCATTTTCATAATTTTGTGTCTCCCCAAAAAGGTTTTTTGCAGACCACAACTCATCTTCCCACTCCTAAACATGAAAAATATAGATACAATCTTTTCATTTATTCAGAATAAGGCAGGACAAATGGTGATTACACTTTAATGATGATTTTGTCCATGTGAATATGCAATTGTGCTATGCTGAAACAAAGACACTTTCCCCCACTCCCTCCTTCGATTAGACAGTCTGCCTTCTTAAAGATTTTAATTTACAGATGGAAATAACCAATCATAGTAAAGTATGAACTCTCAAAACAAGCGGATGACTTCATTTACCACTTAATAGCAATATAAAGATAAGTGTACATGAATCATGATCAAGTCTGGCTTCATAGATGATTCCTATATGACATACCATTACTGGGATGAAATCAATCTCTGCTTCATACTGTTTGCTCTGAGCAGTCTCCACTTTGATCAGGACTGTGGTGCAAGCGGACAGACTTCCAGTAGGCAAAAGATCTTTCTCTCCGATGACTGCATTGATCAAAGAGCTCTTTCCAGCCCCAGTTTGGCCAAAGACCCCAACCAGTTCTCTCTTTTCTTCCTTCAAATTGTTTAGTTCATTCCTTTAATTCAAGACAACAAATAGTAATATATTTCTCCAGTATGAATACAGAAGTGTGTGAGTCCTTACAGGTGTACTATATAACTTTTTGTTTGGGGGTCCATCACCTGCTTGTTTCTATGGAGATGGCACTGCTCTGCCTGGAATGTTCCACAGTATGACATTAAACAGCTATACCTAGTGTCGGAAAATCTTTAAATGTATATGATTATCTGATTTTGTAATGTCCGTTGTTGACGTCACTATTGATGTCACTTCCCGTTTGTTTTTTTTCCCTTGAGTTTCACCACGGCACTGGTTGTTTTTTCCCTGTGTGGTGTCTTTTGTGTGCGTTCATGCCTTTAGAGTAGTTGTGTGATGTTATTATATCATTGCTGTGCCAAGTGCTTCCTGTGTTTTAGTGTTATACATGTATAGTACATCTGTCTAATTCGCCGTTCCGTAAGGTTTACAGGGTCTGTCGGGTGTCCCATCGTATCTTCGCTATAAAAGCCGAGTGTAACCCGACACCAATTAAGCAGTAATAAGCACGCGGTGGCTGCAGCAGTGCAGTTGCGCTATTAATCCTATAGAGGGCGCCAAAGACCGCTGGGCCATTTCAGTATTCCCTGTGTTTGTTTTAGTCTGTATATTATTTGTTATTAATGTTATAAAGTTATTTATGTATACGTTTTATATATCATAATTCTAATATTGTTTTCTGTATCCTTTGTTCTTGTTTCAGCCACATACACACACACATACACATGCATCCAAATCCAGCCACGTGCCCATAACCTTGCCTTGGCAATATGAACCCGTAACTACAAATCTGCAATAAAGATCATTGGTGTACCAGCCCTCTCCGTGCCCACTCTCTGACCGGAGCCCCTCTTGCAAAATCTTATCAGATCAGCAAACACCAGAGTGTCCCACTCTATCACACCTAGTTTATTCAGTTACCAGTGTTTCTATTGCCCCAAAATACTCCACACCTCCTCAGAACCAACCTGTAACTTGGTGTGGTGTGGTCTCCATGACGATAGAAAGGTTTAATACTATACTGTGTAACATTCTTGTAAACATCTCCATGAAGAAAAGCATTTGATGGAACCTCCAGCAGAAAATTACACAATGCACCTTTCAGTTGGTTCATTAATTCTAAAGCAAAGTTTCTAATGAAAGCATTTAGTGAGTGCATTATTCTGCACAAAGTTTGCTCTTGTGTGTTTTATGTATGTATGTATGTATGTATGTATGTATGTATGTATGTATGTATGTATGTATGTATGTATGCCTTATGTACATCCCTATTTGACCTCAGAGCCACATTTATTTACACTCCCGTTTAATACATTCTGCCTCAGCCTTTTCTGTTCTGTTCTCTCTTTTTTTGTCACAGTCTCCAAAAAAGCATTACAGGTTAAACATGGAAAGTGCTTATTTTGAATAAATAAAGCGATTTGATTATATTTGGCCCCATACATACAAATCCATACCTCAGAAAATCACCGAGTTCTGTGGTGTCTTTTCTTAGTTTTTCCTCAACATGTGCCATGATTTCTTTCACAGTCTTTAAAATTCCTTCTTCTCTAATACAGTCATCTGTAATAAAGTTGATAGTCAAGGTCATTTAAATACAATCAACCAATGAACCTGTCCAGGGCACTGGTGCTAGTGGCTAGACACTTCACCCACATTGCCTAGTATGAAAGTGGTGTGTGTGTGAGTGATGGTGGTGGTCAGAGGGACCGTTGGCACTGATTGGCATGGCAGCCGCACCTCTGTCAGTGTGCCCCAGGGCAGCTGTGGCTACAACAGTAGCTTACCATCACCAGGTACAGAGTGAATAAATAATATATATGCTGAATGTAATGCTCTGTAAAGCGTCTTTGTGACAAAAATGTCTGTGAAAAGCGCTATATAAATGGGGACTTGCTAAAGAATAGTTAAAACTTCATAAAAACTAAAATTATTTAAACTTAATATAAAAGCATTCTGTACCTTTGCCACTACAGCAGGTGCATGAAAAAACCTGAAGACAAATAGACACACACTGTAAGTACAGCATCTAAATAGCAGTATTTCACACAGTGCTATAATGTCCTACAAGTTACTTTTAGTCAACAAATGTATTCCAAATATGAGAGCATATTAAATCATATTGCTCTGCTTTGGACCACCACAAATCCAAAACAAATTCACAATACCAGTTTGTTTCCTGTGGATCCTAGTTGCTATTTTTAACAGCTAATGCTAGGTCCATGCTAGTATGGGGCTCTTCGACTGAAAAATAATTTACTTAATTGAATTATCAGAGGCAAAAGCTCGCTGCTGTGTTCTTAAGCAAGACACTTCATCCTTAAATGTGGTGAATGTTTAGTTTCTACAAAAACATATGTTGACAAAAAGTACTGCAAAATGTATTAATAAACAAGATTTACGATACCATATTTTGTGAGAAGCAGCTGTACATGCCTACCTCAGCAAAGGATGGCTCTTCAAATTTTGGTTCAGTATGTTTTTCATGATCACATGTTTGTTGACTCTGTAAATATAGTCACCGTGTTCTCAGTTTTAACCATGGACTAATCTAATATGTTTCATACAGCTAACTATGGAGCCCTACAGGGAACTTGTGTGAAGAAATAAATATCCTGCAATCTGAAGTTATCCATAATCATGAAGTTATCCAAGTGTAACAGAATACCCCCTTCCCCGGGTATAACCTGTCCAACCCTGTAGTACACTCGCCGTCTATCTGTCCTGGGTCAAACTATCCCTGGAATGGTTAAGTAGCCTATACCCCTCTGGGCCAGAATGTACCCCTTTATATTTGTAAATCTTATTTCTTATTAAACCTAATAAAGTGTCTCTCTATTTAGTATTCAGTATTTTACCAGGTAGGTCTGGGGGGTTTACTTTGGCCTGTTATATTTCAGGAGCCATCATCTGAACTCAGACTGAAGCAGGTCCCATAATACATTAGTTTATAATACATTGGTCATCCTGTTTTTTGTCAATAAAAAACATAATATGCTCAAATCTAGTGGTATCACCTCAGGCGTGTTTGAACATAAAAAATAAGGATGCTAGCTGCTAATATTTTGTCCCTATCCAGGGTTGTAGCAGCCCATCATTATTTGAAGCTGGCAAATTGGATAAGTTTTCTATTTACATCTGAAATTGTAATTCCAATTCAGTTCAATTCAAAAATATATGAACACATGAAAAGTTGAAATTATGTTCTCACTCTCAATCTTCTAAATGAAATAATAATAATAAGATAAGATCAAAAGCCCTATATGATGATGTCCACTCAGAGGCCAGCGACGTCGCCCGGACTGGCATCACAGGGGCCTCACCCTGGAGCCAGGCCTGGGGTGGGTGCTCGTCAGCGAGCGCCTGGTGGTTGGGCCTTCCTCCACGGAGTTCACCCCGGTGAACGAGAGGGTCGCGTCCCTGCGCCTTCGGGTCGGAGACAGGTCTCTCACTGTAGTGTCGACCTACGGGCTGAACAGCAGTGCAGAGTACCCGGCCTTCTTGGAGTCCTTGGGAGGGGTATTCAGTGCATGTAGACAGTGCACCGACCGGGGACTCCATTGTTCTCCTGGGGGACTTCAACGCCCACGTGGGCAACGACAGTGACACTTGGAGAGGGGTGATTGGGAGGAACGACCTCCCTGATCTGAATCCGAGTGGTGTTTTGTTATTGGACTTCTGTGCTAGGCACAGTTTGTCCATAACAAACACCATGTTTGAGCACAAGGGTGTCCATAAGTGCACGTGGCACCGGGACACCCTAGGCCGGTGTCTTGGACACTCGGGTGAAGAGAGGGGCTGAGCTGTCAACTGATCACCACCTGGTTGTGAGTTGGGTTCGCTGGTGGAGGAGGAAGCCGGAAAGACCTGGCAGGCCCAAGCGTGTAGTGAGGGTCTGTTGGGAACGTCTGGCGGAGCCCTCTGTCAGAGGGACTTTCAACTCGCACCTCTGGGAGGACTTCTCCCGGATTCCGGGGGAGGCTGGAGATACGGAGTCCGAGTGGGCTTCATTCTCGGCCTCTATTGTCGATGCGGCTGCTCGGAGCTGTGGGCGTAAGGTCTGTGGTGCCTGTCGCGGCGGCAATCCCCAAACCCCGTGGTGGACGCCGAAAGTAAGGGATGCTGTCAAGCTGAAGAAGGAGTCCTATTGGGCCTTGCTGGCTCAGGGGACTCCTGAAGCAGCTGACGGGTACCGGCGGGCCAAGCGTGCTGCAGCCCGTGTGGTTGCGGAGGCAAAAACTCGGAGCTGGGAGGAGTTCGGGGAGGCCATGGAGAAGGACTGTCGGACGGCCTCAAAGAGATTCTGGCGGGGGGAGAGCTGTTGACCTCGACTGGGGATGTTGTCCGGCGGTGGAAGGAATACTTTGAGGATCTCCTCAGTCCCACTGTCACGTCTTCCGAGGAGGAAGCCGAGACTGGGGACTCAGAGGCGGACTCATCCATCACCCTGGCTGAAGTCACTGAGGTGGTTGGCAAGCTCCTTGGTGGCAAGGCTCCAGGGTTGGATGAGATCCGTCCTGAGTACCTTAAGTCTCTGGATGTTGCAGGGCTGTCTTGGCTGACACGCCTCTTCAACATCACGTGGCAGTCGGGGACAGTACCTCTGGACTGGCAAACCGGAGTGGTGGTCCCTCTGTATAAGAAGGGGTACAGGAGGGTGTGTTCCAACTATAGGGGATCACACTTCTCAGCCTTCCCGGTAAGGTCTATGCCAGGGTACTGGAGAGGAGAATCCAGCCGATAGTCGAACCTCGGATCCAGGAGGAGCAGTGTTTTTCGTCCTGGCCGTGGAACACTGGACCAGCTCAACACTCTCCATCGGGTGCTCGAGGGTTCATGGGAATTTGCCCAACCAGTTCACATGTGTTTTGTGGATCTGGAGAAGGCATGCGACCATGTCCCTCGTGGTGTCCTGTGGGGGGTGCTCTGGGAGTATGGGGTCCGGGGCCCTTTGCTAAGGGCTGTCCGGTCCCTGTATGACCGGAACAGGAGCTGTGTTCGCATTGCCGGCAGAAAGTCAGACCTTTTCCAGGTGCATGTTGGACTCCGCCAGGGCTGCCCTTTGTCACCGGTTCTGTTTCTCAGCGCAGTCAGGGGCCGGAGGGGGTCCGGTTTGGGGACCACAGGATTTCATCTCTGCTGTTTGCAGACGATGTTGTCCTGTTGGCTTCATCGAACCTTCATCGCTGTATTGGACCATTGTGGTGAAGCAGTCTTCGTTCCTACTCTCACCTATGGTCATGAGCTCTGGGTAGTGACCGAAAGGACAAGATCGCAGATACAAGCACTCGAAATGAGTTTCCTCCGCAGGGTGGCTGGGCGCACCCTTAGAGATAGGGTGAGGAGCTCAGTCACACGGGAGGAGCTCGGAGTAGAGCCGCTGCTCCTCCACGTCGAGAGGAGCCAGTTGAGGTGGCTCGGGCATCTGTTCCGGAGGGCTCCTGGATGCCTCCCTCGGGAGGTGTTCCAGGCATGTCCCGCCGGAAGGAGGCCCCGGGGAAGACCCAGGACATGCTGGAGGGACTATGTCTCTCGGCTGGCCTGGGAACGCCTCGGGGTCCCCCTGGAGGAGCTGGAGGACGTGTCTGGGGTGAAGGAAGTCTGGGAGTCCCTGCTTAGGCTGCTGCCCTCGCGACCCGGCCCCGGATAAGCGGACGAAAATGGATGGATGGATAATAAGATAAAAGGAAAAGTCCAAAGGTCTTCCCAGAGTTAAGCCTGAACAGATTGTGTGCGGGGTGAATTGCATCACTCACAATTGTTATCAGGTTTTGCGGATGAGGCGGGTGGTGTATATGTCTTACAGCTTCGGCCACACACAGTGCTGCAGCTACAAAGGATGATCTCAGTGGTTCCTCTGTTGGATGTGGTCATGATGGGTAGTTAGACACTTGCCCGCCCTTGTAGAGACACGCTTCCATGCAAATGTGTCACATCAAATATCACGACTATGTGACAATGTATGTGACTATAGCAGCACTTTTAACAGACTCATGTCATTTTGCAGAAGATGGGTCCCACAAAAGGGGTTTAGGGGGTCCTGACACCGAACGGGGCTGAGTTGAAACAAAAAATCCTAAACTTGTAATGTCCTGATGTGTGCACCAATGAAAAATCATAGTAAGAAAAAGGTAGCAAAATAATCATGATGGAGATGCCTGGCTCCCAAACTATGACACTACACTGAAAAAACGGTCTGAGAGGGGTTGCTCAAATTGCAAAAACAAATTTGACAACAATAACATCACTTTTTTACGTTTCTCTGTCAAGCATGTTTAAATCTTACAAACATCGCTTGATTGTGGCCGATGTGAGACCTGCATGTTTTAATCAGGTTGAGGAAACATGACTTTATTATAATCTCTGGTGAGGCTCCTCCCTCTGGAATTCTCCTCCCCAAAACTTTTGGAGGGAAAATTCAAATGTAACAGGACACAGGACAGATACAGGAGCAGAGGACACACAGTGTGGAGCAGGAGGATTATGGAGCTGATCTGGAGGTGAGACTTTTCAAAGATTTTATTATGTGCTTCTCCGGCCTAGAATGTCGTCATTGTTAAAACATGTTTGTGGTGTTTTATTTGAAATTAGAGTTAATGTAAGGACTCCTTGAAACAAATTGTTTTTGACTGTCCATCTACAAGAGTGTGACACTTGTACTAAGATTTGAATGTGTTTGTTCCAGAGTCGTCTACAAAGAGTGACGTCCAGAGCTCTGCTGGAGCTGTGGGGAAGTTCATGAATGTTATAGTTGATGTTTCAGAAAAAAGGAAGATGTTTGAGAACCAACAAAACACAGACCACAGATGAACAAAGTAAGTAAACCAACTAAAATAATTTTACATTTTTTCAAAATGAACTTCCTATTGAAACTGTTATCGTGCTTGTACAAGGTGATGTGGCATTAGGAGGACTTTATACCAGATGCCCTCCCTGTTACTGTGTTTAGAGGAAGAAAAGCAGCACATGGTGAGTTTTGTTTCTGCAGATACAGTTCTAATGTTCTTGTGATTCTGTTCTGGTCCATTATTGTAGTAATAAGTACTTTAAGTGTATTTAAACATGTACAACAGAGTAGATCATCAGAATGTGATCATCATGTGTTATTCCTGTGTCCACAGGCAGAGACCAGAGCTTCTTCACTGGAATAAATCTTCACACTGTCCAGCTCCAAAGTGTGTATCTCTGTCCCTGTGCTCTCTTTGTGTTTGATTCTGTTTAAGACAATACAGAACTGTGGAAAACTAAAGACTGTTTTTGTATTCTTTTACAGAATTAGATCAATTAAATTAAATTATACATACTTATACATTTCATGATAAGGTAACATAAGATAAATATGCATATTCAGCATGATTTGTTCAAATTTCATCAACATGAAAAAGTGATGTTCATGTTCCGAGAAAAATATGTGTAGAGGGGTTCGAAAAAAGTTTCAAAGCCTAAACATAATTTTATTGCGTGTCCATAACTTTCTTACGCAATTCCAGCAACTTTTTTTTTTCAGTGTAGGATATTGTGAAAGTTTCCTGAGGATTTGCTTTATTTCAGTTCCTCACATTTGTCCCCTGAGGGCTACATAGAAACCAAACAGACATACCTTTAATCCCTTTAGATATTTTTTAAACTTGGCCCTTGGACCAATCTTATGAATCAAGTGATCAATTTCAGAGTCTTCAAGACAGTACAGTCTGTGCATGTCAACTTTTGCTGCTGTGAAAACAAAAAAAATTAAAAACATTATACTTGCAATTAGGGCTGGGTCATATGGCCAAAAAATACAATCTCTATGTTTTTGCGCACACTGGACAATTAAGATTTTAAGTAAACTTCTTTCATAATAACAATCCTCAGTTTCAAAATTTGACAATTTTTCAAAATCTTGGTTATTCAAAACATAAATTAGCTAATCCAATTAATTAGATTAATTGCCCAGCTCCACTATGTACTTTTTATTTAAAATATTAAATAGGCCTTCACATGTCAACAATTAGGCGATTTGTAAAATTTGTAATAGTTTCATATTTACCTTGAAATAAATGTATCCAGTCATCCAAACCCCACTCCATTAATTTGTTACAGACAAACAAATCCATGTAGCCTAAGTAACCAAAGGGCTATAATCCAAATGGGCTATAAGGCAAGAAAAACATCTAAATTCAATCTGAAGCCAGATTTATTTTAAATTAGTGTGATATCACGATTCATTGATTAGGCTACATGAAATCAAATTTGCAGGAGGATTAGTGAATAAAGGGAGAGTGAAGTGGTTGAAAATGGTTTGGCGGTTCTTTATATTCATCATTCATGTGCTTACATTATTTACGTCTCTAAATTTCTAGCCAAAAACCGCTGGCTACGTTCAGGTTTCGCTTTCGATTTCTGTGAGTGTGAAACTGAACAGGCTGGTTTTGTGGCAGTAGGCTTGTAAAGTTTCGAGAGTCCCTGCTAATTGCTTTTTCGTATAATATTACATTCAGTAGAAGGATGTGTTACAGGTAAGGTACGGCCTCCTGCTGCAGTTGGAAAGTGCTTCGTTTCAAAATGTGTTTAAAAAACATATCAAACCAATAATTCACAAGCGCGTTTCAAATTACAACCGCAAAGCGCTGACAGGAGGAGTTTATCTAACTTCCTCCTTTAACATAACCTCAGCACCAAATATTCCTCCCTCTTATCTGCAGCTCTGAAGACTCTCTCGCGAACCAGGTAACAACTGTATAGGCTGTAACTTATAGCCCAGTGTAGAGAAGCCGATGCTTTTGATTGATTTGTAGCCATGTTTCAAGTTTTCAAAATCTTCGATAGGCCTAGACTAGTGCAGGAAGGATCACGGTTTTAGAATAAATGAAACAATAGAAAATAGCCTACCTGGCCTGGCGATAACAGTTCTGTAGTCTGGTGATAGGACCTGTCTAAAACAATAACCAAACGCAAAGATAAGTGCGCTCGTGTGTCTGATTTTGCCCACGTCTTTGGGCGCGTCCCTGCCTGCTTTGGTTATGAAGTAATCCCGCCTTTCACAAGTACTGACAATGAGCCATGTTTATACTTTACAGTTGTTTGCACAATGGACGAATTTGTTCGCAGTTTTTTAAATAAATGTAACCTCACCGAGTGGATAGAGAAATTTAAAGGTAAGCATGAAGCACTCTTTGTTGCATTTGTATATATAAATTTAATACATTATGTCTTTCCATCTAGAACAAGAAGTGGACAAAGAAAGTTTGCTCTGTCTTGGAGAAAATGATATTGAAAAGTTAATTCCAAAAGCAGGCCCAAGGGCCAGATTCATGAAAGGACTTCGAGAGTTAGAGGTATCTATATTAAAGGTTATTTGCAGTTATTATAGGTGTTAGAAAGATATTTGTGATGACCATTAGGGAGCAAATAGTTTATTATCTTGTTTACTGCAGAATCAAGTGTGTGAACAAGAGGAAGCTCATCCTAAACAGGTAAGTCTTAAAATGTTTGTTTCTCGGCTGGATGAGTTACAGGTTAAACCTGAAGAAGCAGCTTGGCAGATTGTGTTTCATTCAAAATGAAACCTAGTTTCTTTTGTATTTGAAGGTTTTATAGAGAGCGTTGTACTATCAGAGAGCCCTACCTGCCACAGGTCACAGTCCAGCTTTGTACAGACAGTTTCACCAGTTTATCTTGCCCAGGCGTCTATTGTTATAATTACAATTATAACAAAATCTTGGCAAAGCATAACTAGGCTACTCAAATAGGCCTAATTAAGTATATTTGTGTATACTACAGATTTTGCAAGGCAGACAAAAATATAGCCTTTTTATAAATAGGTTTATAAATTTGTTTATATGTTTAGAACTTGTAAAATTTAAATGCCATTATATTCTCGTCTCTATGTTTGAAAGTTTGCTATGACTCTTAATCACAGGACATGTTTGAGAAGAGTTTTCAGTGAGTTAGTTGTTGGACCCCTGCAGCTGATATGAGTGTTCTCCACAGGGTGGCGCTCATGGGGGGGAGAGAGGGCAGGAGGAGCGCGGGTGTAGAGCAGCTGTTCCTTCACATCAAGAGGCGCAAACTTCAGGTGCATCTTGGATGCTCCCCGAGGTAGGTGTTCCTGTAGACTTCAGAAGTGCAGTTTATACAGAAAGTTAGTCAAGTAAATATGAAGTTGATATAGGTTTGTAGAAATAAGTCAAATATTTCTTTTTAGGATTTGCCATCTGCAGATACAACATGTGAAAATGGTAGGGTACATAAACTGTACAAATAATATATTAAATTCATCATAAATATTGAAAGACTGAACTTTTTTCAATAATATTCTCAGAACTGAATGTTATAAAAAGAAAAGGTCCACCTGCTGAGACAGACAGCCCTGCAAAAATCAAACGACAGGGTGACACTGCACCGGGATTGTCTAAGGGTAAAGATTCGGTTTGATTCTCAGCATTATTCTAAAAATCCGACTACATTCGTACTTCTTTGTACAGATGACTTAATACTGGATGAGGTGAAAAACGTAATAGGAGGGGTCCACGACACATTGACTCTTGAGAAAACCAAACTCAGTGTTTTTTTAAGGTAAGAACTCAGTACACACATTATTACTCATTTTCTTCTGAGTTTCAGTTTATATGAAAACTTTAATTTCTTTCAGAAAAAAAATTTGGGACTTGGGTACAGAGAAGAGGGACCTGGTAGGGGTCTTTGGTAAAACTGGAGCAGGAAAGAGCTCCTTGATTAATGCCATTGTTGAAGAGAAAGATCTTTTACCCACTGGAAGTCTGCAGGCATGCACCACAGTCATGATCAAAGTGGAGGCTAATACCCTAAGGAATAAATATGAAGCAGAAATAGAGTTCATATCTAAAGAGGTAAATGTGGTTTTATTAGGGGTCAGATATTAAATCTACATCTGTTAATCAACTGATAAATTTAATATTTATTTAAGGAATGGAAAGATGAGCTGTGGTCTTTGAAAAATCTTTTTGGCGAAATCTCAGATGAAGAAAAAATAGATGACGAAGAATATAATGAGAATATTGAAAAAATGACTGCTCTTTATGGAGATGAGTGGAAAGACAAATCTCCTGAAACCTTGATGGAGCCTAAATATTTTAAAGAAATACCAGAATTTCTTCGGTCCGGAAGAAAGATCATGCAAGTGGAATCAGTGAGTGTTAAAAGCCAAAATAGTATCATGATTTTTTTATTGAATGGGTAATTTTATTTCACAAATTTTTGCAGGCACAAGAGTTGGCTCCAAAAGTTCTCAAATACACTCGAAGTGACTCCAAAGATGGACAAAGATGGTTCTGGCCCCTGGTGAAGTGCGTGACTGTGAGAGTACCAAACAGTGAAATACTTGAACACGTCACTTTAGTGGACCTTCCTGGAAATGGAGACCGAAATAAGAGCAGAGATCAGATGTGGAAAAAGGTATTTTATTACAAAATGTTGGTGATATTTGATGCCTAACTTCAACAGTTCATAAACAAATGTGTTTCAGATTGTTGCCAGTTGTTCAACTGTTTGGATTGTGTCTGAAATTAACCGAGCAGCAGCCGATAGAGATGCTTGGGATATCCTAGAGACTACATGTAACCTCATGGGGAATGGTGGAGAATGTCAAAACATTCATTTCATCTGCACCAAGTGTGATGATGATGAGTGAGCAATTTATTATCGGTTATATTATATACTGAATATAAATAAGTTATTTTATTTGTCCTCTATGAAAAATCAGTGTAGTGTTAGACGTATGACCCAAGGCAGTCTAATTTATTGTCATGTTTATGTTTCAAAGCAACACAGACAGCATTTTGACAAGAAACCAAAAAGCCAAAGACTTAATGAGGAAAGAATTCAGTAAACTTCACAAAGTCAAGGTGAGTTTACTGACACTGTCAGCTCTCTGTAACTATTACTGACAAACTTGACCTATCCTGTGTTTAAAGTGTCCACACAATGGAACACACATGAGTATTTTCTGTCTGCTTATTATTGATAATCAGTAACAAAAGCTTTTGTACTAAACTAAAACGGATGGTTTGTTTCCTAGAAACAATTTAATGATGACTGCTTTGAAGTTTTCACCGTGAGCTCTAAAGAATTTTTCAAACAAAAAAAACTTACGAGTGTTGAAACTGGTGAGTTATAAATGTGCATGATGAGTGCTAAATTCTAGTAACTAAAGTACTTGTGTGCCCCAAAAACTAATATGCAACCTGTATGCATATATCTCATACTGACAGTGACACAGGTTTCAGTATATTGTATTTTGTTACAGAAATACCCAAACTCCAAGAACTCCTTCGAGGTCTAAATGACCAGCATGATCACACTCGGAACTATGTCTGCGGAGCCTATGGGATTCTGTCTCTGATCAAAGGAGCAAAACTGGGAAATATGGTAAAAAAAAAAGACTATTACACAGGGAGGCCATGACACACACACACACACACACACACACACCTCTCTGCTGTGTTTCTCTGTCTCACTTTGAGCTATTAGTTTCCTTTGCATTGTTTTATTTCAGGATCCTCTTCTGACTGCACAGTTGTCTGAGAACCTGACTAGAATCACAGAACTGGAGCTTCAGAAAGTCAAACTGTCCATGGACAAAATGTTTGAGGTGTTTAAAAAATGCCTGAGTGAGGGTGTGGAGGAGTCAAAGACTAAGGCTGAACTGGTCTTAAAGAAGAAACTAAACCCTGTAAGAACATCTGTACATAAAAACAACATTTAATTCACATGAGTATAATTCTTTTTGTTCTACATGTTTTTAAGAAAGGTGGTGGGCGTAATTTTCACAGGCCACTGAAATGTGCATTGCAAAACAGTGGAATTCACAAAACTAAGAAAAAACAAATCAACCTCAATGAAGCAATATCATCCTCTCTAACCGAGAGCATTGATGAAGAGTTCAGGAGAACATTCCCGTAAGATTAATTTATTAATTTATTTATGTATTCATCTATCTTATGTATTTATCTATTTATTTAAAAAGGGACTATGTACAAAAAGAACATAAATGTTGCCATTTGATGCATTGGACCAGAGCACACACAAGAACATACAGACAGACAGACATACACATTCATACAGACCCAGTACCACTGGCGTGTAGGACCTAAAGAGACTAATGGTTGCAGTTGTGGGTGCTCTTTAGGGATTTTTAGATCAGTCTTAAAACCTTTGACTTTAATACAGGACTTAATATTGTCAAGCAGCATATTGCACTGTGTAGTGGCCATCACTAAACAAAGCTGATCATCCAAAAGAGGAGTGATGGAGGTATGGTGCAGTCAAGCAGAGAAGCTATTTTTGTAGACTGTACAGTTTTCAAAACTTACAGAAATATTAAAAACTTACAAGATTATGTTTGGAAATTAGACCATCACTGTTATCAAAAATGTTTAGGGCATGCTTATACACGACTATAAAGGTCATTTTTGTTCATTCACCATTGCACAAGGTAATCGTCATTATTCTTTTTCTATTTTTAGAAATGATGCGAAATCTGGACCTTTATATGGAGTAATTCATGCATTTTCACTTGACACAAACCGACTGGTTCAACAGTACAAGATGTTTGAACTTCAGTTGACATTTATCAAGACTGAGGTAAAATAACACATAACATGTATAATATGTGAATTAGTATATGCAAAATAACTTTATGTACAGTACATTATTATTGATCGCGAATACAAGCTGTCGAAATAAGTTTCCTCCGCAGGGTGGCTGGGTGCTCCCTTACACATAGGATGAGCAGCTCAGTCACACGGGAGGAGCTTGGAGTAGAGCTGCTGCTCCTCCACGTCATCTATGTTGTCTATGTTGTCTAATGTTTCATCGGGATGAGGCCCCAAGTAAGACCCAGTATGCACTCCAGGGACCATGTCTCTTGGCTGGCCTGGGAATGCCTTGGGGTTCCACCAAAGGAGCTGGAGCAAGTGTCTGGGGTGAGGGAAGCCTGGGAGTCTCTGCTTAGACTGCTGCCCCTGCAACCTGGCCCTTGATAAGCGTAAGAAAATAGATGGATAGATGGGCATTATGTACATGTTTCTTTTTATAAGGTAACCAATGTCAAGGCAAAACTTTGCAAAAATATTCGTGATCGCAAAAAGATCATCTACTGCAGTCTGACAGAGACCGTGAAAGAGACGATGCAAGAATGTTACAGTGGTCAGTCTTTCATGTTATGTTCAGACACCTGTTTTACAGTATACAGTAGACTGCTATATACTTCTCATTTGCAGAAGCAGCACAGCACAGAGGTGCAGGCAGTCTAGAGAAGATGAGACGTACAGTTGAAATGCACCTCCAGAATGTAAAGGACACAATGTTTCACAAAGCCAAAGATGAGGTGTTGACCCAACTGAAGGACTTGATGGTACGTTACTGTAGTTAAGTTTTTTAAGATGGCTTTACATTTATTCATACATGTTTGATGAAACAGGATGATGTCGAGAAACAGCTGAGGGATACTCTGCAAGAATCTATTGAACTCTCATTCAAAACTGACCACCAGTCAATCCCAGGTAGACAGTACACACACTTTTGAAATATCATCACAATTGGTCTCATGCATGGATCAGGCAAATTCATACTTCATCAGAAGCAAGAAATTTGTTCTTACGCCTGGAGTTGGAAGAACAGAAGGACATCATTTGTTCCCAAAGCTTGCTCTGTAGGGCTTTCTAACAACTCAGCTGTGATTGGTTGCAAAACAATTCAGCCATTTTGATCAGCATATAACAAATATAAAAACTGTGCTGCCATCATTTTTCTGATAATGAAAGGAAAGTGCCATTGAGTAGTTTAATAGCAGAACTTCTCATGACATATAAAAAGTTCAAGCCCCAAAGCCATTGTTTCTTTATTCTCGTTAAAGATTTTGAGCGTCAGTATGTCTTGGTGAAGAAACACTTTGATGACCTGTCAAATAAAGATGACCTTGCTTGGTAGGTACAGGTTACAGAAGAGAATAGTATTTTATAATTTACATTGTGCTAATTCAATGTTTCCATGAAGGCCTGATCTGTTTGACTGATGCATGTTGTGAGTGGAAGCAGAGCTGATGAACTGGAGCCTGCCGCAACCAACCAGACAACAGCATACAACAATTCCATTTACTTTACATTTCCATTTCTAAAAATACATTGTCAAAGTGATATGTACTTTTTACATATGCAAATACATTCTGATGTCAGAGTAATTTTATTGTGTGTTTTTTTACATGTCAATAACATGTAGAGACATGTAGAACAGGATGAAAGATGTAAAGCAGGAAAAAAGTATTTTTTTGCACAGTAAAGTATAAAATTACTCAAGCAGAGGTAGTGAAGTTACTGTAATTGGAAGGACAAAACATTAATGCAAAAAATCTGTAAAGGCAACAGCACTGAGAAAAACTAAGATCATCTGAAGAAGTGGTGCAAGAAACACAAATGTTCAAATCAGTAGCTCAGTTGCTAGAACATTTGTCCACTGACCCAAAACTGGGCGGTTCAAATCCTGCTCTAGATGTAAACATCATTGGTTGAGCGGTCAGATCTACTGACCTACAGGTTAGCTGTTGTGGGCCCAACACAGATGAATGTTGTTGTTGTGTCCTTGGGCAAGACACTTAACCTACCTTGCCCCATATGATGTTCTTGAGTGTTTTCCAAACCCACTGGACTCTTTCTGGTCATTTTCAGTGCTCAATTATTTTCACTCAAGAGTTAGTCTTTAATATTACATATTTTTTCTGTTTCCATCAGAGGGTGCATACACTAATCAAAGTATTTGAAAGGAATTTTCAGCTTTATAGGCTGCATGCATATCTTTATCATTTTAAAAGTCTCAAATACTATTGAAGTTTGACTTCAAGAAATAAAGACTAGTGCTATTTGATAGAAGACATGGGTGTTTTTTTTTTTTTTTTTTTTGCAGCGACACATAGGCCTACATTTTTAAAATTGCGTTTTTCATAAGAGCCAATAGGTGGAGCAAGATGACCAGTGATGAGTCCTCTCAGTTGCGTCTCAAAGTGGTGATAAGCAGACATTCAGTGTGTTTGGTTAAAGCGTTAGGCGCTTACTGACTGAATCCGCAATAGTCAAATGATGCCTATATCATGCCATAATTTCTCAAATTAAATAATAATGACTTATCTGTGGTAGCTACTACAGACACAGCTGCCCTGGGGTAGACGACAGAAGCAAGGCTGCCAATATTTGCCATCGACTTCGCCAACCACCACTAGTCACTCACACAGGAACCTGCGAACATCGGGTTGGTGGACAAGTGCTCTTTCCGCTGAGGCACTGCCACCCCGTGAAGAAGAGCAATGAAGGATACTTTTATTTATTTATTTATTTATTTATTTATTTATTTATTTATTTATTTATTTATTTAATGCCTGATTTTTCATTTTATTGAAAAGATTGGAATAACCCTGTGACTCTCCATACAAGACATCACAGTTTCAGATTCCCATAGCTCTAAATTCATATTTCACATTCACATTTCATTTTTTGTTTAGGCAGACTCGATGACGGAGGTGTCTCTTGGATCCTCTGCTTCTCCACAGACACGCAGTAAATGTCCTGCTTCTGTTTCCACCCTGAAGGGGAAGAGGTTCGGATGTGAAGGGAACAGACTGGAAAACCAAACATCACTGCGTTTTGGACCAAGAACACACCCATGTCAACCTACAGTGTCTACCTGTAAACGGAGGTACACAAGGTTCTTATCATAGCATTAATTTAGTCTAATTTTGTGCACATTAATGGTTTAAATTAGACGCTATTAAGGCCATGTTTTATTATGCCTTTTTCCTGGGTTCATTTTAATTTGCTGTGTAAACTTACACTAGATACCTGGATCCTTGTATATTTTATGTAGTGAAATGCTTGAGAAAAACAGCTCAAACCATTCTAGGTCAGTAAACAGAAAACATCTTGCACCTTTAACTGCGGCGATAGGTGCAAGATAGATAGGAGATTTAAGATAGGTGGTGGTCTAAGAATTTGATTGGACATTTTTATATAGTCAAAAATATAGCCTAAGTTCTTATTTAATTCAGTTATGCATTTTGATGATAAAGCCATTTTACTGTATCCTGTATCACATATTGTTTAGGCAGAAAGCGGTAGAGTGATGGTGTAAATTCTTGCTCCCTGATGGGCTCCTTTTGGCCTCCTCTCTCATGGCTCTGTCCCTGGTGTCCTGCCGGGTCAGGTGTTAGGTCACGTCACTTTGGTGCCAAGTGTCTCGCGGTGTCTCCATTTCTTCAGACACACATGGAACAAGCACACAACATGTGCTCCGACACAAGCGCCTTCGCTGACCATCTCAGCAGTACAGGGCCAGGGAAGGAAGTGACTAAGATATAGAGTAAAAGCTATTTATTTGCTGTTTATTCAATATTAACCATTCATCATTTTAAGAACATGCAGGTAATAGTAATGACATATACACCAGTTATTATTTGAATTATTTGTATTATAAAGAAGTATTTAGAAAGGACTGTACATTTTTCTATTAGATTTTTATATTTGATTGAAAACCGCACAAGAGAGTTTCATAGCAAAACAAGAAACACAATTAATCCATCTAGTCTTATGTTTAGCCAGAGTTAAGACTGACGTGTCTTGATATAAACTTATCTGGATATGATTTATCTGATTTAGATTCTTTCTGTACATAAAACTGAAGTACTGAAGACTGCATAATGCATATTTTCTAATAAATGCAGCTCTACATTGCACATGAACATACAGGCTTCAAACATGCCAACCAGTTCTGTGGACAGGATTATCACAGCATCTGACCTTTGACCCTGCAGAGGTCATGTCTGTGGCACAAGTGCGTCTGTGGCTCCACCCATAGCCCCATGTCTGTCGTCCCAGGAATCTGCTGCACAACACCACCTCAGAACGGCAACATGAACACTGTGTGACCAGCAACCAATGAAGAAAATGCTCTGCTTGTGGATTTCAAACTTTTAAAGGTAGTCCATATAGCATGCTTAAAACCTCACTACATTCACTCAAAACAGGACCTTGGATGTCATTATCTGCCATTAATAAAACACAAGAGCTTGTTGGTTTTAGCTGTTCAATTTGGCAATCCAAAACAAAGAGTTCTTTCAGCTTTCTGGTTGGATAATCAGAACTAAAACTCAAAATGTATTCATGACATAATCTACTCTTTTTATCAGTGAAATTGATATTTGATTTCCATTTGTTTACATTTTATCTAAATCTGGAGACACACAATTGTTATGTTTAATGTAATGTGTATGTGATGTAAAATCACCTTAAACCCTTAAATACTCACAAAATCATTATACTCTCACTAAACAATATCAAAACAAGCAGATGCACATGCTGAACGAAAATGTAAACAATGCAATTAAACGTCTTAATTTTTGTTTTGCTGTGTACTATCCTCTAGTGTAAATCATATCATAACAGGCTCTGCAGGTGAAGACTGGAGCCAAATTAAGAATCAAAAATTTGTGAGTGATCTGTGACAGTCACTTGGGTCAGCTCTTGTATTGTTTGGTGACCTCAGGGACAAGATGACTGCCCGTCCAAGGCTCCTTTACCCTTCCAGCATCACACCACTCCTCTCCTGGGACTGTGCACTTGTACACAATATGCTCTTTTGTCCATAAATCAGTAATTGTGTGTATATGGCATAGAAGCTCACACCAACCACAATCAGCGATGATGGATATCTAAGGTGGCTTGGTAGTGCCGGGCATTTTCCAGTGGGTGACTCATGGGGTTTCTGACAGATGTCTGTACCAATTTATTGCTACTGCCACTGCCTCTCTTGTTCCCCACCCCAACTATGTGACTCTATGAATAAGTGTGCTGTGCCTGGGCTGCTTGTGGTTGTGTAGTTTCCAGCTTGGTCTTATGGACTTTCCACTCAAGAAAAAGGTAAAAAGGGTGAGTGGGGCATTCAAAGTTATTTAATGGCTGGAGACACGCAGTATAGGAAAACCGTTTGCCACATTATACAGTGACAATAAGATTGGGGTGCCAACACGTGTAAATCATTCAATGGTCACAATTTATTTTTAAGCCAGAATTTGGATTTTGTTTTTGTTCATGTAGACATGTAGCTCACTTTTGTTTTCCTTTTGTCCATCATCAAACTGGTTGAACGAAGATCTCTTTTTACTGATATTGATGTTACTGATGACAAATCTGTACTCCTTCCACATGTAGTCAACATTTAATGGTGCACTTTATAACTGGAGGGTGTGCACTTGCTTGTCTCCATGGAGATGTGATTGCTTTGCCTGGAATGTCCCACAGCATGGTTTTAAATTTGTCTTGCATCTATTTCATTACTGTACCTTCCTTGGTTGAGCAGAATCACCTTTCAACAGATCTGAACTGTAAATTCCTTCTTTTGTCAAAATAAATAAGCTTAACCCCATACTATGGAACCATCCATGGAAACCAAGCAGTATCTCTGTCGATATGCAGATGATGGACTCTCCACCAGAACAACATTCAAGTGAACAATATTGACAAAATGTCAAACCACACACATATACAAAACATTCAGATACTCACAGATCGAGACAAGGCGACCCCAAAAAAATCTCTTGTGACCCACTTGAGGGTCGAGACCCAGTCTTTGGGAAACAATGGTATAGATGACACCACTAGCACCAATTGGATATACAGTGAAAATAATAGACATTGATAGACTGACTCCTCCTTCCCCAGTCTGTGCTCCTGCAGGTCAGCCAGTTCAGCCCTTATGAGGCCATTGAACTGTTGAACCTGCACACAGCTCTTTACCTGTAACGCCCTGCCTGCCTGGAAACACGTACCTGGATTGCTTCATTCATTTATTGGTTTGACAAACACAAAGCCGTACCACTTCAAAGCATAACTCGGCAACAACGCACAACTCTTTGCACTTGAAGCTGATCTTGAATCTTGAATTTGCTGATAGTTGAGCTGTGTTTACAGTGCATTTTTCTCACATACAGTTCCTGGTTTTGATTTAAGTTCATTTTATTTTATCTAGTAGAAGTAAAAGATTGAATGACTAATGATCCATGTGGGTATTAATATTGTGAATTGCACAGTGTTTTGCTTTTACTAATGAAACCTATTAGATATTTATAACTAAACAGACATTTTGGTTTATTGACAAAATAAAACCAAGTAAATGCTATAAAAATTAACAAAAAGTTTAAGAAGTCAGTCTGCAATTACTTTCAAAGCTGTAATTTCTAAGGTAGAGGATCTGCTACTTGCTTGTCTCTATAGAGATATATGCAGATAGATGCATATATTCAATTACAGGTGTTTTATAGCTCAGAAAGGCCTTGAAATCTTGCTATGTGCAGGCTTGCTTCTCCATAGATCTGGCCAGTAAAGTCTCCATTAAAGTCTCCAGTAAAGTCTCCATTGTGATAAAAAGACTTATTTTCATACTGTATAACATTCAAGGCAAAGCAATTACCCTCCACCACAAAAGTTACACAGTGCACCTTTAATCTTATTTTATTCATATTTTTTCATTCTATGGCCATGTTGGAAATATGGAAATTCCACATCTTTTTACCAATAATAAACACCCAGTGACTGACCATCCCCAGTATATTCCTAAAATCAACTCGATGTAAAACTTTCCGTCTTTTCCCTTTTCATCCTTATGCATGATCAAAGCCTCTATAACACAACACACTGTAAGTCCTGTCTTCATAACCAACTATTTCTGTCCTGAGGTTACCCAGGACACCATGTGGATTCACCCAAATATAGCCAACCGCAGTACCCAGTAAAATCATCTGTGTTTGTCATGCAAATAATAAATATTCATTAACAGTTTGCAGTTTCTTCGTCATTATTTGGTGTGATCGGCAAAGGGGATTTTTTTATGCTTCTGAGGGTTCTAGAAATAATCCTAAACTAATATTGACACAGGCTAAAGAAGTGCGCCTGTGGTGAGGGGCTGTGAAGAGGGTCGTGTAGTCCCGGCCAGACCGCAGAGCAGAGAGGAACCACGCTAAATCAAAGAGGTGATCTACCAGTCTTGTCTCACGCTCAACGACTATTTCCAGAAAGACCAACAGTTCCTCTCCATTATAGCTGTTATCATTTCCAAGCAGCAATTTTCAAAACCAACCCAGATTAAATATAGAATCGTTTTATTTTGATCAGAGATGGACACAGCAAATGACCTACCATCTCACCATCTCTGTATCCTCGGTGTCCAAAAACCTCCTCTCTGGTCTTCCTCTTGGCCACCAACATGGTAAGATTTCATAATTTTAAAACTATTTTCCTTGCTTGCCTTACACACACAGTGGCACCGTGGGTTATAGGTGCCTCAAAGCAAAGAGGCCTCAGGTTAAATTCTTGGATCACTGCAAAAGTTTAATAGCTATTTACTGGGTGCTGTACTGTGGTGTTCATACTGGTATTGAACGATGGGTCAAATGCAAGAAGTATACCGTATTAAATGTACATTCCACAGTATTCAAAGGTTTGTATAGTCTTTAAATGTGAAAGAGTGAGTAGTTCCTTGTTGTAAAGTACTTTGAGTGGCTTTAAAGTGGAAAAACGCTTTATAAAAATGTGACCACTGACCATTTGTACAGTCCTAAGTAGTTATTTTTGTCACTATATCTGTTCTCTGGGAAGTACAGATGATTTCAGTGTTCTATGTAACACTGTGGTCGATGTACAGTAAATGTTCACACACACTGTAGCTCCATGTTGATATGTGATTCTCATAGACATGCTAACAGTGCAGCCTCCAGAGTGTCCGCAGAGCCTGGCCTCTCTACCCACCTCACTGGCTCCTGTGGGCACAGTTTGGCTTGACATGACTGCCCCGGGCACTGGTCCCATCCCTGCACTGAGGTGATGAAGGAGAACTCACCCCCCACCCATTGGTCACCGAGGTGAGGAGGCACCCAGGGGACACACAGGCGGGCAAGGCGGGCGTCTCAGGCCACACTCACACAGCTGACCAGACCAGACATGGCTGCTTTCAAAGGATGGTGCCAGCGAGTCTTGCCCAGCGCTGCCCACGGCGACTACACTCTGAAGTGTTCCACAGCCACTACAGTGCCATCAGGTCAGCATTTCTCTTTGCAAAGAGGCTTGTAAGACTGGCTCCAACAGGCTTTTGTACAGGAGGTGTCATATTCAGATTGCATTAGTTCAAACCTTCTTTCTTTTGGGCCTTTTACTTTCCGGGGATTTAGACTCAGAGAAACTTTATTGATCCACAAGGGAAATTATATGGACACAGTAGCTCACACATCACAATATATTATAAAAAAAGAGCAACAATATAATTAAGAGTAGCAAGTAGCAAGAGACAAGTGTCAAATAAGGCATAATTATATAAATGTATATGTACAAGTAAAAATAAATATAGAAATACAGTAACATATCTCTGCTATATACAAGAGATCATAAGGAGAAACAGTGCAAAGATGAAATAGTGATTGAAATGACGCTGGTGGTTATCAGATTCTAAAGTGCGATGATGGCATACTCTCAGACGAGGGGCAAGAATTTTTCCTGTGGATTACATTGCACTTTCGATAAAATATTTTAAAGGTCACAAATGTTGAACCTAATCATTTCTATCAAGTCCTCACTATATGGCAACAAAAATCTGCATTTAAACAATACTAATTTTAACTGCCGCCAATCTGTATATGTTTATAAAATGTTATGATAGAAGGTTTTATAGTATTAGGTATTATAGAAGTTTATCTATTACATAAGGGTGAGTTGTTGTACAGTTGTATGGAGTATGGTATGAATATAGTCCTGTGTCATGCCACATCAACTACTGTCAAGCCCAGTGGGATTCATTCATCATTGCATACTGATTTAGCATATAATTAAATTTTAATGTAATCCTCAGAGCAACAATCTTTTTAAAGTAATTTCTAGTAAGGCACTGTAATAATAATTCTATAATACATCCCATGGTTGCAACAGGTTGGATATCCATATTTCACTTGTGTAATCCTTCGTTATCTTCACATTTATTTAACCTCTTGAGCTTGTTTGACCCTGTAATGGTCTCTGGTTTTGATAACCGAGCAGCACTAGTACCATCTGCCCAGGTGCACAAAAACAGACAGCAGACAATAGGCCATCAAGAGAACAGAGCTTCAAAGCTGGAGATGTGAGGATGAGGGTGCCTACTCATAGGGGTATGGGGAAAATTACTGAGCTGTGAGCCGAGAAGCACCTTTGATTCTGAAGCCTTGTGTTAAGAGAAATAGAGGCGCAGACATCAGCAGTAGTGATCATTGTGGAGCACACAAAGAGTTAACAGGTGCATTGTTCTGATCTGAATACTAAACGCTGCCACACAGAGGATGGAGAAGTTTGGTTGAAATTTTACAGGTGAAGAAAGAAGTTGCAGATACAAGTAATAGCAAACAGGCCAAACACTAATGAGGGGGAAAATACAGCCCTACAAAAAATATGCAAATTTTGATTCTTCAAATTAAACATGTACATTTATTTAAAGGTCAGTCTAGCACTTATTCATTATGGGTGTTACTATTACTCAAAAACTGAATAATTCCTTCTTGAATAGGGGCAACTCTCCACAGTTGTAATGTAGCGTAGTGCTATGACTTGGTTGTCTCTCTTGTGATAGATAAGTTTTAATCTATACTGTGAAACATTATAGACAGAGCAATAACATCTTCGGCGGACCATCCACCAGAAAAATGTGTACCATTAAACCATGAAAGTTGTATAATGTGGACCTGGTGATAACTAAATAAACATAATTAAATAGATATAAGATAAATTTGTACTTCTTTAGTGCAGTGTTCCAATTTGTTACCAGTGTTGCTTTATTTCAGTGGTTTTATAAATTTTATTATATTGTTTTCAGTTTTAACCCTCTCCAGGCAGGCGTTGCAGATTTGCAACAGCTAAATTCCAAGTACCTAGTTACTCCACATCCATATTATATGAGCTTTTTTTACTCAGGAGCCTTTTTTCCCATCCATGCTGATAAACGTGGGCAATGCAGACTGTGCAAGAACGGCTACACACAAACGGCCTGCCAGAAGTGCAAAATACTTTTTTTGTTTACAAAAATCAGAATTGTATATTACTACTCCATATTATAATTTTCCCCAAATATCAGATTTTTCCTGACACTAAAAATTAATTTGAGCCTGAGAGGGTTAATTGCATACTTCAATATCTATAGTCTGGCCACCCAAAAAACAAGATTTTTCTATACATAACAAAGACATAAATGATGTAAGTGATATTTAAGAGAATATGTCTGTGATTATAACAACATAATTTGTTGATTTATTGTGCGCCTGACACAAGACCCTCCAACACTCACTGGTTCGCCAGAACTTTAAAATCTCACAATAAAATGCTGATATATTTATTATCTGTTTGCATTTATTTATTTATTTCTGAAGCTTTCTGGCATGATAACTATACTTCTGCTCAACTCCCAGATTCTACAGAGCAGATGGAAGTGAGCATGTTGGTGTCCCAGGAGAGGTTTGGGGAGAGGACAGCAGAAGATTGAGTACAAGGACACGGGGCCATTAAGGATATATTCTCTTTAATCAGGGACATGCTGGATGCTGAGGGACCTGGGACAGTGACTGATGGAGGGGAGAGGTGAGGAACGCACTGACAAAGATGAAGAGAAGAAGCCTCTTGTGGAGCAACAGCTGGAGGACCTCACCCCCCACACTCCACCTCAGAACACTGGCCTATTCTTTAACACCCATAACATTTTACTTTGAGCAAAGTCTGTAACAAAATAAAGCTCTGATGAATTTATTTAGTTTTTATTGTTTTTGTAACAATAGATTTTTAAAGAAACAACAGCATCTGAATGATCTGAATGTAATCTATAGAAAAACATGTAAATCTAAAAATGTTATATCATACAGGTATAGAAAAACAAATTCAAAATTGACAATATGAATGAAAGTCACATTTTTCCAAAGTATCTGGGTTTGTATTTCCAGGGAAGAACCGAAGTGAAAGGCTCCGTAAACTGTTGACCCCAGCTAATCGCCGACAGTGCAGCCAAGTGGGGGTCTTTCAAGAATTAATAGCTTAGGGAGATGTAAGGAGACAACCCTGCCACAAGTGGTTTGTCATGTTCACTCTAAAGTTACTTAAAGTGCTTGATCCCACACACACACCAGTCTGGACTCAGAGGGTTCTGACTTGGATCACTCCATAGGGTAGAAGGATAGAAGTGAGCTGCTTTGTCCACTCACACTCTCATTCTTCACTAGAGAGGCAACTACCAACAGCACGCTCATTTGGCCAAAGAGAGATTGATGAAGACATTTTGTGCTTTGACAAGGCACGCAAAGAGAGCTAGCAAAATCAAGCAAAAAGTGGTATAAAGTAACATTTTTAATAGCTATAAATGCCTATGCCACTTTTACAGTTGGGAGTCTGCTTATCTACAGTCATATTTGTTGAAAGGCGGCTCTGCTTACAATACAAAGCATTTTCAAGGTATTTTTTTAAGTATAGCTAACTAACCTGAAATTGAATAAATGTAAGCTACAGATATCTGCATGGAACATTGCAAGCAACACAATACTCTCTACACAGGCACATGACACTCCACCTCCACCACCAGAAAAAGTTACATAGTGTAATAAAAGACAAAGAATGTTGTTTTAACTTTACTTTTAGCTTTTAACTTTAATTTACAGGCATTCTTGCAGTGTATATAGACTGTTAAATGCAGCAGGCAAGTTGGATTAAGTGTATTGCCCAAGGACACAACAATAACAGTAAAAACAATTTGATCAGACCAATGACCAGACAAACCCAAAAACAACTGAGCTACTATTGTCCTATGATTATTTCAGCTGATTAATTTAATTTACCTATTGGGCTCAACTAATTATGTTCCAGTGTATGCCGTTAGGGCAGGTAGGACATGAGAACTATAGCACCCATATGCCCCAGCATCTCAGACTCTTTTGCATTAAGTTACTGGGGACAACATATCATTTTTCTCTTCTGACAGTAAAGAAGACATTAGACATGTTTATCTGTTGATCCTGTGCATTTTTGGGCACTGCTGGCTCCATTTGAGAGAGCTGGCCCAGGCGAGGAGGGCAGGACAGGGTCAGGAGATGACACATAAGAGATGGATGTCTGCAGAAAGAACATGAGCCCAAGTCCTGCCTCTGGCTCACCTCCCCTCTGCTCCTTGAAGACCAAAGCCCTGCTCTCCCTCTCATCCCCAGAGACAACCACCCCCAAGTCAAACCTACCAAAACACTGTCCGTATTACTGTCCTGTTTTATCATGCTTTAAAGTGTAACAAGAAGCTGGTGTAAAAAGAGAGCTGGGCCAGATTTCGTTACATTCAGTTGTGAATTCCTCTGGGGGTCCATGCACAAGCATCAGGTTTTTGCTGCCTCAGCTAAAACAAGTTTGGAATATTTAGGCAAAAAAACTAATTAAAAGTAACAGTATGCAAATGTTTAACAAAAAAACAAACAAACAAACAAACAAACAAACAAACCCTAAAATAAAGCATTTTTAAAATTTGATTATGTTTACTGCTTTGAAAAACCTGCATCTTTACCCTGAGAAGACTCCATCTCCTCAAAACTGACTCATATTTGATCTGGAGGAGGGCCTGTTTCTGCTTGTTTCCATGGAAACATTGTTCTTTTGGTTATAATCTTCAACAGTATGACATAAAATATCTTCAATGGAGAATGTATGGTTTTACCTTTCTACTGTATTTACATAGAATCATTCAGGTGACATGGCACCTTCAGAAAATTGCATAGTGTACCTTTCATGATTTGCAAAACATTTGCACAACATATTTCTGGCACCATCTCGTATTCTGGTAACTCCATGTTAGGAGTTGGGGCTAATGATGTAGATACTTTCTTCCTGATTTATTGAGGGTAATCAAAGTATACTACAAGTATACAAGAAAAAAACACTACTACTGATATTCTGACATTCAACACAATATAGGCAAATTATGAATGAATAATTGACATTTAACATCACATGTTAAGCTGTGTTCCCTTTCTTTTTGAATTCGGGTTATGTTTGTTTTGATTTCACATTGTTGACTTCCTTTCTGCAGAGTCAACACGGAGATCCAAAATGGTGACATCTTGGCTCTGAGCTCCGGTTACATGAAGTCACTGGAGCAGAACGTGGGTGCATTCTTTAACTCTCACCTCCTTAAGAGACAGACAGTGCAGTGACTGATGAGTACATTTAGATATATATGTTGAAAATGGGTTCTCTTGTAAGCATGCCAAATGGACCTCATGCAGCCCTGTGTCCGGACACGCACAGACGAAGCCCTGAAATGGTGCCAAAATAAGGACTTGTTGTAGACACAGAGGAAATTGTCCTGAATAACAGACATATTTTTGTTCACCTTAACACAATTGGTTCATAAGAATTTGTACCCATAAAGATTTTTTATTACTGATATTAATGATTGGTATTTTACTTCTATGGAGTATTAACTGCTAAAACATAATATTTAGAACAGCATGTTACCTTGTTATTGTTTTGGAAATGCTATATTCACTGAAAACAACATATTTTAATACATTTTATGAGTTTCAGTTTCATTTTTGACGCTCTGACGCCCTCCCTTTGCTCTCCACTTTAAGTAAGTCCCCCTTCAGAGCACTATCACAGCTCACTAATGAAACTACTGCATATCTCATCAGGTTTGTCAAGTTTATGTGCACAGTTTTGTATATATTTATGGAGAGCATTGTGGGCGCATGGATGATGTAGGCTCAGTCCACACAAAGCATTGCACAGAATCTTACAGCTAACCATGAGGAGGGTCTGAATAGGGCCAGGGAGATATCACTAAATTACTGAAACATGCTTAGTTGACATCTTTTTAAAAATGTATTTAGCGTAATATTCGACTCTGGGTCAAGGCTACTTAGGTCTTGCAACACTTTTGTAAGAGGCTTTTTCACCCAAAGAGGCTACTTGCATTTAGCCTTTACATTCACAAACAACTGAAACAACTTTAATAAATTTGAACTTTTTCCATTTTTCCTGAATTTGGATCATATCTTAGTTTTTTCTGGCCTTCTTGAGATCAGTGGAACTAGGTGAAAATTGGGTGTAAACAGACTGACTTCTGAAACCCTTTGAAGCCAACCATAAGGTCATGGGCACATCCCGGACCACTTCCAGACTGTTTCCTCCTCTGATTGGGAACGTTTGTCACATCAGAGTTCAAAGGTCACGGTGGGGGCCACGCGGAGCTGCGAGCTTCCAGCCACCAAACATCTCATGATACAGTCCAGAGTCTTGCCAAAGTGACAAAAATGCTGTTGGGGGAGGAATTAAAGAAGCACTCACCTCCAGCTAATACGCCATGCATCACCTTTATGGCCCTCTGTGGCTTTTATCAATGGTCTATCATTATCCCGCCCTTGTTCAGCTCCTCCTCTGTAATTTCTCTCTCAGATCAACGCAACACCTTTCATCTAGAGATACAGGCCTTTCTCTATGACCCTCGACTGGCTTTGGCTTAGCCTCCGGCACCATCGCCTCCCTGTTTAACCCCTTGTCTGCTTAATTGTGTCTAAAGCTGTAAGGTCACTCACTCTAGGTCTTACAGAGGCGAGCACAGACCACAGAGGGCAATGTTTTCCATATTGTACACTGATCTGATGTTGTAGCCTCATCAAAAACATACTTGGAGTTGTGCTTTGTTTCATTCACACATGTTTGAGTAACTCTGCATTATTAGTCTGTCCATATCTCCAGTGCTTAAAATGCTCTGTCCCAACTTCTGATGTCATGAAGCAGTAGTTTTCAAGTTAACACTTATCTTTTAGCTTTTGTTCAGTAGAGATTGGCAATTCTAGGGCTGGAATTATCCATATGATTTTAATGTTTGTGTGTTAAATGTGTGAATGAAACAAAACACAACTCCAGGTATGTTTGTGATGAGAAAACAACATTATAACATACTGTAGATCAAAAAATACTGTAGTATAATATGGGCCCCTTAAAAAATGAAAAAAGTAAGGCTGGGAATTACAGTGTTGATATAATCATCAAAACTGTGAATGTGTGAAATGTATTGCATAAACAGCTTACTCTGTCTAACAAAATACATGTTTATAGCACTGTCACAAAATAAAATCAAACATTCACCAGCCCACAGTGCTGTATCATTAAATTTAGTACTGTGATTGACTGATATTTTTATATTTAAGCTCACCTCTAAAATAAAGTACTTGCTGTTTTACATTTATGACTACTGCAACTACCAGCAGGACATGGTGGCAGTCTGTGTCACCATGTCCTGTTATTTATAGTATTAAAACTTATAACTCATAACAAAAAAGGATCAGTTCTATTTCGTCTATTTTTAACAGCCTTTTTGAAGCTATTCTTCGCTACTGAGCTCAACACTGTAATTATTAGTCAGCTCTTGTACTAAAAAAAGTCAACTATACGGCATATTTGTATGTTTTACAGGTTACCTAGAGAGGGACAACACACTGCGTCCTTGTGTGGAGAGCAGCCAAAGAGCAGGAAGAAGACAAGACTGTATTTGTGTGGGAGTTATGATGTGCACCTTTCTGCAGGTTGTCAGGGAGGAGATTGGCACAGAGACAGAAAGAACTTCA